AGTAACCATCAAATTGAAAAAGAAAAGAGCCGTTTCGGTCAGATGGTGCATCATAGTTCTATTAGAAGAATAAACTTACACATCGTCAGACTTCTATCGTCGTCACGTGCCATCGTGATTCGCTGATAAACGATATCAACATCCATTGCTTCGATTGCATCTCTCACTGGCGTCTTCACTGGTACAACTATCCTCTTCCCCTTCTTTTTGCGTGCCACTGGCACTGGCACCTTTTCCTCTTCCTCCTCCTCCGCATCACTCTCAGAATGTTCGACGTTAGCCCTGGCTGCTAATTTACCTCCAGCCCTACCACCCTTGCCATTAGCACTAACGGCCTTATCGTCGGTCATCGTCAAGTTGGAGGTCTCCGCGACTTTTGCGACCTTTTTTACGGGGCGTGGGCGGGGACGAGTAGGCTTTGGCGCATCAGCGCGTGCAGCAGCTTGGTCTGTCTGCATTTTTTTCTGAAATGCAGCAACGCGCTTATGTCCTTCCTGTAAAGCCATCTCACTTGCCTGCTTTTCCTCTTTTTCACGCTGGTCGTCAGCAGCCTTTTGAGCTTTGGTGCGTCTCTTTACTCGGCCTTCGCCCCCGGTCAGGATATGTCCTGGATGCTGAGTCGCATTTTTAGGTCGAGTCGTCATGCGCTTCGGAACTGCGCTGGCAGGCTGAGACATGGTGTCGATGGAGTGTTTGGGAAGGCTGAAGAAAGGGAAAATTGAACCGGTGGTGGTTGTCAACACGGCAAGTTTTTCCACAATCCTCCAAAAATTGTAGCCTAAGCTGATTCTGAATAAATACATTTCATGACCCTACTTATGCCCTGACGTACCACTAATATCGCCGTTGATATTAGGTTTCACAAGTTTCACCAACGTTTTTCCGCCTGATAGTCACTACAACGCTTTCTCTACATCAATATTCACTAAAACGTTTCCGGCGAGGAGACAACACTTTATCAATATTTACTAAAACGTTTCCGGCGAGGAGACAACGCTTTCTCTATATCAATATTTACTAAAACCTTTCCGGCGAGGAGACAACGCTTTCTCTTCATCAATATTTACTAAAACCTTTCCGGTGAGGAGACAATACTTTCTCTACATCAATATTCACCAAAGCCTTTTGGCACAGCGCTGTTCTAATTTAATATTAAACTTTAATTCGTTTGTGCTGGTTTGGTCACATTGGTGCCGGTGATTTACAAGTTGCGCTTCGATTGTCATCCCGGTGTAGTGCATATGCCTCCCCGTCGTGCCCACCACCTGCTTCAGCTTCCATGCCTAGTTCCAGGATGCTCACGCTGGTTTCGAAACCAGTCGGGTCTTACCCAACACAGGCGCTCGCTTCACCCAACTTTACCTGCTTCAGGACCGCCCCCTCAGGACCTCCCATTACCACCCCAGCCATCCCGGTCGCCCTCCCGCCCCCGAGAATTCTCACTGCCCCCTCCAGATTTTTCACAACAGCCCCAGTTATCACCTCCCACACTCCCTGGTCCAATTCACGAAGATCCAAACGGCCCTGATGCAGAATTCACTGACGTGAACGAGCGTTACTATCATACGTACCATTCAATGTTAAACGGTAAGTTCCCTCCAGGCGTCAGTACTTTGTTTTTGACTCACATATATATGCTTAGGATGACCATGCGCAGCTGATGGAACATTTCTGCTGCATGGCACCCCCCCAACTCCTGTGCCACCGAGGCCTCCTGGCGATTGGAGCCCGTATCGCAATCGAATAGAATTCGAGACGGCAGAGTTCGTATTCAAAAAATGTCACATGTCTACGAGAAATTTGGATTTCTTGTGCGACTTAATGGCCGCGACTCTTGCGAAACACGGTGACACCCCTCCATTCGCTGATCACAAAGATCTGCACAGTGTCATAGATGCGACAGAACTTGGTGATGTCCCCTGGCAATGTTTCTCCGTTCAATACTCGGGAGAACGGCCCGAGGTTGTCCCACCGTGGATGGACGATGAATTCGAGGTCTGGTATAGGGACCCCCGTGCAATGGCGCGCAACATACTTGCTAACCCTTCCTTCAAGGACGAGATCGACTATGTACCATTTCGTGAATATGATGTATCGGACGATACGCGCCGATGGAAAGACTTCATGTCTGGAGACTGGGTATGGCAACAGGCAGTAAATTTTCTATCTCTTTCTGGAATCATACAGGATATAGCTAATTTCTATCAAGGACATCATATCGAAAGATCCAGAAACGCACGGATCTGCTTTGGTCCCAATCATTCTCGGTAGTGACAAGACTACCGTCTCTGTGGGCACTGGGAACAATGAATATTATCCCCTCTATGCCTCAATCGGTAACGTACGCAACAATGTGCGACGTGCGCACCGCGATGCTCTTGTCATTATTGGTTTCCTTGCCATACCCAAAAGTATGTATGTTCACATTTCAATTTTTACGCCTCATCTGAGCTGTGTTACAGCTGACAGGAAGCATTCTAAAGACGACACATTTCGTATATTTCGCCGCCAGCTATTCCACAGCTCGCTATCTACGATTCTCTCCAGCCTAAAACCTGTTATGACCGAGTATGAGGTCGTGCGCTGTGGAGACGATCATTTCCGGCGCGTGATATATAGTCTAGGACCCTACATAGCGGATTACGAGGAACAACTTGTACTATCCTGTATTGTTAAACATTGGTGCCCGAAGTGAGTATTAGCACTTGCAGTATCCATTGGTGCTAACACACCATGTAGATGCATTGCAATTCGCACAGACCTTGATGGTGGTGGCGTGAACCGCTGTCGCGAGCATACTGATTTCTTGATCGAAGAACTCCACGGGGATATATTGTGGGATGAATATGGTCTCATTGCTGATCTCGTTGTGAGTGGAACGGGCCGCTCTTCAATACCAGACTAATCTGTTTTGTATAGCCATTCACTAACGACTTCCCCCGAGCCGACATTCATGAGTTGCTGTCGTTTGATCTCCTCCACCAGCTTATCAAAGGGGCCTTCAAAGACCATCTCGTCGACTGGGTACCAAAGTACCTCAAGGCCGTGCACGGAACCAGACGGTCAGAGGAGATCATGAGTGACATAGATCGCAGGTATGTCATCTCACTCGTTTGCTCAATGACATTATCTGATAATAAGTCAGAGTTGCAGCTGTAGCATCATTCTCTGGTCTACGACAATTTCCTCAAGGCCGCGACTTTAAACAGTGGACGGGCGACGATTCTAAAGCGCTCATGAAGGTATTTCTTCCGGCCATCGAGGGTCACGTACCTGAAGACATGGTGCGCGCGTTTCGCGCATTGTTAGAATTCTGCTATCTTGTCCGGCGCAACATCATTACCGAAGATACCTTGAATCAGGTTCAAGCTGCCCTTCGTCGTTTTCATCAATATCGCAAGGTATTCGATATCGTCATTCCTACCTTCTCACTCCCCCGTCAGCACTCAATGACTCATTACGCGGACATGATCCGACTCTTCGGTGCCCCGAACGGACTCTGCTCATCAATTACAGAATCAAAACATATCAAAGCGGTAAAGGAGCCTTGGCGGTGGTCGAGCAGGCACAATGCTCTTGGTCAGATGCTTGTGACCAATCAGTGCCTTGATAAGCTCGCAGCATCCCGTGTGGACTTTGATGCGCGAGGGATGCTCACCGGCACTATTTTGTCAAGTACTTTAGCTGCTCTTGGTAAGTCTGTTTAAGGTTTTTTACTCTGATCGTTTTCTCGCATACTCAACGGCAATATACAATAGGAGATGAAAATGAACAAGTTGTTGCTATTGCACCGCAACCAGATGCCCCCATCATCGAGCCGCAACCAGATGCCCTCGCCACTGAACCCCAACTGGTAATCGATATCGATGACAGTGAAATAGTTGACGGTCCGATGGTGCTTGCTTATGTAGCGCTCGCCAAAACTCCTCGTAAGTAATCTCATGCAATGTCTTATCTTGATGCTCACCGCTGTGTCACACAGAACGAAAACGGGCACGGACAGTAGCAGCATTGGCACATGAAGTCGCTGTTCCTGATCTGCGGTACCTCATCAGGTACTTTCTGTTCTCTCAGCTCAACCCGAATGATGCCCGCAACCCCAAAGATATCCCAGCTGCTAGCTTGCCTCGACACGAAGGCAAGCTTCAGGTCTTCAATTCTGCTGCCGCAACGTTTTATGCTCCCAGTGATCCAAGTGGTATTGGTGGCATGCGACGCGAACACATCCGTGCATGTCCACTCTGGCGGAACGAGTACCCGCGCTATGATTGCGTGTTCATCAACACTGACTCGGATTCAGATATCGAAGGGATGCGAGGACTCGAAGTTGCGAGAGTCGTCTGTTTCTTTTCTTTCAGCCACAATTGGGAAGTGTATCCATGCGCTCTCATACAATGGTTTGAGAAGATCGGTGATTGCCCCAATGAAAATACTGGCATGTGGATGGTTGCTCCAAGTTTTCACGAGGATGGCTCCAGGGACCTTGCCGTTATTCATGTCGAGACGGTCTTCCGTGCAGCGCACCTGATACCTATCTACGGTTCTGAATACATTCCTCACTCCCTCAAGTTTTGCCAATCTCTTGACGTTTTCCGCTCATTTTATGTCAATAAGTATGCCGATCACCATGCCTTTGAGATAGCGTTCTGACCATAGGTGAGTCCTCAATCCAATCCTCAGTCCGTTGCTAATATAATCACATTCAAGGAGCTTAGCTCTCAGGTGGAGAAACCCGAGACGATCCTCATTGAGGGTGATAAGGGCCTCGTTGCCAAGTCCAAGGCAGCTCACCACACTATCTCTGCACCTTTTGCCGCCCCTGTCGACTTCAAGGACAAGCCCCTCGTTGTTTAGTATGAGGTGAAGTACCGCCCCCGTCGACTTCAAGGACAAGCCCCTCGCTCGAACTCTTGGAGAGCCAAACCGAGCTCATCCCCGCCCCCCCCGCCCGCTCCCATAACCGAGCTCATCCCCACTCCCATAATCGAGCTCATCCCCACACCCCCGCCCGCTCCCATCAAGTCTTGACACCCATCCCAAATCAAATCCAGCACGATCACAACCCCTACTCTGCGAATCCTAGTATCACTGTAGAACCTCCACCACGCCCATACCATCGATCTCACCATCGCTACACTTCATCGTCCCTCAGTTCTGCTGCTCTCCCCCCAGGCCCCCTCCCCCCTCTCCCATCCACTTGTGGTGTCCGTCCTCGCTCAGGCAGCTTCGATGACACATCTTATCTCATTGCACCCCTCCAGCCACCTTCCAAACGACCTCGCAATGACCGTGGCGAATATGACCACAGGCCTCCACTCTCCGTAAGTTCCCTCTCATACTACCTTTTTATCTCCTCACATCCTCCAGGCTACATCCATGTCACGTGGTCGCATTCCTGATATCGACCCCCTCCCCCAACAACTTCCTCAAATTCAACACCACAACCACCACCTTACCATTCGGCCTACTCATAAATCTCACTCCCGATCCAGCAGCCGATCCAGTGTCCGTGCTACTTCACAGGACATCGAGGACCTCCTCCTTGACGCTGCCACTGATGAAAGGAGCGCTCTCAATGCCCGTGACCAACATCCACAGTCTCCCCGTGCTGTGTTGGCCGCCCACCAGTCCAGGGGTATCCCAGTAGGTCCATTAGATCAACCTGGCGAACTCAGGACCTATCAAACCTGCTCCCCGCACCCCGCTCACTCCCATATCTAGCAAGGTTTTGCTCAGTGGCCTGCTCAACGCATTGGACGGCATTGGCGCACAAGAGGGGCGAGTACTGTTCACTACGACAAACAAGTACTCGTCCCAGGCAGATGAGCTGTGTAAGCGTCTCTACCTTCCTTCCTCACACAGATGAAATTATCAAAAGACGCAAACTCAAGACGCGCTCGGAAAGAAAACGCGAGCCATCGACGAGATTGAGCTGTTGAACGAACCCCACTGGCCTCATCGACGATAAATTGGTCAGGTCGGCTGGCAAACTCGAGCTCTTGTCACGTATCCTTCCCAAGTTCTTTTCAACCGGTCACAGGGTGCGTCGCTTTCTGTGATTGCCCGAGCTGTGCTGATCATTGTTTCTATCAGGTCCTTATTTTCTTCCAAATGACGAAGGTCATGGATATCATGGAACATTTCTTGAAGATGATGAACTGGAAGTATCTTCGCCTTGACGGTGGTACGAAGATGGAGGAGCGTGCCTTGCATGTTGCAGTTCAATGCGAAGCATTCTGAGATTCAAGTCTTCATCCTGTCGACACGAGCTGGTGGTTTGGGTCTCAACTTGCAGACTGCAGATACTGTTATCATGTGCGTTGTCTCTTGCGGTGGTGTCGTTCTCTATGCTGACACGTAGGTTTGCAGCTTCGATAGTGACTGGTGAATAAACTTCTGGCTATTGTTTTGATAGATGTGCTGATGATATTGCAGGAATCCCCACGCTGATCTTCAGGCTCAAGATCGTGCTCATCGTATCGGCCAGACCAAGGCTGTTCGCATTCTCCGTTTCATCACGGAGAAGAGCGTCGAAGAAGCCATGTATGCTCATGCGCGGTACAAGCTTGATATCGACGACAAGGTCATCCAAGCCGGTCGTTTCGACAACAAGTCGACGCAGGAAGAGCAAGAAGAATTTTTGGTGGGTGTTACAGCAGCTCTCTCCCAAACAACAGATAGCTAAATGAGTGGTATACAGCGGTCCATCCTCGAAGCAGACCAAGAGGAGGAGGAGAACGAAGAAGCTGGTGACATGAACAACGATGAGCTTAACGAGATGCTAGCAAGAAATGACCAGGAGGTTGAGATTTTTCGTTCAATGGATATTCAGCGGGAACGGGATGCGTTGGATGCATGGCGTGCGGTCGGCAACAGGGGGAAACCGCCGTTGCCACTCATGCAGCTTGAAGAGCTGCCTGAGTGCTATCAAACGGATGAACCGTTCGAGCCGAAGGAGATCGATGATGCTATTGAGGGCCGTGGTCAGCGTCGTCGTAATGTCGTCAATTATAACGACGGTCTTAGCAATGAGCAGTGGGCGATGGTACGTCTTGTATGATGTCGCGATGTATGGATGCTGATTGTGACTTTAGGCTGTGGAGGACGACTTGATCGGAGAAGCGCCCACACCAGGCGAGCGCACTGTGATGCTGAAACGGCGACTGCAACGAAGCTCAGTATACTGCCTGTGTTGCCGTTAATCATGTTATTGCACGCTGCGTGGAACTATGTTAACACGCTAACAGTCTCAGGTATAGGTTGCAAATCAGTCAACATCCCCGATCTCCGTGTCAAGCGCTCGTCAAGGAAAACGTGAAAAAAACGTCCTGAGTCAACCGTCGCTTCTTGATTGATATCCCCTTGCTGTGTTTACGGATCGGGGACGAAGACGACGACGACGATCGGTAAGTTTTTGTTGATTACAAGACATCACAGTACTCACCAAAGTCTGCAGTCACGCTATGCTTGAACGACACGTTCCGTGTCGATCCTTGTCCCAGAGCCACCCCTTCACCCTTCTCCAGAACCCCAGTGACGCCTCTGTCCCTTCCTCATTCGCCTCCGCCTCCTCTGCATCCACCGCGGCCCTTATCGCTAGATCGGCCCTCATCTCTATATCAGTCCACCACTTCCTCCCTCGTTCGCAATGCACCGGCATTTTTGAAGCCATGAATTCTGTACTAGTACTAACGCCTCGTTAATCGATTAAGTACTTGATATGTATTTTTAGTACTTACTTTGCTTTTTTGCTTGTCGGCTATGAATATGACTTGTAACACACTTTATCGCGCTTGTTTGTCGCGCGCTTCTTTTCCATCTTGGCAACACAACTCAACAAGTAAATAAATGTAAATAAGTCGTAAATAAGTTATAAATAAAATTCAAGTTCCAAAAAAAGAGCCGCCAATAAATGTGTGAATTTACTGATGTTGCCATGGTCAACGCCATCCATCATCCAGATCCACGATACATGACGTCTCCCTTCGCCAGTAGCATATGGGTCCACGAGGGGCTTGACATGAGTGTCGGCCAATTCCTGCAACCTTCCCTGCCAACCGGTCTTCTTCATGATTGTAGCTAGGCTCTTGAGCGCCATCCATGCTGACCGATAACGTTTCACGCAGGCCGTACGCCTTCGGTGGATGCGGGCAAGGGCATTCTGAGCACGGGTATTCGCGCCTTGACCACGCACCCATTCCCTTTTGAATGTCAGTAAGGAGCAGTGAATGCGTAGACACTGCCGCAATTCTTCTAGCGCATCGTGAGCCTGCGCGTAGCGCAATTCCCATTCGTCCTCTTGTAGGCGTGGATCGCACGGCTTGGTTTTCAGTTCTGAAGGTAACCAGAGGTGTATACATTCGGCGTTCTCGTGGCCTTCACGCGTGGCTGCCTGATCAATAAGGCCTTGAACGGCCGGGAGGTAAAGGACCTGTGTGCGTCGCCACATATCGATCCTACGATGAAGCGAGTTCCGCATCTGCGTGAGACTGCCTTTCTGTGTGTCGGTAGCATGTTGACCCATCGACTCGGCGATATTGGCCAGACGATGCCTTCGAAAGTATGTCAGCTTGTTTGTGGCCGTCAAAGGGCAAATGCTCACTGTTCCTGCTCCAGGTCTATGCCTGAAGCAATAAGCACACTAGGCGAGATTTGTGGGTGCAACGAGCAGTCTATACCTCGCTGAAGGTCCTCGGCCTCCAGCTCCGCGAGCTTTAGCCTTACTCCTGCTTGCGTTATAGCTAGACAAAATCATTAGTCCAAGGTCACTTTGGTGGCGGAAAATACTCACCCATGGCTTTGGCCTCGAGCGGATTAGAGATCGATGTGTCGTTCGGATTATCTTCCCAAGCTTGCATTTCTTCTAACCATGCAGAGCGATGCTCGGGAGTGATGACAGCGTCAAATTCCTCAAATGCGAGTGCATGCGCAGCCTTCTCAGCTAGAGCATCCTTCATCTTGTACAGGAGAGACGCGCCCAACCCGACGGTCTTTTTCCAATTCCAATCGCCAAAATGGTCGTCCAGCGTGTCACGACGACAACCAGGACCCATCGCTTTCGTACTTGATGCCACAGGGTTGATATTCGACCAGCCCCTCTCCGGGGCTTCACCATCCGTCCGGCCGACATAACACGTGAAATTGAACGAGAAGACGGTCTGACATTTTGCAACATGTGCGGGGAGGTGGAACTTTGGCACGAAGAAGCGTATATACTTGGTGAGATGGTCCAAGGCATGGGATCGAGGAAAGGACTTCATGCGGGCCCAGAGGTTTTTGTGCCATTGGCACGCAATATCGTACGACACGTTGAGCATTTCGAGCTGCGTACCATGCAAAGTCGAGAAAAATAAATAATCCATATTGATGTACCTGTCAAGCGCGATAAGACATAGTAAATACAAACACAACAAGACCGTGACTTACTTCTCGCCCTTTTGCAGATCACCGACTCCATTTGGCCGTTTAAAATTATGACGGGCACAGTCTACTGTACCGACGCCAGTAGCAGCAAGCCCTTGTGCCTGCTTTGTATCTGCCATGTTGACAGCGCTGTGGCTCGAACATGTACTTTTCTGTAAGATAGTGTGAGTACACGTCAATTGATTAAACCAAACGGTCACATACCTCCTGCGCCTCAGTGAGATGTTCGGCCAGGAAGGCCTTGTACTCTTTCTCCTCGACAAAATATGACCAGCCACTCGAAAGACTTGGGTCTGCGTGATCGCTCGATACGTTCCGCCTTTTCAATCGAAAGTTCGCGTCAATAGCTAAAAATACTGCATACAACCACCTAAAGACATCAGCCTAGTGAATCAATATCTGTGGTACAACGCACCGTTTTGCTTTCGAAGCATTTTGCCAACCCTCAGGTAAATTCTTCCCTGGCTGCGGGCATGCTGGACATAGCACCGCGCATTCGCCCTGCGATGTACCATCTACGCCACTGGGATCGTGGCCACGTCCGAAACGTTTCAACATTGTGAGATGCCGCCACTTACGCACCATCCGCATGAATCCTTCATAGCGGTCCTAAGGTAGACAGTAAGAGACTGAAGGAACAAATGTAGATATTAGCGTACCGGCATGCGTTTCATCATCCCTGTATTATCCGTGAGTCGAACAAGAGAATGGTAGAATTCATAGGCTGATGCCTTCGACTCGAAGGATAAGATTTGGTAGTAATGCAGAAGTCGAAATGTTGCCGCTGTCCTAGGTTTAGTTGGCGTGGAAGGGAACCATCCGTGACGAAGGAGTTGTTTAACATGTGTCTCGGATGTCTCGCAACCACAAAAGTCCAGTCCTAGTTCGTGTATTCCGTTTGTGTCTATAAGCACAAAGTCGTCGTTAAACGCCGGCTGCGGGAGGATGCATGATTGACCGATGGGATGCCCGAGTTGCACTCGAAGGCCTAGCGTCTTCAAGGAAGAGCTCTCGAAGAATATACCATTCCATTGCTGCAAAACAATCAATATATTTCATGTTTCTCATAAGAGATCACATACCTGTATGCGATGGGTTGGAGACCGGGCATGATTTGCCAGTGAGCATGTACCACAGTACAGTTGCATGTCATCGCAATCCTGACATCGGAATTCTGCAGGATTGGCGCAACAGCCTGCACACGAGTCCCTTGCATTTTCACCGCGTCCGTCCAACCGAATAATCTCCGAGAGATATGTATCACGTTCGTCTTTCCAAACAAGCAGAGGATTGTCCTGACGAAGACAGTGAGTAAGGAATGATGTGACAGAAATAAAATAACTCACACCAGCTGGGCGCTTGCTTTTCTGACTTTGAGTCATTGTCCCGTCTTCGCCAGCATCCATTGAAGGTTCATCAAACATCGCAAAATCAAACTCGGTGCTTCCATCCTCAGGCCCTGCAAATTGGGAAGACTGGTGTGTGGACGAAGGTGACGGGCGACAAATCAGATGGGCAGCAGACACCTGCATATTCCCATCTCGACGTCCTGAAAACCTGAAGGTGGTATGGACCGTCTCTTGCAACTGTGAGGTAGGCGGTACATAGTGATTGAGCTTGGGTCGTTTTCGATTGTTGACTTGTCGAAAAGTGAAACGTGAAGGGGCACATTGGATAGTTTGATGACTGGTTGGGGCGACACGCTCGGTGACACCATCAATTCGGGTGGAGCCTGCATTTGAAGAATTTCTAGCAGGTAACATCGCTCAGGCAATGGGCTCAGGCAATGGGCTTGTGCATGAGAAGGTGTGACACAATGTGACAGGTTAGCGTGACAGAAGCTTGCAACTCATCGAAGTCGAACTCATCGAACTACTCACTTACTCACTGCCAGTGCAATGCAAGAACTACGACTGCAGCGGCCAAGGCTACTGCATCACCCAATATGGATGGCTTTCCCTGTACAAAAAGCCCGAGGTCAGTTCCCTTTTCAACATCAATTCTCCTCCCATACTTACTACACCCAATGATGATCTCCCCCAGCACGATAATAGCTGCCGTGCCTGCGGCGCTCGTCGTTGATGGTAATGATGGTAATGGCACTGGTAAGCAGCGATATCTCCGAGCGCGCTCTGGTACTTACTAGCAGGATAGATGACCTCTCTGCGGCACCCATCACTGACGGTACTGGTGATCTTACTAGCAGGATAGATGACCTGCCTGCGGCGCCCATCGCTGACGATACTGGTGACAATGGCACTGGTAAGCAACGATATTCCTAAGCACGCTCTGCTTCTTACTAATGTTCCACAGATAGTCTCATTGCGCTCTTGGCCCAGATGAATATCACTGGGCAGGAGGCGTCTGACGTGACGTCCAAGATCCATGATGCGGTCCAGAACGCGCTGGTCGCCGCCGTTTCTGCTATCAGTGCTGTTTCGACCACTTCAGCATCAACTCCACTCGTCCCAGCATTGACTCCTTCGACCACTTCGACATCAGCTCCACTCATCCCAGCGTTGCCAGCGTTGACTCCTGTTGTGAACTATGATGTGCCAGCGGCTGACGCTACGGGTCCCTTCTACTGGGTGACCCGTGGCCGCCGTATTGGCGTATTCTCTACTTGGTAAGTGATTCGCGTTATTTAGATTAACGGCAGCTGATTTGTGATCCGCCAACAGGCAGCAGACCTCGTCCCATGTCATTGGCGTGAGCAGGGCGTCTTTTTCGAAGGTCCGCTCAGTTGCCGAAGGAATTCAGCTGATGAAAGAGGCCATTGGCCGCGGCGAAACGGAGGTGTTGACGTAACATATACCTGAAGCTTTTACATAGTAGCGCAGCGTGAATCTCAATAAGAAATATGCAATTCAAAGTGACATTAGTGCGCAAGCCTCGCGAGCCTATTCAAAATTCGTTGTAGTTCTGGTACAAGAATCCCTTGAGTAAATGAACTACGGCTAACTCAGCATCTCCATCGCTGAGCGCATGACAATAAATATCTTCCACCATAGCAATGGTGTCCCTCATGCTCCTGCACACTTGTTCTGCGGCACGCCACTCGTCACAAACCCCACACAATTGGAGGATACCGTCTTGTCCTCGACTAGCCCTGTCAAGGAAGTCTTCGATGCTCGACATCGCGCGCTTGAGAATCTCTCTATCCCCGTGAGTTCCGGGAGCATCTGGGATAGACTTTCGTGTATTCGGCAAGGACGCCCAAGGTGAATATTTGCGGAGATTTGATGTGCGCCATGAAGTCGTCTTTAGCATACTTCACCACGGCAATACATTCATCTAATGTCCCTCTGATATTTATATTAAAAACACAGCGACAATAATAATATTCAGCACGTACATTGATTCATCGTCATCGCTCGCACACTCGTCACTGCCATCGTTGCCCTTATCCAAGTTGTCACCCGCACCCTTGTTGTCGCTGCTGTCATCGTCCTTTCGACGGTTTTTGTTGAGGTGGTATTTCTCTCTTCTCTTTGCAAGGATCTCCTCACGGCACCTGCATCTGTAATCAGGGCATCGTAGGCTGAACGAAATAGACGATACTTACTTAGTGTAGTACCGGGAACGCTTGGCTCTCATAGCCTGAAGCTTAGCCGCATCGGTTTTATATTTAGTTGGGGGGGCCATAGCGAGCAACGGTGTCGTTTGCGGTGTCGTTTGGTGTGGTGGAGAGAAAAAAGAGGATGAGCTTCGGATGCTTCGATTTGTGGTTGGACTGTATTGAGTTAAGAGCCTCCATTGGTTCGTCGGACCGTATAGATTACGAGCCTCCGTTCAAATGTCGATGGCCCATGCATGTGCTGAGAACACGCTGTAGATAAAAGGAACTGCTGTAAGTGCAGTGCATGGCATGTATGATAATCAGCACATCTACTCATTGTGAGACAATGTGCACACACCTGCTAAAGCATCACTGCCAGTGCAGCGCAAGTGGAGCGTTATCGGATGGACCTTAATCCGCAATTCAATATTGAAGTTTCAAGTGGAGTGAACTGACCTTGCTGAGTCGTTATTCAGTGACTTACTATTGTGATACGAGTAGTCGTTAATCATCACCGGAGTAGGTTGGACATGTAGGTCGGACCTTAATAGCTTTACCTGTAAAGTAGTACTACTGAATCCTGATCTAATCATGGTAGGACCGCAATGAGTTTCAAGTTAAGTTGTCCGGTTCAGAATGAACTATGCTCACTCACAATTTGATGCTGAACATGCAGCAGACATGACTGAGCTACTAGGACACATCATACCTCAACCGATTTCTTGGGCGATGATACGTCTGGAGGAGATATCACTGCATACTAGTAGCATGGTAGGACCATATTGACTGCAATTCAATGTACCGATCGCTAACTTTAACTTCTCACATAAGCAAGCGCTCTCACAAGCCGACTCATCCGTAAGTGAATGATATTGTTCAAATGTTCAAACATGGCGCTCACAGAATATTTACAGGTAAGTATCATACGGACTAACTACTGGTATGCACCGACACTCACTAGGTTGAAGCACTGTTACCTTCCGGTCCAGGCCCTGCTTTGATGATCAAGTGCTTCCGAGTCTGCTTCGGTGGCGCTTCCTACAGCGTCTATGTAGGTCTATGTCCCTCAGGTCCGCCTTGTGGCTATTTGTTGCTATGGGTTGGGCTGATCTTTTTCAGAACATTACATGTGAAGGTACGGACCGTGCATTTTTTCACCCAGGAGTTTTATATATTTCACGACGAGACACAGATCAAAGCCTTTATTTTTACAAACACTATGTACAGAGAGATTGTAGATATCAAGGTTGAAAATATCATTGTACTAAATAGCATCGTTTTGTGGGTCTGCCGGAGATGGTAATGTGGATGTCGCATCTGAGAAACGAGGATCCTCTGAATTAAATTAGATTCAAAACGTCAAAAAAGAGTGACTGGTAGTGAAGGCGGTGATTCGGTCTAGCGATAGGCGGTGATTCGGTCTAGCGATTCGGTCCTGCGATTCGGTCCATCGAAAATGGGCTCTATGATATTCAAAGGACGAAGACGAAGAAAAACATCCCTCCTCCCTCCCTAACTCACTACGTACTGACCCTCAGGTCTGACCGCTGTATGTGCCAGGATGCTGTCCCTCTGCTCCTACTGATCTCAGTAATAGATGCCTCAAAAATGGACGAGCAACGAGCAAGAGGAATTTCTCACCTCTATGTTGGAAGAATTTCGCACGCGCGCCGCAGGCAAGAAATACGAGGAGTTCTGGAAAAAAGTCAACAAATCATTTTTTGAGAAATGGCCAGAGCGAAGGGCCCTCTTTGGTGACTTGCCTGCTGACCACTGTCCTTACGCCAGATCAAGTAAAAGATTTGGCAAACACTGTGGAAAGTCGTGAACAGGTAAGCACTACCATCTGCGAGCATGCGAAACACACGTACCAACTCATTTTGATTAGCAAATAACTACATGGTACCGTTGGCGGAAAAACCCTGCTCGCCTGGGCCGCACGAGTGGTGTTAAAGGAGCTTTGAAGTTCGACACTGTGTTAGCTGGTGGTGTGGAACTTAAGGGGACCCGCGCACCGCAAAAACTGGACATTTACTCCTACAAATACTATGAAGAAAAAGTCAAGGACACCGCAGATGCCGAAATCAGAGTACAGAATGTTACTCACCGCGGGCCAAAGCTGAATAAGCGCCGTGAGGTCACGCGCCGTTTGTACTCTGAAGAATGCGAGGACATCAAGAATAAGGTTGAAAGGCGTTACCAGAAGGCAAAGGCAAAGCATGCAAAAGCACGTTTACGCCAGAAGTCGGGGAAGATGCAAAAAATTGACGACGCAACCAAGATTAAGTACAGTACTTCTGTCGTTGATTACATGGTCGTATCTGAAGCGCATTTAAAAACTGCAGGGCCATCCGTGAGCTCGGTCCTATGCTTGATCGGATCCTTAAATACCTTGCACATGCCACGGGTGGGTGGAAGTTCACAATCCTTATGGGAGGGAAGGATCCTAGCACTGGAGAGGTGTCTGTGTTCAAGTGAGTGATGCGTGATAGTTGATGAGGAAGTGCGCTTACCTAATATTATGAAGCTATCATGTTGGCGAACTTGAGAGTGGGGCACAATTTGATCAGACTTACGCCAAATTTGATGTGGTGCAGGCTGCATTCCTAGCCTTCGTCAAAGACGCTCTCGGTACGTCCATATAAGTGTCAGTTCGAAAGCATGCACTGACCTTTTCACTAGCATTTGAGTCGACACTGCCCCAAGACTCAGATGCTGAGGATGCAGAAGATTCATCATCAGACTCGCATGATGGTTCAGATGAGGAGTGGGCGACAACGAGCGGCAGTGAGCATAGTGAGGAGGGGGCGACAACGAGTGGCAGTGAGCATGGTGATCGTCGTGTGGAAGAAGAGGACTTGGATGATCTCCTACCAAACAGCGCCCATCGAATCAACACTGCGGGCATGTACCGGATGACTCCTCAGTCTGAGTCATCCATCGACGATTTTGGCGCCGCCATAGCATCAACTGATGCATTACTTCCATGTGCGCAAATCTTGGGTGATGCATCATCTGGTTCTCAGCTCCCGAGTGATTCCCACTTGGCTTCGTTCAACAACCCTCCCAACCTACCCGTGTTTGACCACGAAGTGTTTACTGCTCTCATCAATGACCCAGATTTCAACATCAGCATTCTGGAAGCTCTCCCCGAAGCCCCCCCCCTTCAATCCAACCCATATCCTGAAGTCTTTATCCCTCCAGCTCCTCGCACTGATGACATATCATCTACACAATATCCTGAAGTCTTTATCCCTCCGGCTCCTCGCGCTGATGATACATCATCTAACCAATATTCCCAAGTCATTATCCTCTCCGGCTCCTCACGCCCATGATGCATCATCTACTCGATATCCCGAAGTTGTTATCCCTCCGGCTCCTCCCGCTGATGATGCATCATTTGCCCAATATTCGCAAGTCGTTATCCCTCCGGCTCCTGATACATCATCTGCCCAATATTCGCAAGTCATTATCCCTCCGGCTCCTCCCGCTGATGATGCATCATCTGCCCAATATTCTCAAGTCGTAATCCCTCCGGCTCCTCGTGCCGATGTTGAAAATATGGGAACACCCAATGAATCTGATGGTGCTGGCGCTGCACCAACTTCATCAGTCCAAGCTGGAGCTGAGCGTCGTCGTGGAAGGCGCACACAACAACGTTCACAACTGACCGTGCCCACTTCCTCGGCAGATGAAATCCAACCACTCCCAGATGGGCATCGCCGAGTGCGCAAACCCTTCAATGCAAGAGAACGTGACAACGATATTGGCGGGCCAACGAAGTAAGTCGGTCCTTTATGTGCTTCAAGTTGCATCGCACTGATGACTACATCCTAGGCGCGCTCGGCATACATAATCAGTAAAATAGTGTCTCATCTACATATCTTGTTGCAAGTATCCATGTCAGTAATAGTGATTAAATTGAATGTTTCTTGTTGTACAATGATCGAGAACGAAATGTAAATATGCGCTATCATATTGTTCAGAATTTGTTCTGCATGCCCGGTGCAAGCAGACGTACAGGAAGACGCTCAGTTCGAAGTTCATACATTCAAGGCGCAGCGGTGTTTCAGTTCTGCGGGATAAATTCGTCCTTACATACATATTTTAGAAAGGGAGCTGGACTTGTGATAAAATTTTGAAAAATGACGTCATGGACGTATTTGACTTGAGCGCAAGCTTCAGTGAAGACTGTGGAAAGGTAAGAGGTCTCCCAAAAACGAGTTAGATAGCCGGATGGCCAGACGGATGCCTGGATCTAGTGTAGGTAAGCAAGGTACAGCATAGGTAAGCAAGGTACAGACAACGGAAGCAAGGTACAGACAATGGAAGCAAGGTACCGGGTATAATGCCAGCGAACGGATGCTGGGTGCAGCCCAATTTGGTGCGGGATGGTGATGCATCACATTCCCAATAGGGTTGAGGTTGATGCATTGGGATCCACCATGATCCACCACTGCTCGCTATCATAGTTGATGCATCATCAAAATCTGCTAGTTAGCCTGTTTTGATGCATCATTATGACAGTATAGCCTGTGCTGTTTGGAAACCTTTTTTGTACAAGTATATGTATGCGTTGGCCTGGGAATGATTGCAATGTTTATCTGGCTGGAGACAACGCTTCGGATTCCGGAAACATTGCTGTGTAACATGTGACACCTGCAGCTGCGGTTCAAAGTTTATCCACTGTATGATGTGTTGCCGATTTTGAATCTACTGGTCTTCTCTTATGGTGGCCTCTCACGCAAAAGGATATGCTTATTTCTACATGCACACCTGAAACTGGAGACTGGAAAGATCGTACTAACTTCAACACGATCTAGAACAACAAACATAAATGTACGTTCTTGCTGGTATACTGCTCAGGAAAACACGCCAGCTTGTTCAACCTGAGGAGACGTGCTGCCTGGGTATTGTAAAGACTACCTGCTTCGAGCTTGAGTTTGTGCTGTAATTACTAGGGATGCGACGTGTGAAACGTGCCACAGCGTAAAAGACTCGAGGACGATGAACTTGCGGTGTCGATCGCTATGTTAGAAGAAGAGGTTGGTTGAAGTCCTACGTACGTGCCCATTTAATCATGTGAAATGAAAGCAATCCACCTCCATTCATATAGTAGACACGCCTGCGGGAAATTATCGCTGTCATATTCAGCGAATCTTGCTCATTCGGGCCTACAATGCTTTTTATTTCTCGGTTCTGCGCTTTGTAGGAAGTCCCAGAACTGGGCTTCGTTGAAAGGGATGGCGAGATCTTGAGAGATCTCAGGGTCATGGATCATTAGTTGGCTCGTTGGGTTGCATTCTATGCTCACACTTTCACTTCCTTTCTAATTTATGTGCATCACCCTCAGTCCCACCAATCCAATGCGAAACCACGGGCAGTCACCGCACCATTTAGGCACGACTCTTCACCTTCCTCACGACTTCGGTCACGGGAACTAGTTGGAGGCGTGAGGATGGATTGACTCGGAGGGAGTACCAGGAAACGATGTCGCAAATATTCGAATATACACAATATCATCGAGTAACAAATGACTTTGCTGAAGACTGTAATAGAAAACAACACTGCAAAAGCGAACGCGAACGCGAAAACAAGAGAGCAGAAGAGTACGTGACGGATGTAACAGGGTAGTTCAGTGATTCCTACTACTCAGGGTGCAACGTAAACAAATGAGAATACATTACAAAGAACCCGTGAAACCGTGCAGGATGAAAGCAAAGCAATACAGCAGGAACTACACACCGATATGAATGAAAACCATCCTCTGCTCGAGCGGTACCTTCGTCTTCACAGCGTTTGTAGCACGGTTGAGTGCCCAAGCTGCCTTCGTACAGTCTATGACACCATCCTCCAGGTCTTCAAACATCTTCTCGTAAAAAGCTTCCACGACGTGTTTTGCGAGAGCGTCACTGACCCCCCACAGCGTGCCAACCACGCTCTTGAACCCCGAAAACTGGAGTCCAGCTGCGAGGTGAATGGCTTCGTCAGGCATCTCTTCATCACCGACGGCGGTATGACACGCCGATAAGAATGCGAACTCGGCGTGCGGAATATCTTTCTCCATGATGTCGAGTAGCGTAATGGGTTTGTCTCTCATGGCGAAATATGAGTTATAAGGCTGCTCAAGATCTTGCTTCCCGTGACAAGCGAGGTGCACCCAAGTGTTGCACTGCAAAGCGTTGAGCGCACCTGCTTGCGTGGCTTCGTCTTTCGAAATATTAGTGAACTTGATGTTGGGAGGAACGAGTGTATGGACAAGCTCAAGCTCGCTGTCAACAGCCGGGAGCACGTCACCTTGCCCTGCGCCTGGTTGACTTTGTCCGATCGCCGCGAAGGACGGAGTTGCACGCGTCTTCATCGCCTGCCGAGCTCTGATAAGAGCTGAAAGTGTGGGTGTATAAGAGCAGATGTAGAGATCCTCCAGGCACGACTCGCTCCCAGAGCGATCTGCATTCATTCGGAAGGGGTTAGCTGCATGGAGAGGGATAGATGTGAAGGCTGCCGTCGGGCACAGCCATATTCGAGAGCGGTGCTGCAATTTCAGGTCATGCTGGAGGACGTTCACGATGGGTAGCATGATCTCGTCCCACACTATCCGCAAGAGCACTCGCAATTTCTTCCTTGGCTCCTCTGGGCGCATACGAGCCGTATGCCGGATTGCCGTAGCAAAATCGTCTTTGAGCTTCTCTAGATGTGGTAGAGTGATGCGCGGGAAGCGAACATGATGGGGCTCTCCTGACGTCGGGACAACGATGGCACTGCATGAGTATTTGCTGGCAATGAGGATGATGACCAGGCCATTGCGAGCTGCCACTTGCAAGTCTTCATACAAAGGTGGAAGTAGGAACCGCGAGAAACCTCGAAGATCACGTATCTCAGCTACCACAGCATCCCATTGCCTTGTAAGTCTCCTGTACTCTGTTGCTGCTCGATCAGCAGCAGCTCTGTCGGTGATGGCTGCAGAACCTTGAGCGGCGTTGGAAACGCGCTTGCTCAGCTCCGAAAATTTGCGGGCTAGATGTGGATGTCCCGATTCGAGTTCTTCAATTGGAGTTTTGAGTCGAGAGGCCAGAGACCATTGCTGGCCACGGCCCTGCTCCGCAAGTTCGGCCGCGCGTCGGAGATTGTCACTGCGGATGGCACACGATGCTGCGTCTACAGGTAGTGATCTGGCAAAGTGGAAGTCAGTGGCAGCTTCGCGGCGTGAGGTGGTTGATGATCGCATTCCCAAATGAGCATCCAGAAGCTCGAAAAATGTTGAGTAAGCCTCCAGTACGGATCCATCACCATGCTGCTCCGCTGTGGCAGTCCAATCATATGACACAAGGATGCGCTGCGGCAAGCCATGGGTAGGGTGTCTTGATGCCAGTCTGTAGTTCTCTACAGCGAGCGACAAATCAGTGGGGTTGTGTTGTACCTGGTAACGAGACAGATAGGCTTCCTGCAGCCACAACAAACTGAAGTGTCGATCCGGGTGCAGTAAAGGCAAAATCACCAATGACTCTTGGCAGAGTCGAATAGCTTCCTCGACATCCTCATTCTGCCGAGTTCGAGTGAACCGAGAGCAGAGCACCGCGCTCAAATTGAAAAGAGTTCTATGGTGCTTTAGATCATCATCAAGCAGTTTTATCCGAAGACATTCGCGATACAGATCAATGGCCTCGTTAAGATTCTCGATGACCTGCGATTTGTCATATCTCTCTTTGAGCGTGAGGGCAAGGTTATTAAGCGTGATGCCACGACCTGGATGCCCAGGTGGGCACAACATCAGTGCCTCGCGATAGAGGCTGACAGCTCGGTTGATGTCATCAACGTCACCGTGTTTCCGGAAACGGGTGCGGAGGGCGCTCCCTAGGTTGTCCAATGAGAAATCACGACATTTGTGCCCAACAGGACGCATGCGCAGCGCTTCTTCATGCATGGAGATGACCTCGTCGAGGTCATGAGATTTGCCTTGGTGTTCAAAGCGGGATTCGAGTGAGACGGCCAAGTTGTTCAGGTAGTCACCACGGTCAGAATGTCCCTCGGGGCACAGAGAAACGGCTTCACGACGAAGTTGTATGCTCTCTTCTAGATCATCAATGCTGCCCCGTTGTTCAAACCGTGTTAAGAGTGACTGTGCAAGCCTGTCGAGGGCCCTGGGACGGTATTTCAGGCCCACAGGGCAGAGCTCGAGCACGACTCGTCGAAGCTGGATGCCTTCGTCAGATGCATCAATCGGAAGATTGACATATTCCTCAATCACATAACCGACCGCACTGTCTACGCCGATGCTACGAAGGTGGGTACCCTCTGGACAGAGGGGCAGTAGCTTGCAGCACAGCTGCAGGGATTCGTGAATGAAGACAGCGGTGCGCTCCTTGCCGTAGCGCCAGTTCAATGCTGCAATGAGATGAAAGAGAGATAGTGTGTGGTTGGGATGGCCCTGCGGACGTAGCGCAAGGGCTTCGCGGAAGAGGGAAGTGGTGGTATCAATGTCTTGCAGATCGTTTTGAATATAGCCTTGAATGCGGGCCCACGCGAGGTTGGTGAGAGCCGCTGCGTGGTCAGGATGGTCGACCGAACAGCGGTCCAGAACCAACTGAAAATGCTCTACAGCACGGTTCAGGTGAGAGACCCTCTTGTGTCTCATGTATCTGAAGAACCGTACATGGCCCGCATCTGTCTCTCGAGCAATCTCGCAGTCTACGAGGGACTACAGTTGTGTTCTGTTAGCAGGAGCTACCAGCAGAGGTCAGTGTCACTCACATCAAATAGTGCGCCGTCCTGATTATCACAAGCGTGTACAATAGCGGCCTTCAGCGTGAGCGAAGGATTGATACCATGAACAGGTGGGAATGACAATTCTACGGAGTGTGAGTATATATACATGAATGAGCAGTAGATTACTCACCGAATGGCTCATCTCCATGATCGAGCAACTCATCCCACGATGTATGAAGTTGTCCAATGACTTCTCCATTGCCCAGCATTCGATCGACCTCGTAGGACGCTCTAATCTCCAATGATAATGAAGGTGATGCCTGTGTTCTATAAACCGAGGATGAGTACTCGAATCGCGCCCGAAAGTTTCGAGAGACTTTACAGGATCACGGAATCTCCCCATGCTACAGATTTTTCGGATGACAAGACTTTGACGGATGATTTCCAGCGTGGCCTTGAGTCGACATTGATGGACACGTAAATGCCTGCGGGTATGCGACCAGAAGGGACTTGAAGGTTTTTTGCGCTTCTGACTGTAGATAGAGTGTGAGGATCTCAAAGAGATACAAAGGTGATACGGAGTGACCCACCTTCAAGTCTGATGTATTGCCTTGCAATGCTAGTAGGCGTGATGGTGTGACGAAACAAACGACGGACAGCACGGTTCATCGGAGATTGAGTGGGGTACAGAATGAGCGGTAGGACAAGATGGGCTGGTAATATGGGGACTGTGGATGGAGTTTGGCTGAGAGGGAGATAAGAGGTTAAGGGTTTAGGTGATGACTGCACGTGTGTTGTTGAGGACTGTTCGGCACGATAGACGCTGGTGTGATTAGATGAGACCAAAGATGACCGAGTAGAATTAACGGGAGAACCTGTGCGTGGGGAATGCGGATGTTGGACACAATCAGCAAAAGTGGCACGCCAACGTTATGCGATACTCTGAGCGTCCTGTGATGTTGGCTACTCACGACTCATTTAGCACACCAAGGCAAAATGTAGCATCGAGTTTATTTCCTAGGTTAATGCAAACGATGCATCCAGAAAAGCCGAATGATTATGTGTGAGTACGATGGAGCTAACAATGCCGTGGGGGAAGGTAACACAAGGGACAGTTTGCGAGAATCGGATCTAGATGATATAGCTGAATGCGACGATACAGCGAGTGATGAATTCGAGCATGAATGTGCCCTGGAACAAGAGTCAGAAGCAATAGCATCAGTCTTTACAATACCCAGGCAGCATGTCTGCCGTTGAACAAGCTGGCGTATTTTCCTGAGTGATACCAGCAAGTGTCACCCAGTCCATTTCTTGGTTCGAACTTTTCATCAACCGCTTGGGCACGACCACCCATTCCACGCCGTTTCGCCGACATTGAACATAGTACGCAAGAGTCAATTCGCCAAGGAGAGAATGCAATTGAAGCAGCACATACACACCGTCAGGACTCAGGATAAGCGTAGGCCCAATTTCACCGTTCTCACGATGTGAAATATGATTTGAAATGGGGACTTCTCACAGACTACTTCAAGTTCCTTCTGCGCGTTCTTAGGCAGTGCTGGGAACATGTTAGGGCGACCACGCAGATAAAGATGGTACAGAGTGTATAGCTTGGAGGGTTGGTTCAAATGGATGTTTATACGCTCTTGGATTGACCTGCAGAGGGATGGTTAGGATGAGATGATTATTTCAGACTCGTTGTCCCACATATCATACATGGTTTGTGAATCTCATTCACTGTAGTGAAGACACAGGCCTTATGCACCAACGGATCACTGCGATTAATAATCCAATTTTGTCAATGTCAAAAGTAGGTATTGTGCTAAGTACTGCGAAGATTGAAGCATGTCCGCTGTGAACATTCATGAATTGAACATACCGCTGCTCAAGCGCTCACGGTGGAAGCTTGTTATCTATCTTGACGTGAAACAGATCAACTTGAAGTCATCCTAGCAGACAAATACCGAATCATTGACTGATGCCAGCATCAAGTCTAATCCAATAGTCTGTCTGCACACCATGTGAGGAACGCCGTAAATAATACAGTGAAAAAAAATGAAATGAAGACAGACTATAGCAAGGTGAACGTGCACGCCGTGAAATAGCGACGGATGTTCGTATTGTTCGATATCCAAGGCTATGTAATGGCGGAGATGGTGCAACGTCCCAGAACACAGTAGAACCAGAATAAGCAGGTAAACACGCGAATAAGTCCTGTATTTCGCCATTATGCTGAATCAACGAGCAGCTCAATAGGGCAAGGGGTCGCATCTACCTATGTGAATGTCGACGGCAGTCCCGCAATATCCATATAAAATATGCGCTTGAAGTTCACGCCTGTCAATTTCATAAGCGAATAGAAGCAAGCATAAAATACGCGCTGGCCTGGCCTTGACCCAGTAGTATAAACCCGGGGTTATTGCAGGCATTATACCACTCGTTTCCACGTCGGATCCGAGTCGTTTGATGCAACATAAGAGAAGTTGAGTGGGACCTGGATATTTAGATGTTTTGGAGTGGAGAGTGTCTTTTCCAAAGTGACAAGTGTCGAATTTCACCCTTGGGCAGAGATGTAGTCGAAACTAAGGGGAATGATATTGGCGGTGGTATCAACTTGGATATCTGCGTGCGCCGGAAAGGAGAAATTGGCTGGGTACCGAGAGAATTCAATGAGAATTGAGGACGAGTGTGACTTACATGGCGCACAACCCAGACAAGAAGATCAGGAACGTTTTGGCGAAGACATGCCTGCGATGCCGAGCTTTCCACTTCTCCTGTCATATCTCTCGTCGACCCGACTTGGCCATGTTTTTCATCTCAGATGACTGCCACTCCGGACCAAGTGCAGGCACCGTAACATATTCTACTGGTGTATGAGCACTGTCGGCATCACCATCTGTCTTGGCACCAGGCGGAGGGAGAGTTTGGGGAAAGTGATTATAAAAAAGCAGTGCAATCTCTGGTCCAAACGATGATGCGTTGAACCCTGCGGATTGTCCTCCCGTTAACATATCATGATTCACCAGCATAGAAGGAAGACACACCATTTTGTGGACGACTGGAGGGTGTGTAATTAGGATTGAGTGGTCCAGGGCATCAAAAGAGCCTCTGGTCCTAGTTGAATTGAATTGATCAACTTGAGTCTTGAAAGCTTGACGCACTGGCAGCGCCGTTTGAGAACAATGTGCCCTATTCAGATGCAGATAACTTACTTTGTGTTGACCCGAGTCCAATATTTCAACACGCATTCTCCGACTTCGACAATCTCCTACTCAGGTCTCAAATTCACATAGTAGAAGCGGAGAAACCTCGCTATGAGAGAAAGGCGGTAGCAGGCTCACGCCATGGCCCCATTTGTATACAATCTGCCTATGTGCCACAGGCCTTGACTCTATCCATGTCTCACGATGTGAAGCAAAGACTCTTCACCAAACAGTACTTTAACGCAAGGCACCTTCGATATGTACGTACAGGCCTTCTATCCCCTCACCCCAAACTCACATCCCAACTTCGCGAACAAACCCACTTTCTCCGTGACTTTCAACTCAAAGACTTCGCACCACAAATCCTCGCGCAGTGCAAAAGTATTTGAACTGGATTGATAGCGGTAGGGTGTTGGACCTTGGTCCGGAGAACTGGGCTTCGTTGAAAGGGATAGCAAGATCTCAGGGTCGTGGATCATAGTTGGCTCGTTGGGTTGCATTTGGTGACTAGGATGGTAGAAAGAATGTACGAGGATTGACGGTGTTTGAGGTATGCCCACACTTTCACTTCCTTTCTAATTCATGCGCATTGCCCTCAGTCCCGTCAATTCAATGCCAGTCCCGTCAATTCAATGCCAGTCCCGTCAATTCAATGCCAGTCCCGTCAATTCAATGCGAAATCACGGCCAAAGGCACGACGCTTGATCATCCGTATTCTTCTCCAGCAACGCATACCGTTGCACCATGTCATTTTTGCGCACCCACGTTCTACTTCTAATGGTGTGGGCAATGGGAGTGTGAATACGCACACCTGATATCCCAAATCCTGCCACACCCGCCCCACCGATCTCACAAGGTAGGCTACTCCACATCATCTTAGTATTATTTATTCACCCTTACGCGCTATCTCAAAAATCCGAAAGTGACTTGTGAGCGCATACCCGCAAGCGTTTACGTGCTCGCCGCTGTTAACTGAAGACATAAATCAGCCGGCCGAATCTTATCATCCACCGAATTTATAGCCTGGTGGGCCGATACTGTGATCTTGTAAAGTATTATGTGGAGACTTTCGGACACAAGTTAAATAAGTACTGATACTCGGCGTGTAGGTTACCAGATGTATTACGTTGCTTACTACTGCAGATCGAGATATCCTTCGAGCTCAGTCCGATACTAGGTTACGGAGAAGTCATTACCGATCTTGAAATGGCATAGGATGAGCTGCCCAATTAATCATATGAGCCTTTCGGTGAGCGACCGGCTTCCCATCCATGCGCATTTAACTTGTCGTACATCTGACCTTTCCAAACGTTCGTGGTGTTGACCCTTCCCTCTCACTGAAGGCTGCTGTTGTGTATGATTGCGAAGATCAGGGCGGTGCACTGTTTCACGTAAGTTCTGAGTGCTACAAGGACCACTCGTCTTGATCTTCAATCAGATCACCCTCAGATTCTTCCATGAACCCCCTCTTCATGTGAAACTATAACGGCCATGGTTTTCCCTCGTTATTTCTTATGCTAACGAAGGTCAATTTCATCTTCATGTCAATGAACGAGGTGCGTCCCGCCGTGTACCGTGTTTCCCAAGTTCATATTCACCTTCCTGACAGTACAAGTCGAGAATAATGTCAGCGACCATGTTCCACGCAATACCACGCACTGATCTTGCAACACAAGCAGTATCATTAGTGCGTTGTGGGACATGAGCCGATTTCAAGCAAGGTGAACGACTGTTTTTGATGCAGCCATCATCATTGACTTTGAATGTCAGCAGCGGCTATTGCAGAGGGAGTCACGATCTCTCAGAGATGATAGATGTACGTCATACTTTTCTCCTAGAGGTTATTCTTTGCGGACGGGAGGTTAAATCGTAAACATTTACATATCCATCGACGTCGACTCGAGAAGACACTGGAAATCAGCCATCAGAGGCTTATCATCTGACAAATCTGTAGCATGGGGCGATGCATCCCTTCTGCCTCGTGATGACAAAAGTAGCCATTGCAAGTGAAGCTAGTATCATTCTTTGTGTTCGCTCGCGAGGAAAAATGTTTGTCAATGTGCAGCACAAAAATGATTTCTCGGCCGGCAGCGACTATACCCTGGCACTTCCATACTCGCTTGCCAGGAACATTCATCAACGTGTTTTCTAGGATCAGGATCGTTTGATCAATTTTACAAAATAATGTTCTCGTCAGCCGTACTAAGTAAGCCTTCTTAACAGAAAGACCCTTCCCCAGAAAGCCATAGCCGTATATCCTCCGAGCACTTGTACATGACTGCAACAACGAAGGTTGCTGCGACAAAACTACCGCGTCTGGTCTGAGAAACAGTTCGTAACTCCTTTTGCAATCTGCTTACATGGTGCCAAAAAAATCCTTGTATGCGGCCGTTTACGAACATTCCTGCGAAGCGAACATCATGTGGCTTCGAATTGACAAACATTCCTGGCGAGCGATCACGAGGAATGGCGACAGGAATGGAAGCCCTTCAACACAAACATTCCTGGCGAGCGAGCACGAGGAATGACGATAGCATGGAAGCCCTTCAACTTTCGTCACGATGCCTGATCACGAGGCGGTGAGTTGCAATTGCAGTTCAGTTTACCAGTATTGAATTGTCATTCGATTCAGGGCGCGTGTGATGCTCGGGACAGCAGAATGCCGAGCCTGCGCAGGATGTGCATATAAACGGTGTGGCAATTACAGGTTTAAAGACAACTCACTCTCGTCCCCTACTTGCCTCCCCAACACCTCGAACGAACCCACAAGTACTCAGCATCATGTCAGACCAATATGTCGTTGAAAATTTCAAATATTCTCAGTTCATGTTGAAGGACGGGGAAAATCCAACGGTAAGCGGGTAGCTAGAGATGGGGTTCCGGTCCTGGTGCTGACGAGTAATATTGATAGTGGAGGGTGACATTCAGGGGCAACGATCTGCATGAAGTGTCCCTCCAGAATGCCACTACCGGGAACTACTTCGCATGGGACGTGAGTTTGTCTGCTAGAACGGGTTCCAATGCAAATCTCATCGAGTCCTTTGCACAAATTCACAGTCTGGCAATGAAGCGATAACACAAGCAAACGAACCCTATTGGTGGCACGTGCCAAAAGGTCCTACGCCAGACGATGTATACATGTGCGTATCAGGCCTTCAATCAAACCCGGTCTCTACTGACGTAGACATCATGTTTATGACGGGTGCAGGTTGCAAGTCAAACTTTATGGAGAATACGTGAATTTGGCGCTTAAATACAATCCAAACGTGAGCTAGCCCACACAGACTGTAGTCCCATACTTCCTGACACTTGTTATGCAGCCGGAGCTTGGCCTCGAGACAGGTCAAGGTGGAGATGAGGCGAAGTGGAGGTTTGTGCCAGCCTGAAGTTGAAGGATGTCAGTTATCGTCTCGCGAGCATGCTATGCCTGTTGATGCAGTCGGACATTCGACTGTCGCGGAGATTAGGCCTAGGCTGCTGTTTGGGAAGCCTTTTTGTACAAGTATATGGAATGCTTTAGAACTCACCTGTCACTGTCATTCTTGTGATAGAGATGGCTCGTGGTCCGAAATGTCTCAGGTGATGGTGCGGGATAATGTTCTCCTTACCTGGCGTCAACCAAGTCTTCGCCTATTTTTTTTTGAATAGTAAGTGTATTTATTGCATGGCATCGTCGACATCTACACATGCTGCAAATGAAGTCATAGAAGACGTTGCCTACCTAAGTTGCAACAGATTTGCTGATCAGCATGCTATCTCTATGATATTAATTTTGAAAAATGTCCTCCCCAATCTGCCGAGTCAGAGCCAAATACATGATCCCTTCTAAACCTTCGATCATAGTATGTTCCTCTACGTCGTCCTGTTTCGTCATCCACAACATCCATGTCGTCGACGAGAGCTCACATTCCACCCCAGCACCTCGACAAGGGCAACCGGTTTGATTGAAGGGGGTATCGGGTTATTTCTACAAAAAAGCAGGATGAAAGAGGATTGCAGATAAACACTTACGAATATGTACAAGAAGAAACAATACGACGTACGTAAAACTACACACCAATATGAATGAACACCATCCTCTGCTCAAGCGGCACCTTTGTCTTCACGGCGTGAGTAGCACGGTTCAATGCCCAAGCCGCCTTCGTACAGTCCATGAACTCCCCATCCCCCAACTTCTTGACCATATTCTGATAGAAAGCCTCGACGACATGTTTTGCGACAGCATCGTCAACCTCCCACAGCGTGCCAACGACACTCTTGAACCCCGAAAACTGAAGGCCAGCTGCGAGATGGATGACTTCGTCGGGCGTCTCCTTATCGCCCACAGCGGTATGACACGCCGACAAGAACGCGAATTCAGCGTGCGGGATGTCTTTCTCCATGATGTCAAGCAGCGTGAGAGGTGCGTCCTTCATGACGAAATGGGAATTGTACGGCTGGTTGTGGTCCTGCTTGCCGTGACATGCGAGGTGCACCCAGGTGTTCTGTTCCAGGGCTTCGAGTGCACCTGCTCGTGTGGCTGCATCACCAGAAAGAGTGGAACGGTTGGCTGTCGCAGGGACAAGCTTATGGACAAGCTCGAGCTCGCTATCGACAGCTAAGAGCGCCTTGCCTGTCCCTGCACCCGGATGGCCCTGTCCGATCGCCACAAAGGACGGAGGCACATGATTCTTCATCATCTGCCTCGATCTGATCAGCGCCGAAAGTGTCGGCGTGTAAGAGCAGATGTAGAGATCCTCTAGGCACGGCTCCTTCCCAGAGCAATCTGCCTTCGTTCGAAAGGGGTGAGCTGCATGGAGAGGAATAGATGTGAAGGCCGCAGTTGGACACAGCCAGATTCGAGACTGGCGCTTTAATTTGAGTGTATTTTCGAGTACGTTGACGATGGGTAGCATAATATCGTCCCATACTGCCCGCAAGAGGACAATTAGATCATTGCGTGGCTGCCTTAGGCCCATTTTCGATGCTTGCGGTATTGCCCTGGCGAACCGATCTTTGAGATCCTCGAGATCTGCGAGAGCGATAGATGGCAAGGCAACATGATGGGGTTGTCCTAACGTCGGAACAATAATGGCGCTGCACGAATATCTGCTGGCAATGAGGATGACGACTGGACCATAGCGTGCCGCCGCCTGCAAGTCCCTGTACGAAGGTGGGAGCAGGAACTGTGAAAAGCCTTGAATATCACGGATTTCAGCCACTGCAGCTTCCCACTGCCTTGCAAGTCTCCGATACTCGGTTGCTGCCCGATCAGCAGCAGCACTGTCAATGCTCCCAGTGGAACCCTGAGCATCAGACAGGCGCTTGCTGAGCTCCGCGAGTGTTTGAGCGAGTTGCGGGCTCGCAGACTTCAGGTCTTCCAGTGGAGTCCTGAGTCGAGAGGCCAGCGACCATTGCTGGCCACGACCATGCTCCACGAGTTCGACCGCTTGTTGCAGATCATTGGAACGAACAGCACACGACGCTGCATCTACTGGCAGTGACTGCGCATCGAAAAAAGCGGTTGCAGCCTCGCGCCGTGAGATAATTGATGATCGTGTCATCACGTGGTTGTCGAACAACTCCAAGCACATTTGGTATGCTTCGAGGGCGGATCCATGTTGATAGACTTCTGCTTGGCGAGCCCAGTCTATAGCCTCAATGATGCGTGGTGGAAATCCTTGAGTGAGATGTCGTGATGCGAGTCTGTAGTTCTCTACAGCGAGTGACAAATCAGTGGGGTTGCGTTGTACCTGGTAACGAGACAGATAGGCTTCCTGTAGCCACATCAAACCGAAGTATCTATCCGGGTGCAGTAAAGGTAAAACCACCAACGACTCTTGGCAGAGTCGAATAGCTTCCTCGACGTCCTCATTCTGCCGAGTTCGAGTGAAACGAGAGCAGAGCACCGAGCTCAAATTGAAAAGAGTTCTATGGCGCTCTGGATCATCAAGCCGCTTTAACCGTAGAGATTCGCGATACAGAACAATGGCCTCGTTAAGATTCTCGATGACGTGCGATTTGTCATATCTCTCTTTGAGCGCGAGGGCAAGGTTGTTAAGCGTGGTGTCACGACGTGGATGCCCAGGTGGGCACAACGTCAGTGCCTCGCGATGGAGGCTGACACCTCGGTTTATATCATCAACGTCACCGTGTTTCTTGAAACGGGTGCAGAGGGCGCCCCCTAAGTTGTCCAATGCGCAATCACGAAATCCATGCCCAACAGGGGACAGACACAGTGCTTCTTCGTGAATGGAGATTACCTCATCAAGGTCATGAGATTTTCCTTGGTGATCAAAGCAGGATTGGAGTGAGAGGGCCAAGTTGTTCAGGTAGGCTCCACGGTCAGAATGTCCCTCGGGACACAGAGAAACGGCTTCACGACGAAGTTGTATGCTCTCTTCTAGATCATCAATACTGCCATGCTGGTCAAAGCGTACCTCAACTGCATGTGCAAGGTTGTCGAGGGCCCTGGGACGGTATTTTTGGCCCAGAGGGCAGAGCTCGAGCACGACTCGTCGAAGGTGGATACCTTCGTCAGATGCATCAATCGGAAGTTTGTTGCATCCGCTGATCGCATAATCAACCTCCCTGTCTACGCTGGTGCTACGAAGGTAGGTGCCCTCTGGACAGAGGGGCAGTAGCTTGCAGCACAGTTGCAGGGATTTGTGAATATAGACGGCGGTGCGCTCCTTGCTGTAGCGCCAGTTCAATGCGAAAATGAGATGATAGAGAGATAAAGCGTGATCTGGATGGCCCTGCGGACGCAATGCAAGTGCTTTGTGGAAGAGGGAAGTGGTGGTATCAATGTCTTGGAGATCGTTTCGAATGTAGCCTTGAAGGCGGGCCCACGCGAGGTTGGTGAGAGCCGCTGCGTGGTCAGGATGGTCGACCGGACAGCGGTCCAAAACCAATTGAAAATGTTGTAAAGCATGGTTCAGGTGAGAGATTGTCTTGGTGGTCCTATATTCGGCATATCGTGCGTGGCCCGCATCTGTCTCTCGAGCAATCTGGCAGTCTACAAGAGACTACAGTTGACATTTCGTCAGCAAAAGCTAACCGCAGAAGCCAGCGTCACCCACGTCAAATAGTGCGCTGTCCTGGTTATCGCAAGCGTGTACAATAGCGGCTTTCAGCGTGAGCGAAGGATTGACATCATGAACAGGAGGGAAGGACAATTCTACGGGATGTGAGTGGATATACATGAATGAGAAGTAGGTTACTCACCGAATGGCTCATCGCCACGATCGAGCAGCTCATCCCACGATGTGTGAAGTTGTCCAATGACTTCTCCATTTCCAAGCATTCGATCGACCTCGTAGGGCGCTCTGATTTCCACTGATAATGCAGGTGACTCGTGAGATGATCTGTAAACCGAAGATGAGTTCTTGAATCACGTCCGAAAGTTTTAATGGACTTTACAAAGTCACGGTATCTCCGCACGCTACAGATTTGTCGGATGATAAGACTCTGACGGTTGATTTCCAGCGTCTCGTTGAGTCGACATTGATGGATATGTAAATACCAGCGGGCATGCGCTTGGAAGGGACTTTGAGGTTTCTTCCGCTGATGACTGTAGATAGAGTGTGATGATCACAAAGAGATGCGAAGGTTTACAGAGTGGCCTACCTTCAAGTCTAATAGATTGGATTTCTGCAATACCGGGCATGATGGTACGGCGAGGATCGAGGGTGGGTTTGATGGTGGGTGGTAGGAGAAGATGGGGTTAAGGATATGTGGACTGTAGATGGAGTTTGGGTGAGAGGGAGACACGAGTTGAACACTGATGATTGTTCTAATGCGGCTCGATCGCAGCGTAGCCTATACCCAGTTCATTCTTGGATTCTGACGTCTTCTCCCCAATGCTTGTCCTCATTCTACACATGTGGCAACCTAAGTTGCCACAGCTTTGCCTGATCAGCGCTCAGCGCTCAGCGATGGAGAAGTACCTGACAATCTATAGTCAAGACTCAGCATTAATATTGGCCCATCAGTAGAAATAGAACATTAGGTCGATGACTCGATGAGGCAAGCTCGGGTTTCTGCCAATGTTTTTCAAGTCATGTGACTGGGAGATTCTGAAACAAACAAAAGTCACGGTTATGATGTAACCGGTGAGTATAAACAACTTCACTGGTTGAACTACGCCGGAATCCCCGTTGTGGACAGGCCTCCTGATGATCGGATCTTTCAATCACTTTAATGGACTGACTAACCAAGTACTGAAACTCTGCCACAGTGCCACGTCGGCGCGCCCCAACGGTAAGTCATTTCCAATACTCTTATCTGTCCCTAGATTTTGCCTATATTCTTAGTAGCTGCAAGGAGGCACGCGCCAGGGCGCGATTGGTACGTTATACCACACATCAGGCCATTTGAACCGCATATCAGTCAAGACGGCGGAATAAAATATTTTGATGTGGCGCCACAGTCGGTCCGTTGAAATGATAGGGGTCCAACGTTCACTGATCGCGAGGCTCAAGAGTTGAACGACGTTTGGAGAAAAAATTGTCGCCTGTACGCTATTCCGAATTGGAGGCAAACATACACACGTATTTTGTTGACAGTTATCAGACGACACTTCAGCGTCACAATCTGAAGACCGAATAATCGCAACTCACAAAAACAAAACAAAAAAAGAACATACAGTCGCATCATTGTAATCATCATGACAAGGCCATTTTTTGATACCTGTTCCATCGCCTCGGATTGGTCGTGTAGAGGGATGCGCAGTATTTCGGGACCAATTCCTAGCACCATATGGCTCTCGGCCATCGAATGTCCTGCCCATCTGCAGGTGAAGTAATTCTGATGGGAAAGCCGTGCAAAGGTAACCTGTCCCAATGAAATGTAGGAATGCATCGTTGTCCTGGCGCGTGCCAGAGCTACAGTATAAAGGCGAGAGGAGGGTGCTAGCTTTCCATTCAACTCAACAGAAGATAAATCATCAAGCCTTAGCATTCTCTTCCCAACAAACATGAAATTCATCTCACTCACCTCTTTCATCGTGTCTGTCGCGGTGATGACTGGCGTGGCAACCGCGTACAACCCCATCGGCCAGTCTTGTGACACCTTTAGTGAGTGCTCTTGCCACAGACTCGTGCACTTCGGGGCATGCAGATATTTGATAGAATGCTGACGGCTGCTTGCAGATATTCTTTCATGCGGACAGGACGCGAGCCTGAACGGCGGGAATCCGTTCATTTATGAATGTGTACCAACCATAGACGAGTACGTGTACGTTGTAGGCTGCCCCTGCCCCACTTGCTGTGTCACCGCGTCCGCTGGTGTTGCGTACTGCGTTTGAAAGTGAGAAGTGAGCGCTGTTTTTCCTCGATGACTAGTCTGAGTGCTGATGAGTTTGCTTTCGCAAGAGAGATTGTGCGTGGAATAATGTACCGTGATACGTGAGAGGAATATAGAAGGAGTGTTGTATCCCGGTCAATAATAGATTGTGTATGGAACTAGTCCCACTTGGTAGTGCTGTGTAATGTCGCAAATCAAGGCGCGAGTTCCATTGGAAATTGTCGAGCATCCTAAGTCGTTATTCCTAATTGGGTGGTCAAGGGTACTACGCTGCAGTGGGGAACTTGCCCTTAAGTCGCAACGTGTTGAACACAGATGCCGTAGAATGAATGAGTTCATTCCGTTGCAATACATAATCTGACCGCTGCATATTGGTACATAGAATAAATGAGCTGAGCGAGATGATATGATGGCAACATACATATACTGGTGAGCCCGCAGCCTAAGCTGCGTGGTAAAGAGACGCGTGTCACTGTGCCTTGTAGCTATCGAAGGTGATAAGCGAGAAAGGAGTTCATGTGTAAGTATAGATGTTCCTAACCCATTTACTTGACATCCATCCTGCGGTGTGTTAAGCGCAACAGTATCCTCGGGTTGCGGTGTGAATGAGTGGGAGCATGAAAGGACAAAGCACGCCAAGTTCGAAGAATGGCAGGGCGAGTAAAACGAGCGGCCCCGCGAGAACAAATGAGCAGAAAACTCGCAAGTCAACTGAAGAATAGGAGTGGCGGGTGAGGAGCAGAACCGCGCTCGCATCTACAACCCTACTGCTGCCATTCCCCGATTCAGCTTCGAATTCTCCATATGTGCAACAACAGTGAGATGTCGTGAGGCGGCTGACAATCTGAGCGATGTGCATTTGTGCAGCATCCGTCGCAGAGCGAACAAGCACGACTTCGGTAACGGGAACTAGTTGGAGGCGTGAGCATAGATTGATGAGGTAGTACGAGATGATGTCGCAAATATTCGAATACACACGTCAGTGAAGACTGTAGAGTGGAAAACAACACTGCAAAGCGAACGTGAATGTGAAAACAAGATAGCACAAGAGAACGTGCCGGATGTAACAGGGTATTTGAGTGGTTCCTACAACTTAGGTTACAACGTAGACTAAAAGAATTAAAGAACCCGTGAAACCGTACATGATGAAAACAAAGTAATACAGCAGGAACTACACACCGATATGAATGAAAACCATCCTCTGCTCGAGCGGCACCTTCGTCTTCACAGCGTGAGTTGCACGGTTCAGTGCCCAAGCCGCCTTCGTACAGTCCATGAACCCGCCATCCTCCACATGTTTGACCATATTCTCGTAGAAAGCTTCAACAACGTGTTTGGCGACAGCATCATCGACCTCCCACAGCGTGCCAATGACACTCTTAAACCCTGAAAACTGAAGTCCAGCTGCGAGATGGATGACTTCGTCAGGCGTCTCCTCATCACCGACGGCGGTATGACACGCCGACAAGAACGCGAACTCCGCGTGTGGAATATCTTTCTCCATGATGTCGAGCAGCGTGAGAGGTGCGTCCTTCATGACGAAATGGGAATCGTAAGGCTGATCGTGGTCCTGCTTGCCGTGACATGCGAGATGCACCCAAGTGTTCTGTTCCAGGGCTTCGAGTGTACCTGCTCGTGTGGCTGCGTCGCCAGAAACAGTGGAACGATTGGCCGTCGCGGGGACGAGCTTATGGACAAGCTCGAGCTCGCTGTCGACAGCTAAGAGCTCCTTGCCATTCCCTCCACCCGGTTGGCCTTGCCCAACCGCCACAAAGGATGGAGGCACAAGACGTTTCTTCATCATCTGCCTAGATCTGATCAGCGCCGAAAGTGTCGGCGTGTAAGAACATATGTAGAGATCCTCCAGGCATGGCTCCTTCCCAGAGCGATCCGCCTTCATTTGAAAGGGGTGAGCTGCGTGGAGAGGAATAGAAGTGAAAGCTGCAGTTGGACACAGCCAGATTCGAGATCCACGCTTTAATTTGAGGACATGCTCAAGCACGTTGACGATGGGTAGCATGATTTCGTCCCATACTATCCGCAATAGGACTATTAGGTCTGTCCTTGAATCTGTTAGGCTCATCCGAGATGCTTCATGTATCGCCCTGGCAAAGCGACCCTTGAGAATCTCCAGATCTGTGAGAGTGACAGATGGCAAGGGAATATGACGGGGCTCTCCTGAAGTCGGGACAACGATGGCGCTGCACGAGTATTGGCTGGCAATGAGGATGATGACCGGGCCATTGCGAGCTGCCACTTTCAAGTCTTCGTACAAAGGTGGAAGTAGGAACCGCGAGAAAGCTTGAAGATCACGTATCTCAGCTACCACAGCATCCCATTGCCTTGTAAGTCTCCTATACTCTGTTGCTGCTCGATCAGCAGCAGCTCGGTCTGTACTGCCTGTGGAACCCTGGGCGTTAGAAAGACGTTTGCTGAGCTCCGAGAACTTGTGAGCTAGCTTGGGATTCGTAGACTGGAGGTCTTCGAGTGGACTCCTCAGGCGAGAGGCCAATGACCAATGTTGGCCACGGCCCTGCTCCGCAAGTTCGACTGCACGATGGATATTTTCACTGCGGATGGCACATGATGCTGCATCCACAGGTAGTGATCTGGCATAGTGGAAGGCAGCGGCAGCTTCGCGCCGCGAAGTGGTCGACGATCGTGTTCCCAAATGAGCATCGAGAAGCTCGAAAAATGTTGAGTAAGCCTCAAGTGCGGATCCATCATCATGCTGCTCTGCTTTGACAGTCCAATGATATGCCTCATTGATGCGTGCTGGGAATCCTTGAGTGGGGTGTCTCGACGCCAGTCTGGAGTTCTCCATCGCCAGCGACAAGTCAGCAGGGTTGTGTTGCACTTGGTAACGACACAGATAGGCTTCCTGCAGCCACCTCAAACTGAAGTATCTATCCGGGTGCAGTAAAGGCAAAACCACCAACGACTCTTGGGAGAGTCGAATAGCCTCCTCGACATCCTCATTCTGCCCAGTTCGCGTGAAACGAAAGCAGAGCGCCGAGCTCAAATTGTTAAGAGTTCTATGGCGCTCTGGATCATCAGCCCGCTTTAACAGAAGAGATTCGTGATACAGATCAATGGCCTCGTTAAGATCCTCGATGACATGCAATTTGACATATCTGGTTTTGAGTGCGAGGGCAAGGTTGTTTAGTGTGGTGTCACGACGTGGATGCCCAGGTGGGCACAACATCAGTGCCTCGCGATAGAGGCTGAGAGCTCGGTTTATGTCATCAATATCACCGTGTTGCTTGAAACGGGTGCAGAGGGCGCCCCCTAGGTTGTCCAATGAGAAATCACGACATTTGTGCCCAACAGGACTCAGGCGCAGCGCTTCTTCGTACATGGAGATGACCTCGTCGAAGTCATGAAATTTTCCTTGGTGATGAAAGCGGGATTCGAGTGAGAGGGCCAAGTTGTTCAGGTAGTCGCCACGGTCATAATGTCCCTCAGGGCACAGAGAAACGGCTTCACGACCAAGTTGTATGCTCTCATCTATATCATCAATGCTGCCGCGCTGTCTAAAGCGTGTTTTGAGAGCCCATGAAAGATTGTCAAGTGCGTTTGGACGGTATTTCTGGCCCAGAGGGCAGAGCTCGAGCACGACTCGTCGAAGGTGGATGTCTTCGTCAGATGCATCAATCGGAAGATCGTTGCATTCGTCAATCACATAATCAACCGCATCGTCTACGCCGATGCTACGAAGGTAGGTGCCCTCTGGACAGAGCGGCAGTAGCTTGCAGCACAGCTGCAGGGATTCGTGAATGAAGACGGCGGTGCGCTCCTTGCTGTAGCGCCAGTTCAATGCGAAAATGAGATGAAAGAGAGATAATGTGTGGTTTGGATGGCCCTGCGGACGCAATGCAAGGGCTTCGCGGAAGAGGGAAGTGGTGCTATCAATGTCTTGCAGATCGTTTCGAATATAGCCTAAAAGGCGGGCCCGCGCGAGGTTGGTGAGAGCCGCTGCGTGGTCAGGATGGTCGACCGGACAGCGGTCCAGAACCAATTGAAAACGCTCTACAGCATCGTTCAGCTGACAGACCCACTTGTGCCTCATGTATCTGGTGAATCGAACGTGGCCTGCATCTGTCTCTCGAGCAATCTCGCAGTCCACGAGGGACTACAGTTGGTGTTCTGTGAGCGCAGCTGACAGGACAAAGTCTGGGGTTACTCACATCAAGTAGTGTGCCGTCCTGATCATCACTAGCATGCACAACAGTGGCCTTCAGCGTGAGCGAAGGAGTGACACCACGAACGGGTGGGAAGGATAGTTCTACAAAATATGAGTAGATGTGCAGGAATGAGAAGTAGGTTGCTCACCGAATTGTTCATCTCCATGACCGAGCAACTCATCCCACGATGTTTGAAGTCTTCCGATGATTTCACCACTGCCCAGCGTTCGATCGAGCTCAAATGAAGCTCTAATCTCCATTGATAATGCAGGAGACTCGTGTGATGATCTATAAACCGAAGATCAGTGTTGATTCGCATCCGAAAGTTTCAATGGACTTTACAGGGTCACGGAATCTCCCCACGCTACAGATTTGTCGGATGACAAGACTCTAATGGCTGATTTCCAGCGTCTTCTCGAATCGACATTGATGGATATGTAAATACCAGCGGACATGCGATGGGAAGGGATTTGAAGATTCTGTCCACCGATAACTGTAGATAGAGGGTCATAATCACAGAAGACATACAAAGGTGATGCAGAGTAACCTACCTTCAAGTCTAATAGATTGGATTTCTGCGCTACCGGGCATGATGATACGATGAAGCAAAACGATGAGGATCGAGGATGGGCTTAGTGGAGTGTGGAAGGAGAAGACGGGGTATAGGGATATGTGGACCGTGGATGGAGTTCACCCGAGAGGAGGAGAAGAGGTTTGGGGTTCGATGATGGCTGCACGTGTATTTGGATCATATTGTTGAGGGCTGTTCAGCACAGGTACGATTAGACTAAGCTCTGAGACCAAAAGATGACCGAGTATGATGGTTGCTACTCCAGGACGGTACGACGCATTTAGCACACCAAGGTAAAATATAGAATCGAATTTATTCGTAATGTAATACAAACTGGTGAAAACAGAAAAAGCCGAACGATTGAGCTGACAGTGCCATGGGATGATTGAGAGTGTTATAGAAACACCAGTAACGGTTTGCGAGAGTATGAGTCGGAATTCAGCAGCTTGATATAGCTGAATGCGATACAACGGGTGATGAAGAGCGTTAATGCGACCTGAAACAAGCGACGATCAGTCTAAACAATATCTGGGGAGTATGTCTACTGTTGAACGAGCCGGTGTGTTTTCCTGAGCAACGGGAGACTCAAGTAACAGCAAATGTGCGACTCGCATCTTGGGTCGAACTTCGACAGAAAGAAGCACAGCCACCCACCGGTTTGCCGAGTTCATGTCGTACCCTCAAAATCACATTGCCCGATCGTCCTAGTAGCGAATTCCCAGAAACGACTTATATCAAACAATGATACTACGCACCATGGGTCTTCTGCGACCGAAGACCACTTCTCTTGTGTACTCCAAATAATTATAAGTACGTCTTCCCCATCCCCAGTACATGCGACTCCTTCTACTTCTCACGCGACTACCGCTTCATCATCAAGACCATCCAACATGCAGAATACAAGTTCATTCTCCGTGTTCTCAGGCAGTACTGCGACCCGATTACTGATGGGGGACGAAGTACCCGTTTCCCCCCATATCGTATCCTCAAGTCGTACAGATAAAGTGTCTTGTCTTACGAGTCTGTCAAACGCGCGACTGCCGTTACAGTGCCCTCTCGTGATCTTCTCACTTTCAATCGAGTGGGATACTTAGAACGAGCTCCAGCATTTCACTGGAGATCGATGGTCTTGAGTCACGGTCCAGGAGGGTTTGAGGATTGTAAGTGTCTTGCCACTGCTAAGGTGCGTGTACTCCGCATTTATGGCTGTTTCATTACATTAACCTACCTCGCATTTCTATAGACACCCAGGATATGACCTTCTTCGTCTCCACACCTCCATCAAGTCTACGCCAAGAATGTTTCGCAAGCGCTTTCCTTGGCATGCCATTTCCACAGTTTCCTAAGTGTATCCCATCCCATCTCATTATGATAGTGTAGTTAGGACTTTTCCGTTCTCAAATCTCGCCGGCAATACTTACGGCCTGTTGAATCGTCAGCCTCACGATGGCTGCATGACGAATGGCTGCTATGTGTTATTTTTCATTATTGCCACTTTCACTGACATAAGCGCTCATCGCCCTATGCGCAGACTTTTGCCAGATACAAATATCTAACGCTTTGCGACAAGCTCCAAGTGTATATGTGAGCGTCTTCTATTTCATCCTCTACCATTTCATGTCATTCACAGAAAAATAGTCAGCAAATGGAACTTGAATCTCGCAGGCAACACGCTGCAACCACAACCATCCATCCGAGGTAGATAGGTGAAGCCAGCTTCCAGAAACGCGCATATAGGCTGTTTTGCTGTCGCTGAATCTCGTAACGGTGGCTACCCATGCGGATACCTTTCTCGTCATTTTAAAAACACGTCTCTAACTGAGTTCGAGTCTGTGCTTGAGTTCACGAAGATTTCATTAGATGGATAGCGGCTTTCCCGGTATCGCAATCATGCAACCAATTTCCAGATCAACCGTCGTCATGAGGTACCAGTATCTTGAGTGCCGCAGGTCCTGAATACGCGGCTCCCCCGGACACAGTCTACCCTCCCATTACAAACGTCGAAGGACACTCATGACGGATTGTCGCTTGTTTTAACACCATCGTGTGTATTTCAGACATTCTCAACTATTTTCTAACTTCTTGATGTATCCAGCGTAGATGAACACAGCCAGGTGCTATTCAGTCATTCAAAGGTGAGCACTCGTGTCGCTTTTCCTCCCTGACACCTTCATCCGTATAATGCAGTACAGCAGCCTTTTCCTGAGTTCTTCTTAGCTGCAGCCGTTTTCAGTAAAATCTCATTCAACAGCCCACCCGTAATCAAATACTTCGCTCAGTCCTCGCTGCTCACTTCTTGAAATCAGCGAACGACGTTGGCGACATCCCACAATTGTCATATTACCTGTGCACTCCTACATCTACACATATGACGCGCGTTCATAATTCCAAATGTTCTTTGGCACGAGTACAATTAATCGGTACGAAACTACGAGTGCCTAACCATAGGAGATGACAATTGAGTCCATGCATTGTCCGCCATATAAGCGCACACCTCCTTGAGTTGAGAGATCACTAGTGTCGCAGCGGATGTAAGCAATGCACAGATCAAAAAAAAGGCCCCAGGATTGACGAAGCTACTGACTTCGATGGGTGCACATGTTAGTTGAAGGTGTTCCATGGTGCAGAAGGACTTGAAAGCTTGAAGTTTGACGAATGGTCTGACTGGAAAGCGTGAGTCGGTCTGGGTCGGCTCGTACGATGTACTCAAGTAGAAGACGAGGCTGCAAATGACTAGGGTACACAAAAACTCGGGTGAATATTCTACGCCGTACAGAACAATAACACGAAAGAGGATACAAAAACGAGATAACGGGAGCGCAAGAGTATCAGGGTCATGACTACAAAAAGCAGGACGAAAAAGGATCGCAGATAAACAACTTGTGAACATGTACCAGACGACAGCAATATCACATAGAACTACACACCAATATGTATGAAAACCATTCTCTGCTCGAGCGGCACTTTTGTCATCACGGCGTTTGTAGCACGATTGAGTGCCCAGGCCGCCTTCGTACAGTCTATGACACCGTCCTCTAGGTCTTCGAACATCTTCTCGTAAAAAGCTTCCACGACGTATTTTGCGAGAGCGTCACTGACCCCCCACAGCGTGCCAACGACGCTCTTGAACCCCGAAAACTGGAGTCCTGCTGCGAGGTGGATGGCTTCGTCGGGTGTCTCCTCATCGCCGACGGCGGTATGACATGCTGACAAGAATGCAAATTCAACTTGTGGAGAATTGTTCTCCATGATGTCGAGCAGTGTAACAGGTTTGTCTCTCATGGCAAAACATGAATTATAAGGCTGCTCAAGGTCTTGCTTCCCGTGACAAGCGAGGTGCACCCAGCTGTTGCACTGCAAAGCATTGAGCGCACCTGCTTGTGTGGCTTCGTCTTTCGAAAGATTAGTGAACTTGATGTTGGGAGGAACGAGTGTATGGACAAGCTCAAGCTCACTATCAACAGCCGGGAGCACGTCACCTTGCCCTGCGCCCGGTTGACTTTGTCCAATCGCCGCGAAGGACGGAGTCACGCGCGTCTTCATCGCCTGCCGAGCTCTAATAAGAGCTGAAAGTGTGGGTGTATAAGAGCAGATGTAGAGATCCTCCAAGCATGGCTCGCTTCCAGAGCGATCTGCGTTCATTCGGAAGGGATTAGCTGCATGGAGAGGGATGGACGTAAAGGCTGCCGTTGGACACAGCCATATTCGAGACCGATGCTGCAATTTTAGGTCATGCTGGAGGACGTTTACGATGGGTAGCATGATCTCGTCCCATAATATCCGCAAGCGTACTCGCAGCTTCTTCCTTGGTTCCGCTGGGTGCATACGAGCCGCGTGCCGGATTGCTGTAGCGAAGTCGTCCTTGAGCTTCTCCAGATCTGCGAAAGTGATGCGCGGGAAGCGAACGTGATGAGGCTGTCCAGATGTCGGGACAACAATGGCGCTGCATAAGTATTTGCTTGCAACAAGGATGATGACTGGGCCATGGCACGCTGCTGCTTGCAAGTCTTCATACAAAGGTGGGAGCAGGAACCGCGAGAACGCCTGGAGATTACGGATTTCAGCTACTGCGGCTTCCCATTGCGTCGTAATTTTCCTGTACTTTGTTTCCGCTACTTCAGCTGCAGTTCTGTCGGTGATGGTTGCAGAACCCTGAGCGGCGTCGGAAACGCGCTTGCTCAGTTCCGAAAATTTGCGGGCTAGATGTGGATGTCTTGATTCGAGGTCTTCAACTGGAGTTTTGAGTCGAGAGGCCAATGACCATTGCTGGCCACGGCCCTGCTCCGCAAGTTCGACCGCGCGTCGGAGATTGTCACTGCGGATGGCACATGATGCTGCATCTACAGGTAGTGATCTGGCATAGTGGAAGGCAGCGGCAGCCTCGCGCCGCGAAGTGGTTGATGATCGTGTTCCCAAATGAGCATCCAGAAGCTCAAAAAATGTTGAGTAGGCCTCAAGTGCGGATCCATCAACATGCTGCTCCGCTTTGACAGTCCAATTAAATGCATCAACGAGACGGTTCGGAAATCCTTGAGTAGGGTGTCGTGATGCCAGCCGGAAGTTCTCCATTGCGAGTGACAGATCAGCAGGCTTGTGCTGAACCTGGTAACGAGATATATATGCCACACGTATGCTGAAGTATGAGTAGTGCCTGTCAGGGTGGAGTAGTGGCAAAGCCGCTAATGACTCTTGGCAGAGTCGAATAGCCTCTTCAACATCTTCATTCTCCCGAGTTTGCGTGAATCGAGAGCAGAGCGCCGAGCTCAAAATGTCAAGAGTTGCAGGGCGCCCTGGATGATCAAGCCGCTTTAACAGAAGAGATTCGCGATACAGATCAATGGCCTCGTTAAGATCCTCGATGATATGCCATTTGTCATATCTGGTTTTGAGCACGAGGGCAAGGTTGTTAAGCGTGGTGTCACGACGTGGATGCCCAGGTGGGCGCGAGGTCAGTGCCTCGCGACAGAGGCTGACAGCTCGGTTGATGTCATCAATGTCACTGCGCTCGTTGAAACGGGTGTGGAGGGCGCCCCCTAGGTTGCCCAATGAGAAATCACGTTGTTCGTGCCCAACAGGACGCAGACGCAGCGCTTCTTCGTGCATGGAGATAGCCTCGTCAAGGTCATGGGATTTGCTTTGGTGATCAAAGCGGGATTCGAGTGAGGAGGCCAAGTTATTCAGGTAGTCACCGCGATCAGAATGTCCCTTGGGGCACAGGGAAACAGCTTCACGACCAAGTTGTATGCTCTCTTCTAGATCATCAATGTTGCCACGCTGGTCAAAGCGTACCTCAACTGCCTGTGCAAGCTGGTCGAGGGCGCTGGGACGGCATTTCTGGCCCAGAGGACAGAGCTCGAGAACGACTCGTCGAAGGTGGATGCCTTCATTAGATGCATCAATCGGAAGATTGTTGCATTCGCTGATCACATAATTCAGTGCACCGTCTACGCGGATGCTACGAAGGTAGGTGCCCTCTGGACAGAGCGGCAGTAGCTTGCAGCACAGCTGCAGGGATTCGTGAATGAATACGGCGGTGCGCTCCTTGCTGTAGCGCCAGTTCAATGCGAAAATGAGATGATAGAGAGATACTGTGTGGTTGGGATGGCCCTGCGGACGCAATGCAAGGGCTTCGCGGAAGAGGGAAGTGGTGGTATCAATGTCTTGCAGATCGTTTCGAATATAGCCTTGAAGGTGGGCCCACGCGAGGTTGGTGAGAGCTGCTGCGTGGTCAGGATGGCCGACCGGACAGCGGTCAAGAACCGACTGAAAACGCTCCACAGCACCGTTCAGGTGAGAGACCCTGCCGCGTCTCATGTATCTGGAGAATCGTACATGGCCCGCATCTGTTTCTAGAGCAATATTGCCGTCTACGAGGGACTACAGTTGGTATTCTGTCAGCACAACCAGCAGGGCAAAGTCTAGGGTCACTCACGTCAAGTAGTAGTGCGCCGTCCTGATTATCACTAGCATGTACAACAGAGGCCTTCAGCGTGAGCGAAGGATTGACACCACGAACGGGTGGGAAGGACAGTTCTACAGGATGTGAGTAGATGTGCAGGAATGAGAAGTAGGTTGCTCACTGAATGGTTCATCTCCATGATCGAGCAACTCATTCCACGATGTTTGAAGTCTTCCGATGATTTCACCACTGCCCAGCGTTCGATCGAGCTCAAATGAAGCTCTAATCTCCATTGATAATGCAGGAGACTCGTGTGATGATCTATAAACCGAAGATCAGTGTTGATTCGCATCCGAAAGTTTCAATGGACTTTACAGGGTCACGGAATCTCCCCACGCTACGGATTCGTCGGATGACAAGACTCTAATGGCTGATTTCCAGCGTCTCTTCGAATCGACATTGATGGATATGTAAATACCAGCGGACATGCGAGTGGAAGGGACTTGAAGATTCTGTCCACTGATAACTTTAGATAGAGGGTCAGAATCACAAAAGACATACAAAGGCGATGCAGAGTAACCTACCTTCAAGTCTAATGGATTGGCTTTCTGCGCTACTGGGCATGATGGAACGATCAAGCAAAACGATGAGAATGGAGGCTGGAGGCTGGGCTTAGTGGTGGGTGGAACGAGCGGTAGGAGAAGACGGGGGTAGGGATAGGTGTAGATGGAGTTTGGTTGTGAGAGCGAGAGAAGAGGTTGAGGGGCAGGTGATGGTGCATGCATGTCTATTTGGATCATGTTGTTGAGGGCTGTTCAGTACAATAGACGCTGGTACGATTAGACTTAGCGTTGAGACCAAAATATGACCGAGTAGGATTAGCGGGAGAACCTGTGGGTGGGCGATGCCAAGGTCAGACATATCAGCGAAAGTGGCACGCCAACTTGAAAGTCATGCGAGACTCTGAGCGTCCTGTGACGTTTGCTACTACGACTCATTTAGTACACCAAGGCAAAATGTAGCATCACGTTTATTTACTAAGGTAAGGCAAAATGGTGAAAACAATATGCGCACAGAAAAGCTGAACGATTGTATATGAGTACAGTCGAGCTGATGTGAGGATGATCGAGCACGTTATGGAAACACCAGAAATGGTTTGCGAGAGAGAATTCAGCTGATATAGCTGTGCGGCAGACGATATAACGAGTGACCAAGAGCATGAATGCGACCTGGGACAAGAGTCAGAAGCGACAATTAGTAGTAGATCAGTCTTTACAATACCTGGGGAGTTAGTATGTCCACCGTTGAACGAGCCAGATGGAACACTCCGCCCGTGTTCGGAATTCGCCGAATGCACACTTGGACGGTGCATCGATTATATAAGCATCACTGCAATTGAATTTTATTGTCGTCCAATCGTCGTCCACCTAATTCCTCAATATTCAATATTGATGTGGGAGCCGCTCACTGAACAAGTCTTTTCCAGTGCTCCTGTCTACGACCTTATATTCTGCGATTTGAGTCCTCGCACCCTCGTCCGGCTGTCGCTTACATGTCGTACAACACACAAAGCAGTCACTCGTTTTTTCAAGCGTGCGTACAACGTCAACCGACATCTATCTCATTATTTCCCAGATCCTCTCTCATTTCGCTCCCTCCAAGCCCGAACTGGACTGGTCATTTCTGGATCTAACGCACTTCAGTTTTTGGACCGTACCTTCTACCCCGAGTCAGATCTCGACGTCTACTCTCACGCTGGTCACGTTTACGAGGTCCTGGAGTGGATCGAGAGCACCGGGTATAAGTTTGAGCCCCACAAATATCAAGGGGAGGACTGGCATGACCATGTTTCGCCTGACTGGGATGGAACAGTAGCAAGAACGACTCGATTCATACCGACGGGAGAAGATGTTCGCTCGACGCGGTATTCTAACATCGCTGAAGTCTACACGTTCAAGCGGCTTGTGGATATCGGTGGAGAGCTTGTCGAGCTCCAGATTCAAGTCATCGAGACGATTTGCAATCCTATTGATACCATCATGAAGTATCACTCAAGTTAGTTAAAACTATCCCCTTTCTTTTGCACGCGTGTTGACCCTCTTGGTCCCAGCTTGCGTTATGAACATCATTACTTTCAATGCGGCGTATTCGTTCTACCCGATCGCGACATTTGAAGACCGAAGCGCAGTCAAAATCCCCGGATCGAGGCACCGTCCGGATGTCCTCGCAAAGTATGTGAAAAGAGGTTGGAGAGTCTACTCAGTGTTCAGGCCCAAGGATATCGCGCAGCCCTATAAATCACCATTCCTCCCGAACGTGACCCGATGGGTCGGTGATCGTCACTGTTGGACCATTCCGTTAGATACATCGGGAGTCGGGCCCCGCACAGCGTCGTCCCCGTCCTCGGAACAATTTTCATGGGACCCCTCAACCCAGAACGGTTGGATAATGAAGACCATGCCAGCCGCTATGAAAGGTCTCAGCGTACCAGATATGGATTACAATCCCATCACGACCACTATATTCCGTTACAACTATATCGTTCCCAGTGAATCACTCGCTTCAACGATCCGTGGGTGGGCGTTCTCCCAGGGTAAGCTTAACCATGAAATATTAACTAGACACAACTGGACTTGGTGCGTCTATCGATACCCAAACCGTTTCTCGTGCATTCACACCTGCGCTTAGGTTCGATGCTGAAATACCGGGGTTCCGTGAGCAGGTGACATAGAAAATGTATCGGTAGTCGAACCAGACCGGTACCGTCGTTTCATTGGGTCTTTCTTTCTTTTTGTTGAGACTCGTTGTCCCACACGTATCACACGCGGGTCATAATTACTTGCCTATGTCATTCTCTTAGGCATGCTCTGAAGATTTTTTTTTAATATCGCAAGTCGGAATACAATTTTTGCGTCAACATCGAAAGTAGGTATTGCTAAGCACTGTGAATTCAGAACAGACACCCACGATGAAAGACAGCAATATATGCTGTTCTTGTGCGCCCAGCCCACTGGCACTTGGCAAAGGTTGAAACTATTGAATTGAAGATCGCTGAGGGGCCTTGTATGTGCACACGTACTGCATAACACCGTACCTCATCAAGCATATACCCGCTTCGCTGCGGTGTTGAAGCCCTCATACAGCTTTGGCGAACCCAATTCGGGCGACGCCCGTCGGATTAAAGTCGAAAATCGTGTAGTATCGGCGGAGGAACAGCTCGCCTGAAGGCATAGCTAATCAACAGCAAACTAACGGCAACGCATAGATCACGTACCCAAAATCCACAGTGAACGTCCAATCGCATGTATATCTGCACCAATAAACGGCGAAATGCAGCGGTCCTGACTCTCTACAACCACATAATCACTTCCCTTCAGTGCGTAGGGTTTGCCGTTGAAATAAAACGTCAGTTCCGGCAACGATGAGATTTTGGTGCAGTCAACAAAGTGAAGGGTCGAGTTCTCGCGACGGGTGGCACCAATTTTGGTGTTGAACTTTTCGGCAATCTTTGTGGGGAGTGCGATGAGGGAGGTGCCTGTATGTAATTTAGTGATTTGGAGTCAGTCAGGCAAGCAGGGACGTACCAGTGTCGATAGCAGCGCCCGTCCTCTTGCTTTTGAAATCTAGTATCGTATCTCCAAATGTGACTTTCTGAAGCTTAACCTCCCAGTTTCCAGTACTGCTCAAAGGCACATAGGCGATGCCACCAGTGTAAGCCAGCGGGTCTATACCGCCAAATGTGACTTCACCAGCGTCAACCTCAGAGCGACCAAAGCGGAAGGAGAAGACGGGCTTGAGACCTCCATCGACCATGTTGTAAAACGGAGGGACGACGTGCTTGTGGGAGTGGGTTTTGTAGCCAAGACCGAGGACACCCCCGAAGCTCGTGTACGTGTCAATTGTGGCGCGCTAATATTATAGAGTGAGGTACACACGTGCAGGCCACACTACCCCCAGTAACCTCTCCGAAGTTCTGGCCACTGACAGCGAGGTTTTCGATGCGGAGGTCATCTTGGGAGATGATGCCCTTCACGGAGCCAGTTTCGTACCCGGAGGAGAACCTAGCGCCATTCGCCTTGTATGTGGAGGAAGCACTGGAATTGTACTTCAAATGGATGAGACTCGGAGGTTTGCACGAGTCAGATTCGTACTTGGAGCTGGTGACCCAGAAGTCACTTGACCTGGGGACGGGTGAGTCCTCAGAGTATGACAAAAGTAAGTAATTTCCTTACCCAGTGTCAAGGATAACCTTGAACATTTGAGGTGGAGTGCCGAGCTCAATCTCAACATAATGCCGAAATATATTAGGGAAGTCTGGGAAGTGTGAATATGACAGCAAGGGAGGAAACGGTGGTAAATACCGAGGGGGACACGATGGCCGTCGTTGATGAACTCCTGGTTCCAGACGAGACTATTTTCCTCGAGTGTTGGACGAATGTTACGTCCAGCGCCACCAACTCCCATCAAAGGGAGTTGTTGGTAAGGAGTCTGTGCGCCATATTTCTCAGTGAGGAAGGCTGTCTCAAGCGCATGTTCCAGTGAGACTTGTGGGAGCTTCTTGAGCTTTAACGTGTGAACACTCGCTGAGGTGAATGGGAGGAGGACAAGGATAGTGGTGAACCCGGAGAGCAACATTATTGGAGAGGCGCGAGTCTAAGAAATTCGTAATGCTCAAACACAACATCTTATAGATTCTTAAAAAGGCCCGGCGTTTCCAAGGAGTCCGATGCCGGAGGCTTGCAATCTCGGTTCCGAGTCGACCTGAGTTCGACGAGGAGAGTTAGTAGGCATGGTGGGCGCTCGGTACTTGAGGACTGGCAGATCGGCGCGACGGCAAGGCGCTAGTACACAAATATTTGACGGACGGGTGTGGACAAAAAATCCTGTCACATTCAACGCTCAGTGTGCCCCGGCTTAAATTCAACGGAAACGTTACCTATTTTCCTTCACACCTCTCTTCAAACACATAGGAAAGAAGACACGAATTATTATGTTAATTAACTCACGGCAGTGTGCCCAATGCCCAATGCCCACAGACTCTCAGCTGCAACCCTTCAAGCGCGCGCACGCACAAGAGTATAAAGGTGCACTTCTTACTTTTTGTTCGTGTGACTGAGGAAAAAACCTGTCTGACAGCCTCTGCGAAATACAGGCCATGGTTAATGCTGCATAAGTGGCGCATGTGAGAGTGGAGACCATAACGACAATCGAGTAATTCTTCAAGTTGCTTTGGAGGCGGCGCGCGTCACATGATCAGACGCTCTTCATGAATCAAGTCGAGTGACAATCAGTGATTCCATATATATCCGAGTCGTACATGCGAGGAATCAGACACTATTTATACACATCCAAGCTGAGCCTCGCGACTGTTTGGTGGTACAATTTTACAGCATTTCAAGAGTGCACAAGAACGTTCGTTGTCCACAAGCTTTCTGCGACGAACTTCGAGCCTCCCAACCGAATAGTAATAGGTGGGTGTCGCATGTGCTATTTCAGCTGATTGCGTGATGTGCCAGGATGCTCTTTCTTGGTTCGTCGCCAAGGATTACTCTTCACTGTGAAGCGGCCAATCGCCACCTCGTACTTAAATATTGTACATGCGAGGAACCAGACACTGTAACATAAAAAAAAATAGGACAATACACGTACATGAACTGACTAGGGAGGCGACTATTAACATGTCAAGAAGAATTCTTTATCCTGTGGAACAACCTGAGACCCTGATGAGAACGCCCTTCAAGTGAATACCAGAACTTTGTAGCTGGTTGCGATAATTTCGGAGCCACCGTATGTAACAATAGCTGCAAGAGAGGACGATTAAAACCAGGTTTGAGGAGCACTGAGCACACACTGACCATAGCCGTTGTCTTTCACTTTGCCACAATGCTCACCTCCGTGCGTAGACGCTTGGGCAATGTAAAGAGGCTCTCCATCCGCCTCCATTCCTCCACTAGATGATCAGATTTGATGTTAGGAAAGAGAAGACACTGTTTTGCGAGGTAGGCATACCGCACGGCGATGCCGCCCAAATTCTCGGGGGAGAATTGGCCTTCAACGTGAATCCAGCGAACGGAGCTCTTGTCTCCCACGAGAAATTGATATTTGTCATATATCTGATAAAGAAATTGAGACAAAACACAGGCAAAGCGCTGGAGAAACTCACAGCAATTTCTTTGTGATTATAGCCGATGTACACACACTTATACTGAACAGAGGCTTTTCCTGGATCTTATTTGATAGAAAGGTGAATGCTTTGAAGAAACATTCTAGTATCAGAACTTACAAAGACCACCCTGGACAACACCATAAGACATTGACAGACTGCTCAAACCAGCAACATTTCTTTAGCTCACCTCATATGGAGCACGTGCGATATAAAGTGGGCTGCCGTTTCTCTCGTGGCCTCCTTGAATGGCTGCAGGTGGTAAAAATTCCCCGGTGCTCCCGGTAGTCTTGCAGGACATGTGTTATCAGCGCAAGAATGGGGAGAATAACAATGCTTCCTACCCAGTGGACTGTAGGCTTGCGGATGAGATCACCTGGGTCGTCGAAGATAGGAGGCTTCGGCGCGCCCATCTGGAGAGCAGGAACAATGAGAGAACGGGGGTGAACAACTCTGTGTCACGTACCTTAATATTGTTCCAGTCGGCCTTACACTTTGTCTCATAGGCGTTCAAAGCAATATATTGCGGACCGAGGCTTTTACCAAATGCTTTCTGAATGATGGAAGTAGTAGTCATATAGTCCGGGGACGTAAGGACCTGAGGAGAGAACTGGAGACTCTGGTGTAATGAAGAGGTCGTAGTGATCTGCCCGCTTTCGAGGCGGGTCTTGTGACCGACCGCGTACCGTGCGGAATAGGAGCTTTCCATATACGCGTTATGGGGCTGAGAGGTTCCCCAGGGTTCGGGGATGGGCTGTCTGGTGGATCGCAAGAAATCGAGGTCTAGATCAATGAAGGATAGGATCTCTCCCTACGATCCAATGAACAACCAGAAAACATCCGATCAAAGAACTTCACCCACCACCATCCAGAAGAGAGTAATGTCTTGAAGTTCGCGGCGCTCGTAACCGCCGCCTACGTCGGAGTGGGCTCCCGGGAACCATACCTGCAATAACCTCAGCGCCAAAACTAGAAGTGACTGCGCATCAAATCATTCACCTGTTTCAATGTCTGATTGGGGGCCAATCCACCTGTGGGCGTTGTCCATAACGTAGGCAGGAATTTCTCTCTATTCTCCTGGAGCGCAATTGCATGAAGCGCGATATCAACTGTGGCCGGAAGACTTGTATCCTTGATTTCGAGCGCGTCGATAGTCGCGTACACCGACCCAACTGTGTCCCACACGCCGACGCACCTTATCCAGCAATTGAGCAAGGAATCGGAAGACATGATATCAGGGAGACTTACTTGACTCTTGGATGCCGGGTGTCGCTTGGGATGGTAGGAGTCTCGTCGTCTATAAGTTGACGCCAAATCAGGAAGAATTGTCCAAGATTTTGTCGTGTCAGTAACCCAATGCGATCCTACAATATTCGTAAAATGCGGGCAGAATGCGTGATGGTTGGGGTTACTCACAATCAACCCAGACAGTTTTCTTGCCGTGTAGGCGCCTCTGAACGACCATGTTGAAGGTTAAAACCCTGTCTCACGAGAAATGTGGCAACATCACCTAGAAAACCTAGAAAATTATAAATCACCCTCCATGAGACCAAATCCAAAAAGCAACTGGATTGATAGTCACCCGAAGATACAGATTTCATCTCCATCTTCATAATTCTGAGCGATGTATGCATATGCGTCACGAATCTTGCTCGCTGGAGAGCATTGATAACCATCAGAGTCTCGTCATCCTCCTAAAGGAGATAGTGGACTGACCGACTGAGGTGCCCAGTACCTCTGAGTCATATGATCATCCCGTAAGTTCCGCAACCATCTCAGCTTCAGACTACTCACGCAACGACAAAGTCCCCCATACTTCATCTCCAGCGAAATCGGCTTCCGTACCGACTCCACTTTGGTAAAAGACGATCTGCTCCTTCCCGCCGCTACAAATACATTAGAGGAATTACTGGAGAAGTATCAGCCAGGTGCTCACGCTGTCCGAGCTTTGACGGATCGTGCTTGCATGTGTTGCACTGTCAGGTTGTGCTATGAAATAGCAGTAATGGCTTACCAAGGCGAATAACATTCGTTGGGAACTGCTTGACGTCGCCCCCGCCCCCGCCTCCGCCTCCGCCGACAGCTAGTACACACTACATGAGTACAGATTGTGAGGATCCGAGGAATTTTGTTACGTGTATCCGCTGACGTCATCTCTGGAACTTCACCTGCAGCAATGCGTTCAATGTAAGAAATCAGCTTCTGATGGGAAAAATGGACATAAATTTGCTGACCGCAATTCTCGGACACCGTGTTCGCGTCACCTCCGGTGAACTGAGCAACGGATTCTAGAGCGCGATCCATCAGATGAAGTCAAGGACAAAAATATTCCCCTTACTGGGCTGCAACAGTTTACTGATCAGTGTCAGGTTGCCATCATTGCCAGTCCCATCACAGAAGATCAATAACATTTTGGGCATCTTGCTGGTAATGATAAGGATGATATGGGTTCAGACGGTGTGGTTAGAGAGTGACTTAGCTTGTCACAATGGCTGCTCCGTCCATTAAATAGGTCTGGGGGAGTAAGGAACACTCCAACTGCTCAATATCAATTGGGCTGATCCTGGCGTCGGAACTTTCAATTTTGTATTTTCTTCTGGTCAGAGGTCAAGAGTTCTGTCATACCATGCAGCACGATTGGCTAAGAGCAGGCTGCACAAAATTTTCAACGTAATGATCCAAGGGCCCCTAAAGTTTGGCGTCTGGGGGTCGTTCCTGCCCTTGGAGAGGTCGGATTTTGAGCATTGCCTTGCTGAACCTGTGCCTATACGTCAATGCCCCTAGTAAAAGCCAGATTAGCGCGTGATATAGGCAAGGCCCTGTTAGTGGTGCAAATTTTTAAGCCGTCAGTGTTAGAAGTGTTAAAAGTTAGAACACGTCCCTCACGCAGTTGTGCTGTGAAAATTAGGATGGACAGTCGCGCCGAGCACCCACTGAGGGAAGGCGCCTTGCTTGCATCAGCCAGGGATTTGATTCTTGACAGGTGGAATGTTTGATGGACCTTCCAAGGGACTGCGTTGAGAACAGCGCCCATAAGCTGAGAGATGGTCAATTATTGACGCGCGGATATGAAGGCACCATCGGAACTCAAAAATTGATTCTGGTACTCGGGCAATCATCCCTTCCGAAACAGCGAGCGTTCCAATGTCGGAGCCAAGAAACACGAATGTTCGTCCATTGGCTTGGCCGGCGGCTGCCAATTATGGGTCGCGGCCCCTGACTGCAACCAGGACTATCGCGCCTTGCCCAAATCCCTATATTTGCCACAATCATTTACAAACATGTCTTTTTAGCACAAATACTTACACGCATGCATCCTGTTTCCAGTGAGGTGTCGAGGAATCACAATCCAGTACTGCTGTTCACATGGCTGCAGCGTGAAATGATTCTTGATTAGCAGCGGTGTCTCCTTAACGAATCACGTCATGTTACACAGTAGTATAAGGCACCCAGCCTCTCGATGTTGATAATAACGGATCAGAAAGAAGTCGATGATCGACTCAAAAAGTTATCTTTGACTCAGAGGCCAGAGCTACATAAAGAAGTTCTGTATCAGCATTGAAAACCTGACAAAAGATAAAACACACCACAAATATGCATAGCAAGATACGCCTTTGAACCAACTTCTCGACACAGGCTGTTCTTTACCAATGCTACGATCACATTATGCCAAGCTACCACCAAGGCCGTCGACCTGAAGGGCCGTGAAATGTGGCCGAGCGACCTCAACTCCACCCTGAGTATAACAGTTTCGCAACTGTCATCGAGGACAGTTTGACATCCAACCGTGACTGAACTTTGATGGGAATACATTTTGTCCGACATCTGCTCCCACAAGTGGCAATATGTCATCGCATTGATATGGGACCTTGATCAAAACATATAGGCTCGCGTAGGCACCCCACTTTTCCTGATTTGAAGGACAATATGTAGATTCCTGAAAACCAAGAAAGGTAAATGGTTCCATGGGAGATTCGACGACGTATGCCAGAGCCAGGCCACACCATCGAGGTCACAGAGCGTCAACCACAAATTGGCTGCTGGTAATTTCACTCCACAACTTGAGGAAGACTTTCGAGCCAACGTCGCGAAACGTCCTAGACCACGAACCAACTCGATCACAAGATTGACAATGAGAGGTGAGTTTTAAACCATTTTGGTCCTAGCGGCAAACTCGAAGTGAATGGTTCGTGTAAAGACGCACGATTGCTGGAAGAGAAGAAACTGGGCCTACCCACTTCTCCTGAGCTAAGCCGCTATAGCACAGCAAGCTGCACTGGATAAGTTTCTATATGAATGGCCATCACGCCTTTTGAGACAGCCGGAGAACTGTGGTCACATTCGGGCATAAACTGAGAGAATGTCTCGTGTCTATTCGAGGTCTCATTGAGGGCATGGAGTCCGTGCACGAAAAGTACTTGTTCAATACACTGTGGGTAAGCCTTGATCGATCTGATCAGTCAGCCGGTAAGCTACCACTAAGTAAAAGTGAACAGATCGACTTAGGCCCGGAGTATTCGATTTGCTTCAGCCAGCATATTCGTTTTTGCAGTAACCAGCTTCGGCCAGAAAGAAGATGTTCGTCATAATATTCAAGCTAGAAAATTTGGCGAGACTGGCCGAGACTGATGGTCTCAGGCGGACTTGTGAACAGCCTGACCCGGTTGTGGCTTGATGTGTGACAGTTATTACCCACGTGGCTGAGTGCAAGTGATGAGGAGGCGAAACAGCTTGTTTAGCTCATTCACCATTCCCTTCCGCCATTTCTCATCGCCATGCATGTTACCCCTCCATCTCTCCTCTCACCGGCCACATTCACACTAAAATATTCTCCAGGGTCTATCTGAATTGTAATTTTTGGTGACAGTGTCTGGAATATCGAGCGAGGATCAGGGTAACGTTTCCTTGCCTTGAGAATCGTGCAATGACGGGGCTGATATATGTCTGTAGCTATGATTGACTCCAAAATGTTCTGTAAAGCTTTCCTGTTAATAGGACGCTCTGCTGGGCATATTGGTTCACCGCAATCGGCATCCGATGAGTGCGATGGGAGCAAAGTCACTAGCGGGTGTGGTGACGACTTCAGCGATACTCCCACATTGCGATAGTGGCTGCAGTGTTTCGTCTTCGCTGTCATTGCCTATATCTTACCGTTCGTGCATGCGTACAGCGCTGCCTTAGTTTGTGAGTCAGCTCCACGCGTCCTCGTGCTCATCCGAAATGCACAGCATTCTCATGGTTTGCTGGTGGTCCTTGCAGGAAACATATACACATGTCGGTCAATCGGTCTTTGCTTTTGTTTGGTGCCATTTGAGGTCGACTTCAAGAAGATATCTCTCTCACTTCTGTGCAGAACTTGCCTGCTGCGGGTCACTGGCACGATAATGATCGATGAAAATTGTAGATGCGAATGTTTTGGAGCGCATATATCCACACTTTACTCGACTGGTGCATGTGTGCCTTTGTCGTGGTTTGGAAATAGGTGAGAGTCGCATATCCTGGTTGCATGTATAACTTCAGCTGATTATCTGATACAGGAGGGTCCTTCTATGTTCGTCGCCAAGGATAACTAATTGGATGAATGACATTGCTCACCCATCGAATGTTTTCAGAGAATTATCAATGTAATTCTTTCTTGGCTGCACAATAAAGGTGCGCGTCTCTGGTACTTCTCACAAAGACTTTCGTCTAATATTTCTTGTTTTCCCGCTGTTTCTTGTGCCCTAACTACGAATTCCAGGACATATATAATAGCTAGAGAACATTCTTGCAGCTTGATACTGACGTAGCTAGTGTATTAGTCTTGAGGCGTGCAGTGAGATTGTTTGGTCAGGACAAACACCGGGGAAACCCTTAGTATTTGTCAGATTTCTATTGTTTTATCTCGGGCCGAGGACTTTTTCGGCAAATTTCCGACCACGCCGCCGCTGCCACCGACGACGACGAGGAGCTCAACTTGTAGAAGCCAGTCTCCCTTGAACCTATCTTCATCCTGCCACGTCTCCATGTCATGCCCCGCAACCCGAATCTGGGTACCTCGACCCTTCGAAACCGCAATCGAGTTACCAACAAGACACGCCTTAAGGTCATCCAAGGCAGCATCGATGCAGACCCTCTCGTGGTCGACGAGGACGAGGAAAAGGCCAGGATCATTAGCACTGCTGGCGTGGACGCTGAGGACGCCAATGTGAGTCGTTTTTCCTCTCGCCGTCGCTTTCAACGCCCTTGTTGAATAGGCTGACGTGTCTCTTTCTCATTGGCTGATGACCGTGCGAAATTCCTTATCGATGGCTGACTCATATTTCCACCTTAGGAGCACCACTTGCAGGCGGTACTGTCCGCTGCGTCCCACAGACACCAGTCAGTGGGTCGTTCAACACGTGGCGAGAAGGCTGTCGCACCCGCCGCATACATTCCCACACCAGACTCCACTGGTATCGTCGACAACTATGACGAGTTATATCCTTCGCAGCGGTGGGAAGACCCAGGCGCATACATCAGATCCTCAGAGACTGTCGATGAGGCAGTCTCAAATGCGCTCATTGATGCGTTCACGTACTACATGGATGAGCGTGATAAGGAGTGGCTCGATAGAAACAACGAGGAGGCGCGTGGTGAAGGCACAAGTGCCCAGGGTGCTCTTTCGGCCGCTGGCACAACGACACGCTCCGGCCTATCCCAACGAAGTGCTAAGGCGAAAGGCAAGGAGCCTGAGCCATCACAACCTCTTGCTATTACGGAAGACGAGTTCGAACTTGTAATGGGTATCTTTGAGAAGGTTACCCATGACACGACGGAGTTCTTGCACCATGTGAGTTTATTTCTCTGACCGCCACAATGCACCGCTGATTCCCATCACAGGGCCTCGAGTCTGGCATGGCGTTTCCTCCGTTCACGGACTATCAAGACGCATTTTCATCCCCATTACCACCCTCTATGTTTGCTACATTCACAGTGCCAATGTGGATACCGCAACCCGCACAACTTCTACGCTCAGCAAAAGTTATTTATCCTTACTGGCGCGATCGCCGCATCGAAAGAAAAGGCCATCGAATTATACCCAATTTAAATGTGAGTATCTCTACGTTTGTTTGAATAAAGTTGTTAAACCACTCCTCAGTTCGATGAGTCAGACGTGCTCAACGAGTCTTATATTTGCTTCCGCCGCCGCGAGATCAAGGCTGTCAGGAAGACCCGTGCTTCGCAAGCAACATCGTCCGATAAGCTTTTACGTTTACAGAACGAGTTGATGCAGGGTCTGGAGCTCGCCAAAACGCTGCTTTCCAGAGAAAATCTCAAGCGTGATTACACACAGCAGACACTCCAGGTTTGGGACAAGCGCTTTGAGTTCGCCGAGCTCAAGCGCAAATTTCCCTCATTGGGCACAAAGGAGGACGAAGAGCTTCTACTTGACAAAGAGAGAGTAGCGAAGAAGCCCAAGATTGAACCCAATCGTATCACTGGACTCAAGATACGTACGAGAGAAAGCGGAGACCCAGGTTCTCCCGCTGTCGCTGTCGAGGCATCTATCCGACCCAAGGAACGCCTTAGCCTCATCAATGCCGCTATGGACCGTGACCTTGCGAGCCAAAAGGAACGTGACCACGGGTACGAAGATGTGGTGGAGGTAGGACTACATGCAGTACATCTTCCAACGCTTACCATTTCTTTTCAGAATCCATACCAACGCCCAACGTTTTCCTTTCCGCGACGCCACTGGAAGGCAATTTTTCCCTCCTCGCGCTCGTCAACACCATCACCAAATGTAGCAGACGAGGAACCAGAGTTCGTGCGTTATGTCCGCCACCGTGTGACTCGTCTAGGCAACGCTACGATTGATCGTCGTGGCGCTTTCATGCAACGTCTTGGAATTCGTAGCGATGATTCTGCGTTCACGCGACGACGGCAAGCGTTCGCACGGCGCATGGATGCCATCGCTTCCGAGGATGACGAGGAAATGTCAGCTCGATTACGCGAGCGTTGGAGGTTTGATAAAGATGATGAGCCCACCGTTGGACCTGAGGGTGCCGATGAGCAAGATCGCATTCTCATCGATGACTATGATCCAAAGTATCTCCGCCATATGATGACATTATTGTCCGATCAAGACCATCAGGCCCTAACGACAGATAACACCATTGTCGTTACCGTGGACGGCCGCCAACACTCTGTCTCCCCATACCGCCTTGGAGTGCAACCCCAGTACAGTATTCGCCGCGATCAACATGGCGTACAGCGGGTATATCCCGGAGGTATGCCGCTGTCGGCCACTCGTGCAGCCCCCGCGGGCATCCCGATGCCGAATGGTGTACCGATATCCATGCAAGCGCATGTCAAAGCGATGCAACCGCCGTCTGCCATCCCGCAAATGCGCATCTCATCAAACGGTGGCATGCGTCCTCCGGTTGTTGGGAATATTGCATCCCCAAGTGCGCCTGCTGTTGCGCAGCAGTCCTCCCCTCCTCGCGCCGCTTCCACGAACGGAGTCAACGGAAATCACGCTGGCACTCCTACGCCAGATGGTGACTCAGTCAGGCTGATCGCCGCACCAAATGGCATCGCCGTTAATAGCACCACGACCATCAATGGCACAGCACATCAGTCGACAGACGTGCAAATGTCTCCCCCTGCTGAACCTCCCCAGCCCAATCAGGCTAACTCACCAGCACGTTCTAAGGCCGAGTCCCAGCACGTTCCGGTATCCGTCCCTCTCAGTAGTTACCACATCCCCATGAACGGTTATACCACCCTGCCTAATGGCGCTGTTATGCAGATGCAGCGACCGCCAAATGGCTTCACCATGCAGCAAACCATGCAGCAAATGCAATCCTTCAAGATGGCGCTACAGAGCGCGGAGGGACGCCCAGCGCAAGTTCCGTACCAAGGGCACCTCGTGCCTAATGGCACGCACTTCAATGTGCAGCTGGCGGGTGGTGCCAACCTTAACATCAAACTTCCTCAGGGACGGCAATGGCCAGGCGTAGTGTCACCTCATCAGCAGCCCGCACAGCTTAACGAGGGGTCGCCAAGCCCTCATGTTACGCCAGGCAACCTACCTACGCGTACGCCGTCTGCTAATGGTATGCGGACCGCGAACCGTGCTGGGAGCATCAATGTTCCTCCGCAGGTAGGTCAACTGCTACCAAACCAGTATGTGATGTCGCCCCACATGCAGCACAACAGCCCATCTCCACTGCCATCGTCCGTCCCGTTGCCGTCCCACCAGTCCCCCCCTCGCCCACCGCCCACACCAACCATGAAAATGGCTTCCCCGTCTTTGCAGCACCAGCAGGTAGTACAGAGTTCGCAAGGCGGATATTAGTACGTACCACTGGGCGTTTTGCAATCGGGTCCATGCGCGCGTATTTCTCCGTGATCCCTGACATTACCATTCCGTCTATACTCTTTCCGCTCTGTTTTGGTTACAATATCACTCCGTTTTATGTGCTTTCCAGTTATGTATTATTTTCGCAATTTGAGGCATTTTCAGTCTTGCACTTATGATGGCTGTGTCCGCGAGGTAACCGCACCCTCACGGGACACACGATCACTTACGCATCGACCAAGCAATGGAGTGTTGGTGGTGAGTGAGCTGTACATGAGTGCTCTCTGGTTTACTTCCACAGCCATGAATGTGTTGACCACTACGTCTGCCTGCATCCCTCGAAGAAGCTCAAACCATTTGTATTGGGGGTTGCAAATCTGCACGAAAGAATGATGAGCAAGTATTCGTCGTCGCGTTGCTCGACACTGCCACTGACCCAAACGCTGCGAAATACCGTGACGGGTGTGATCTACTACCCGTGCTCAAAGGTATCGGCCCTCGGCATGGGGTACATTGGGTTCAAAACACATTGTGATCTATCAAAATTGACTTTTCTGGCCCATCAGCGCTCTTTTGTATCAAGGTGTGTGCTGTTTTGCGTATGCACCCACGGTATCGTCTCACTTTTAGCGTACAGGTTCAGTACAGAGTTGCTATATATGCAAGGCTGATGTGTTCAAATTGTACAAACTTTAATTAAGGATCATTGATCATCGTCTGATCGTGCAAGTATTTCACGCGGGCCGTACAGTAAATTCAGTCAATTCCACCAGGCTGCAGAACGAACGCATAATCTTTCGACAGATCATTGGCAACGTGACGCATGACGCGGAGCGCTACCTGCAAATGACTCTCGTATCTAATGTACCCGAGTTGGTGGAGCGCTGCCAGTGTTTCCAACCGGGTTGATGGTAGCTTCAGTGCCCTGCCGTTCAATCGAACAAAAATAAACAGTCATCACTTGCGACTATTGTGGGTGAATTCGGCTTTAACTTGAAACGCTGATGGACCACACAGTTGTAGGTCTCATATGAGATTCTACCCGCAGTTCTGCCCCGTACTTGGGCAGTGCGGATGATTGAATCGATATCTCGCCACAGGCTCAAGTTTGCTTCCCTCAGCGTGAGTCGCAATTCAACCAAATCGCCGTCGCTGTATACTCAAGGCAACATTCATGTCGTGATCAGTGCACAACAGCATATATAAGCTGGTTCCTAAGGGTATCACCAAAGAGTGTTGAAGTGGACGCCCCAACTGTTACCGTCATCAAGCCTTGCTACTCATCCAAAGCTCAGACGAGTTCGTTGAAATATACATAACAGGAACAAAATCTACAACTACCAGCGCTATGTGCATATGCGACACGTACAATATATGCAATCAATATATATAAAAAATAGACACCAAAAGAGTGGAAGCGTCGTCGGGGGATCCGAGGCGAGGCGAGGGGGGGATCGATAGCAGAGAGGATATCGCAAAATCGGGAAAGCATAGCAGGTATAGCACAACTACGGTAATTTTATTTCTCATATGTGAAATTCGACTTCCTAGGCGTCAAAGGGTTGTCCTGCGACGTCGTGTCGACCGAGATGTTCGAGTGGCGTTGGCGCACTTGGAACGCGTATTCTGAGGGTGACTCCTCGATGACGCGGGTGTTGCGGTTGAACAAGATCTTGAGCCATGTAGGCACAATGCCACCAGGGGGGACGACCCAGGGCTCGGACGCGTCGTAGTTGGGTGGCATGATTGTGCCGTTGGAAATCTTGGAGACGATCCAAACGAAGCCATTGATAATGACATAGGAGAACACGCCGACAATGACGCCGTACGCAATGCTGTGCCTTGCCGTCAGTATCTCGAACCCTCTGGGAAATGTTCAGGAGACTCACTTGTATGATAGAGGAATGAACAAGATGGTGAGGAAAGCAGGGACAGCATCGCCGACATAGTCCCAGTTGATATCGCGTACATTACGGATCATGAGCGAGCCGACGACAACGAGCGCGCCTCCTGTAGCCCAGGGGGGGATGGAGGCGAAGATGGGCGCGAAGAAGATGGAGACGAAGAAGAGGAGTCCAGTGACGATTGCAGTGATGCCGGTCTTACCGCCCTCTGTGAGCCGAATCAGATTCAAAAGAACATATTGAAGAAGGCATGGTGTCCGTACCAGCAATACCAGTGGCACTCTCGATGAATGCCGTGACGGGACTGGTGCCCACGAGTGCACCCATAGAAATAGAGAAGGCATCGACACAGTATGCAATGGTAGAGTTTTCAAAATCAAGGGTAACTGGATCACGAAGGCCAGCGAATTTAACCATAGAGTAAAGAGTACCAGTAGTATCTTAGCCAAACGTTAATTTCAAATGTAGTTCCATGTCATTGCTGAAACACTCACCCAAGATATCGACATAGAGGAAGGTTATAAGTGCGTACCACACCTTTCCTTTACCATAGTTATACTTCGAAGCAAGACATGAGCTTCGCTCCCTACAAGATCAGAATTTCACTTACATCTAGTGCATTACCAACATGTTTCAAGGGGTGCCAAGTAACGACCTGTTTGAAGAAGTCGAACAACTGATCACCAGAGTCATTATGTGGGAAGTATGTGACAGAGGAATTTCGCGGCCAGGAGATGATGGAAGTGATGAAGATACCGATTAGGAGGGAGCCCTTGACACGGTAAAGCATCAACATGATCGTGAGGATACTGGGTTAGGTTATGCCGTAAGTACCAAGAAAGATAAGCCGCGGACCCTACATACCCGCCAGTAAAGATGCCAAGCCATGTGGTAGGACTCCGTAAAACTTGAGAACCACAGAAGTATGGCATGTCTTCACTCAGCCAATCTAAAAAACGTAGACGATCAGACTCGATGGCGATGCAGCGACATGGAGTGTGCGTACCTGACTCGAGACAGCCACCAAGGCCGACGAAGTTGGTCGTGTCACCTCCAATCACATTCAAGCCACCAGATGCTGTGTGAAAATGATAATGATAAATAAAGCGATTAGAAAGGAAACATGTGGACGAACTTAATCCAATGAATCTGTATGGCAACGGATGATGATGGGACTCATCAGTCACAGGCTTCATTGATTAGAGGAGAATGATCAACTTACGCAATGTACAAACCGATACCAGCACCGACAGCTAGGACCAGGGATTGCGGCATAATGCGGGCAAGCCATTGACGTAAGCCAAGAAGCGACAGGATGAAGAAGATCCATCTACAGCGGGCACAAAAATGATGCAAAGAGCTCCGCGGGAGAAATTGACGTACCCTTCCAAGAAAACAGCGGCAAGTGCTTCCCTATAAGTTATAAATCCGCTGCCGTGATAACCGACGACAGAGTATGTGAACTGTGGAAACGGTGTCAATGAGCGCGTCAAGATTCTAGATAGTCATCAGGCTGCTAACGGACGTACATAGGCGTTAAGTCCCATGCCTGGAGCCATACCGACGGGTAAATTCGCAAGGGCACCCATTAAGACTGATGCCAGAGCGGACATGGCTGCTGTGGAAGTAATGAGATCTTGTTTCACCTCTTGGATACATTGAAGATATGTCGGATCAGTGGCACAGTTATTGGCGGCTTCACAGACACAAGTTCCTCCAGAGTCGGACACAATGGAAGCGTTGACAGAAATCTTGCAAGGGCAGATAAATTGAATAATTGTATTTTGACTGTGACGAGGTGAAAACATACAATGTATGCCATGGCCGCCTGAGAAGGACGTCAGCAAAATAATCTCAACGGTGAAAATTTATTTCTCACCCAGGTCGTTATACCTGCACGAATATCTGTCTGGTGGACGTAGATCACATTAGACTACGAGGTCTGAAGGGGTCGCAGGACGAGTAACGAACCATAAAGCGTGAACCTTCGCGTTCACGGGCATGACCTGAGCCCTCCAGGCGGAACCATCTTCCAATTGCAGAATCAGCAACCTATAAAGAAGGAAGGGAATATCAATATCAAGAGACGACTGGGTGGAGGATGTACGGACTTGGGCGTTGAGCCTGTCGGCGAAAGTAAGCATGTCAACAGAGGTGAGGAAAAGGAGCGTCGGGTGAAGAGAGAACTATATAACAGATGAGAGTGGGATCTAACGAAGGGCTCGAGAGAGTGAAGCGAAACTCTCACTGGAGGCATGAGCTGCATAATACTACTATCTAACACTGCATCAACACTGCAGTTACCGAATTCGGATCTTCGGCGACATCCCGATCAGAACCTGTCACGTTATCAGTCACACTAACGTGTCAATTTGTCTATCTTCCCAGGGCTGCCTTTCAGGAACTCCCCTTGCCAAGACTTTTGGCTGGTAGTATCCCCAGGCTGCCCCATAGGGGGTAGCTCCCTATCAAATTTCTAGCCCAACAATACGCCATAATTTGCCTTGCCTTGCGCACTCCAGGGTAAGAGAATCAATCATATCTGAATTGGGGTTTAGGAACCCGAATAGTGTTGACACATTCATTAAAATACGTCGTAAAGTTTGGCCTGATCGAAAAACAAACTGATCTGAGTTTCGAAACGTTTGAGTTTAGAAGTTCCAGTCTGCATACACAGTTCCTTGCGGAGTTGAGAAGGCTCACTGAGTCAGTTTCCGATCGATCGGTTGGGCCTCGGTATCATGGTTAGCACACCGTGATAGTAATATTGAGATAATGAACAACTTCGGGCACAAAGGTTTTACATGATTCGGGGCGTATCATGTCATTCCACATTCGCGATGCCCTTTGTATTTAGTCATGAATTTTGGATGCTGACCTGGAACTTGAGTGTCGTTACTCGAAAATAACTTCTTGCAGATGATCAGTACTTGACTTATGATCCGTTATCTGATGCTGGGAGGCCGGGGATGAATTCATGCCTAGTACTAACGCGGAGCACTTCTGATATCACTGACCAAGAATACACCGCGGCCATGTGCAGCAGAACACAAAGGGAGCACCAAATCTGAGGGCATCCATGAATTAGCTCACTTGGGCCACATCTCAGGCGATATATGACCTACCGGCGCCCCACACGAACAATAAAACCATCCAACAGTCACGTATCGATGTCCCGCGTTCATATCGATTAAGAGTCCATGCCTCGATTTGTAATCGGAGAGGGCACAGGGCCATTGGCGAAAAGGATAAAACAACTTCTTTTTGAAGTGCCGTTAACTACACTTCGGAACTTTGGAGACATTCAAAATGGGGCTAGCCCTAAAATCCGAAGTTCTGACGAAACACAGCCAAGTTTGAAACGTTTCAAAATGATTTCAAATGATAAAACATCGCGTGATTATGGATCAACAGGGGGTGCGCAAGACTGTTTTCAGACAAGGTCAGGACCAAAGCATGGTTAGCCGAGAACTAATGGATGGCGGTCAATCCAGGCTCACAATTATGCTGAAATCATGGGAGGACACCGGGGATTCACCGGGGATACCCTGTGGTGTCAAACCCTATAGGCGACAAAAATACATCAGAAGGCGAGATGGGCGATGGGCTATTCTTGGGTATTTAAGGCCCTCCCATAGTTGTGGTAAGCTGCCAAGAATATTCAGTTGGAAATGTCGATCGGATACTGGTAACCAACATCGTCGCAACGCCGCCACCGCCGCTGGTTCTCCGACCTAAAACTCCTAGAAAGGACAGATTTGAATCAAAGAATCAGCATGAGATATCTGACTTGAAGGCATGCCGTATCAAATTCTAGACCAGCAAATGCGCAGACACTTTCAAGCAGACTGCCACTGGCCATCCAAGATCTTCCATGTCATAAGGGCACATGGCGCATTGATGTCAGACAGGCCATGCAAAAGCAAAACTGAAAACTTGGCGAGGAGCAAAATGAGGGGAAAGGAAAATTTCAAGACTTACCAAGCAATACTTTAGACAAGGAAGCAGCAGTAGGCCAGTAGCAGCTTCATCGCCAAGCGATCGCTAAAACTAAAGCATATGAAAATATCACTTCGGTAGCCAGTATAATTGAACTGATTGACACACCTGGACCCAGTACCTCCTGGCACCGATACACGTCATTCGAGAGTCGACGCGGCAAATGGGCCCAGCCGACCGCAGACCATATTTGTCTTGCAATTGGACACTAGGATCATCCCACTGTTGCACTGAATAGACGTGCAGGATTAGTTTCGAATAGTGTCAAGTTTAGTTGAGCACGAAGAAGAGTTCTTGTCCAACGCATTTCACACTGTCCCGACTACTGATGCGGCTTTTCATATGTGTCAACTAGGACAAGAGACGGCGTCCACTACTCTGCGGATTTGGCAGCGGGCTACAGAGGAAATCATACGACTCGTCTGGCATTAAGCGCTGAGAGTGACCAATTGTATCTGGAGCTCACGTACACCATGACTGCATTCATTTTCAAACTCCGATCCACAACCGAGCCTTGACCCGGGTACACTCATAATCGATTCATGCATGCATAGTACATACTACCGTAGGGCCCAATGGGGAGAAAGTCGGACTCGGTGAGTACTGTGACTCCAATGGACATTAATGTGCTCGAATAGATAAATTCCATGTAGACATGACAACGCCGCCTTGTATCTCTCCCAGACTCATTCGAGGCGCACTATTCGAACTACTGGCTGGTCCATTATAATTACAGCTGTCTCGGAAACCTTAACAAACGACCATCACCAGCAACTTTTACGGCCACGCGAGGCACATCCAATAATTAGCACAAGACTGAGCAACTTTGCGAACATCGGGTTCAGGTCTCGGAATTTCCCCACTCACTGGCATGCACAGGACTTGCACAGGACTCTAAAAGGAGCCCAACGAGATGCGGAAAAGGAAACATCAAATGCATTGTGATCTGATCACGGGTATTTTGGGAGCCGTGAGCGCGCATGACATTCTCGGCATACTTCGAGCGGTTTAGGTCAGGTCGAAGTTTCCAGGTGACTTGCTGCGGCCCATCGTCGACAGTAATTCCGTAGCTATCACTAATCATATCTCGTTCCCCAATTTACCCGGGGACGCTACAGACAAGGGCTAGGGGAGTCCACTTTCATCATGTTCTATGCGACATATACAAGCCCCAGTACCACCTTGGTGAGACAGCCGCAAAACAGTTCAATACCCCAGTGAGTGATTTTTGTTGTTTATCCAAGAACGAAGCGAATGTAATATTCCACCTTTAGTTCGAGCACGTCTACGACAGACAGAACGTTTAGCAAATCTGACTCGGAGTTTGATCGGAACAACGACCAGAACATCCGAGGTCATTTTTGGACCATATATGAACGGGAGGCCGGGTATCATGTCGAGGAGTTCCTTGAAAAACACAAGAGTGACATGGATATCGTTCTTATATTCGTGAGTGTCTAGCAGTTAAAATCTTCATCTCGATGTGTTTCTATGTGTAACCGCAGTTCTGACCACGATAAAAGTCAGGTCTCTTTTCCGCAGTCAGCACCACTTTCATCGTTTCTCTTCAATCTGGACTCAGTCCGGACGAAGCCCAGATGACAAATGCCCTGTTAAAACTCCTTATCCATACACTCGACAGTTCTGCGTTTGATGGTCAACAGCTCGACCTCCCACAATGGAATGGACCAGGGACAACTGAGATCTGGATACAATGTCTCATGTACGCCAGCCTCAGTACCAGTCTTATTGCTGCCCTGGGTGCCGTACTGGGGAAGCAATGGCTGGGGCACTTCGTCCGCTGCGGACGTGGGCCGATCGACGTCCGCGGTCGTCTGAGGCAACAGAAGATGGACGGTCTCCAGACGTGGTACTTTAGTGCTATCTTGGAGTCACTTCCGTTGTTAATCCAGACTTCCCTGTTTCTATTCGGAATCGCTCTATGTGCTAGCATTTGGACGCAGCAGCCGACTATTGCAACTCCAGTAGTGTTGACGATGGCGTTGGGAGCGCTGTTCTACGGCACCATAGTCGTATCCTGTATCGTTTCTCCAACTTGCCCATTCCAGACCACTGTGTCGACAATCCTCCGGTCCGTCTTACAAAATATCAGTAGTTCAATGAGAAATATGCACATCAAGCTGGCGGGTCGGGTCCCATCGCTCCTTTTTGGAATAGCCTCTGCTTCTGGGATGTGTAGTAATGCACGCGGGGATGACAGGGACTCCGGGCTGCCGCACAACGCGGATGCTCCTCACGACGCGTCCGCGGTTCGCTGGATAATGGAGACAACTACGGATCCTAATGTCATTACTTCAGCTGCGCTGATGGTTCCTGAGGTTGAATGGCCCAAATTCATTGATGTCTCTGCTGCAATCATGCAGCTACGAGATACTTTTCTAGGTTGCTTCGAAAGTACTCAAGGCAGGCAGCCTAAACTAGGGCTTCATTCAAAGACGCACGCACTTGCCTGCGGGAAAGCTCTGCTTCATCTATACTTCATGCGGATGGATGGCCGGGATATGCCCCAGCTCTTCTTTGACCCATCAGAGTCGACATCAGCGACACCAGTCGCGACACAGCCTCCTGACATATCTTGGTTCACCTTCCTTGAGCTGCGAGATACCGAGATGCAATTTATCTGTGATATGATAAGGAGTACCTTCCGACTGAGTTTAGGACACCATCCTTTCGTCCCCAGGATACCGGACTCATACCTGGCGTGGATGTCGTACTCCATCCCGCACTGTTTGCTACATTACAAGCAAGAAAGGCACCTTCGGATGTGGGCTATCGATGCTATCACTCGTTTACTCGTCTTTCCGTTGCCTCCCAGAGCTGTGATTGTTAATTGTTTGACGGCTGCTGCGCTCATAATCGGCATACCTCTTGAGGAGGATGCTCTTGTTCGTCTCGATAGGGGGTGAGCCCGTGGCGTATACCTTATTCACAGTGTTGGCTAAGATGTGTTCCACAGAGATGAACTTGAATCTACCCTCGTGCAAGTTCTGCAAGACTTGCAGGATCGGGATCTACAGGCAACGCTGGAACAGGGTTTATCAGCAGCATCTTCAAATGACCCAGAGGGTGGTCTCGAAGATGTTGACATCGCGATGCTCTTCCGCCCTCTCTCAGTTCTCATCGAAGTCGTCGAATATCGTCAGATATTCCGTGATCATAATTTACCTGCTTGGGCCCTGCAACTTTGCAGACGTATGGTGCAAAGAGCCAATATCAAACCTCCCTTGAACCCAATTGGCGCGGATCAACAATACCAGTGTCTCAGCAGCGCCAGAGCTGCACTTCACCTCAGCATCGTTGCTGACGCGGACCTCAGGTACACGGCTGGTGATTGCCGTGCAGTGTGGAATTCTATCAGATTGCCCATTGGCCATGGAAAACGCCGCAGGGAAGACTTCACATGGTTGCATGACTTCATTGTTCACCATCGTGATACCAAGGACTACCTTGCTTTGGGCGATGCTCTCCAAGCCATGAGCAAGGTTGGCGAAGTAGGGTGGCCTGAAAATCTGATGCAGGTGTACTACTCGAGCATCTGTGAAGCCATGAGTCCGGATATACCCTCCCGAACACGTCACTCCGGAATGGTGGCGCTTCATGCATGTAGGAGAAAGGTGGCTTCAGATGATATAACGCCGAGCATGATGGCCAAGCTCTCGCTTGCGCTGTCCTCTACCGCTGCTCTCGACATTGATCCTCCTGTGGACGACGAGTCCTCTCATACGTTGCCCCTCTCTGAGAGTGCGCGATCATGGGAGCGTGACCTGTGTTACCTCCAGATTATCTTTGCGCTCCAGCAGGCGCGCAAATGGGACGAGTATTTAGTGAACGACGGGCACCTTGAGCGATGCGCCGCGATCGCTGCCACACTGGCACAAGAGAATCGCAGCGGGAACACGCGGGTGCTGTCTCAGCTGAAGACAGGACATCTTGCGCTATACCTTGCAGCCATCCTCGTGGGGGAACAGCACGATACCGCCTTTATCACAGATGCAGCTGACAGTTCCACGTCGATGACTGCAGATGAGTTCTACTGGAAACTCATCCGCAAAGCTTGGGGGTATGCATCATCGCAACGGCTGGATGAGGGTGTCCAACTCGTCATCCCCATCCTCGTGCAGCATACCCTGCGACAAATGAAGGAAGGTCAACAAACTGTATCGCGCTCCATGGAAGCGGCGGTGTCAAAAGCACTGGCTGCATTGCGGCCGGTACCAAGCGCCGATGTGGATGATGATCAGGTTAATGAATTGACGGAACTGTTGGGATTACTGGAGAGGGTGGAGGGTACGACGAAACTTCACGTCGGGAGCTGATGTGTAGGGTGCACATCATGACAAGCGCATGTGATTTGACGGCATCGGGCGCTATACATTCAACTAAACACGGGCACAAACCCCCTCAGCACGCCGAAAAGGCGTTTTGTATCGGGAAGAAGGACCGAGAAGGATGGTGATAGATGGCTCTTGGACTCGAGAATTCATTTAAAGTGGAAGCTGCGTTCAAGAGGTGGCGAGAAGGCCCCACATTCAGATATACCAACTAGATTAGTATATATGTAGTAGAGCATGGTGCAAGGAGGAGATTCGGATATTATTATAAATGATTATAGACCCGTAAATGCATGTGCGCCCAGTATGAAACGTCGCGTGGATGGCAGTATTTGACCGAATTCAATTGGAGGTGCGTGGTTCAAATTGTACAGACTTTATTGAATTGTGACCAGAGCGCTAGGTGTCGACGGAAGCATACGGTCAGTGATTCAGGGGCCCCTCGTACCAACCTTAGGGACGCCATTCACTCAACCAAACATCCCTTGGTCCTGGAAGCAGACTCTTCTCCCTCCGAATGTACTGACCGTATTCCATGCCCCCAACTACCTCCCCATGGCTGAATACCACCTTACCCCTGATGATCGTGTACCTCGGCCAGTTCTTGAACTCAATTCCCTCAAACGGCGTATAGTCGGTGGTATGGTGCAGCATCTCATTCGTGAGCTTGAAAGGCTGGAACTTCGTTTGCGGGTACCAGATCACTAGATCAGCATCGAAGCCTGGTGCGATGCTGCCCTTCTTCTTCAATCCGTACAGCTTAGCTGGGTTTGTGGACGTGACCTCAACAAACTTCTGTGGGGAGATGCGCCCAGAGAGGACGCCGCCCGAGAAGAGAAGCGGAACACGGGTTTCCACACCAGGTAGCCCATTTGGGATGAGACGGAATTTGCCGTATGGAAGGTTTCCGTCTTTGAGCCCCCGTTGCTTTCCATTTGGATGATTGAATTTGCTGGGGGCGTGGTCTGAAGAAACGATAGTGAATGTTCCGTTCTTGACCCCAGCCCATATGGCATCTAGGTCAGACTTATCCTCGCGGATCGGAGGCGAGCATATGCACTTCGCGCCTGCAACATGGCCTGTAAGACAATGGACAGAAGCGCACAGGAATCATTACCTTCAAAGTCCCCCTTTCGCATCGAATCAGCAAGAAGGAACATGTACTGGGGACACGTTTCACCGTAGATCGGAAGCAGCCTCGTTTGTGCGTCGCGGATGTGCTTAGTGGCAGGTCCGCCGGATATGTGCACCAGCAGGATCGGCGTATCCATGAGCTCCGCAAGACAAATGACACGGTTCTGTTGCATTGTGAGCATTTCATTTCAAACAAAGCAAAGTTGGCTCACCGTCGCCTCAGCCTCCACGATCGGAGGCCGAGATGTACCATGGTGGTAAGGATGCGTCATGAGCTTCTGCTCAAGATGTTGAGTCATCCAGTCGATAACATCGGCATTCTCAGCGTGCACCATCGTGGTGATACCAAGTTTCCGAGCGGAATACATGACATCGAGAATCTGGTAATCTAAAAGCCTCAATGGCTTGTATGTCATATACAGCTTCACGCTCGTAATTCCGTATTCGTCGACCATCCGCGGAAATTCGTTTTCGACGATTTGGGGTGTTGGATTGGTGATGATGACGTGGATAGCGTAGTCGCAGTAGGACTGGTCCTTGGCAAGTTTCTGATAGTCCTCGATGACAGCAATGATGCTATCATCCTTCTTCATTTGAGAAGCGAACGTAATCACTGTTGTTGTTCCTCCGGCTACTGCGCTGCGCGTGCCCGTATCGAACGTGTCACCAACAAAGTTTTCTGGATCTGGGATGACCCCATTCGTAACGATAGAGCGATCAATATCCACACCGACGGTGGCTTCGTAGAACTCCACAACATGATAAGAATCTGAGGACAGAATATGAATAAAATTACCAACCTGGCTCAGATGAACATGAGCATCGACTCCTCCAGGAGTGATAAAAGCCCCTTCAGCGTCAATCTCTTGCACGCCGGGTGTGACTGGAAGACGAGGACCAACAGCGACAATGGTTCCATCCTGACATGGGTAGCAACTCGTTAAAATTTGGTCACAATAGCAGGTGGTATTCGTACTTTGACTCCAATATCACAAGACTCCCAGATGTCTGAGGCAGTCACGACAGTGCCATTTCGGACAACAAGGTCAAAATCCATGACAGAGTATCAAGGAAAGCTCCAAGCATGTCACACAAGAAACAGTAGAAATAAATACTCTCCTGGAGATAACAAGAAGCCCGCATGAACGCCACCTCACCTTTATCTTCCAGAAGCGAGGTCTCGTGCCAGGAAGTACGCCTTGGCGATTATGGCTGATTTTAGCAGACAAAAGTTGGGCGTCTGATAAAAGTATGACATGCGCTCATTTTAGCGAGGGCAAACATCTAGTAGCACCGTCTAGTGTAAGTGAGCTCGCTGAACTGCTTAATAATGGCATCTACTGCATTTGTAGGTTTAATGTACAATTTCAGCACATCCATGATTGGACTCACCCGAAAATATGTCAAGCTCGTGGGTTCATCTTCCAGAAAGAATTGAATCCAATGGTTAGGATATTGCTGCACGCGCGCGCAGTGCACGCCAACTTCATGGCTACATCCATTACCAACCATGCATCCCGTATGTATCTTCGTCGCTGATCGCAATGAAAGACGAACCGAGCTTGGGCCATGAATATTTGAACAACCGAAATTTGGCAAAAAGGAGAAAATGTATACGGAAATAGACAAAGTCATATAGGATCAAGAGCCGACGCCATTCGGCTCTTCATTAGTGTTGAAACGAAAGGAGAGTGGCTGGAGGAGAACTACGGGAGGCTGTTGTGACATACGCGTTACCGAGAGCTGGGACGCAGACCTCGATTTACTAAATGTTGGTACCGGCTGGCCCCCACGACTGGGAGTGAGGCTGAGGTGTAGTAGTAGGATACGGAGGAAGGTCGAGCGCTCGAACGCTCAATCCTCAATCCCAGCCAAAGTCACGAGTGTGAAAGCAAGTTAAGAAGGGGCACGGTAAGCGTAATAATTTAATTACTTAATTAATTAATATTTATGCAGTCTCCGCTTGCTCAATATTAATGCTGTGAGGATGTTGCAACGCCTTTCAGTCATTCCTTGGATCAGTGACAGATCATAACCATCACATCGCAGCCATGGTCTCAACCGTTCACCACAACGGGCCCAACGATAGCATCATGGACATCTTGCAAGGAAGGGAGCGCATCGTTTCTTACCCTGGCACGAGTCAGTTCAATGGTCGCGGTATATCTGCATGTGGCCTTGCAGCCATGAATTTTGCGAGAGTGCTTTCTGAACTCGTTCACATCCATAGTAAGGACACGCTGATAGATCTGCTTCGAGCCATCACCAGCAAGGAGGTCATTGAAGTCAGTGTTTTGTTTGATTTGGCGCCCGTCACATCCAGTGGCCGTAGCCCCTCACTGCTGCTTCTCACGAAACGTCATACCATAGGACATTATCTCCATATGCTCAGGATGGTCAAGTGACCTGCACTTGGATGTAGAAGAAATACAGCAGGTTCCCCTATTCGAGAAGTCTTTGAAACTTGTAGCAACCCGGTATGGTCCTCCAAAGGCGAAGAAGTTCATGCGTACCCTTGAGTGAGTGCAATCCTTCGTTCGTCTGTTTCATCAATTTCATTATCTTTTCAGATATATGCAAAGCTTGGATTCCTCTTCAACTGTCATTATCACACGCCCCCCTGAGATCATCGCATGCACGATCATCAAAGGACCGGATACGGATGTCTTTGTGATTTTCGATTCTCACCCGCGGCCCAGCTATCCTGCCGGTGCTGGCCTTATCCTCAGTACATCCATTAATCAAGCTGCCTCCCGCTTGGCCAGCATATTACCTGCTGCCGACAACCAGCTTCTTTCTTTGAGTGGTTTGCAATGGCAGGCGCAGCTACTTAATAACTTCTCAGGCCACATATTCATGTCGACCGGACCACCTTCAGACGTGCGAGGCATGCAGAAGACTGTCGTCGAATCTAGCCTGACTGTTTTGAGACTGCGAGCCGAAGTGGCTGGGCTGACGCAGAAAAATGAGAGGCTGACTAAAGAAAACGAGACGTTTGAAGGGGATATTCAACGCTTGGAGGATGCTTTGAGTACTGAGAGGAGGAAAGTAGCGTCACTCCAGACATCCTCCAAGAGTGTGCAGAGCAACAGCGGGCGACCCCTCCCTGCGCAGCTCACAAACGGAACAGCCGGATTATTGCGGGGGCGGGGCCTCCCTGCGCGGCTCACAAACGGAATAGGCGGATCATCGTGGGAGGCGATTCAACGCTTAGAAGATGCTTTGAGTGCCGATAGGAGGAAAGTGGTGCCACTCCAGGCATCCTCCAAGATCGTGCAGAGCAGCAGTGGATGGCCCCTCCCTGCGCGGCTCACAAATGGAACAGCCGGACCATCGTGGAATTCTCCCCTCAACTTCTCATCTTCGTCCTCTTCCTCCGGCAAAACTCTGAATAACGATCGCGATCGCGCAGCAGACTCATGGTCATCGACCTTTGATGCAGTCAAGGATGACCTAGGACATGAATGGGGTCTCGACAGCCTGAGTGCAGCTGCGGCCCTCGAGTTGCAGCAATCTTTTGACGTTGAAGATGTGCAACTTCGAGACCAGATGCAAGCTCTGGCTGCCGCACTCCCACATAACTTTTCGTGCGCAATATGCATGGAAGAGCAACCTGTGGACAACAGTGTTGACCTTGAATGTAATCATTCGATATGCAGAACTTGTATCAGAGGACACGTTTGCTCCAAGATCGAGGAACATCGCTTTCCAATCCTATGCCCCGTTTGCATGACAGAAACGAATAACCGTCAACCTGGAGGTTTGTACATCATTTGTAGTGACCACCGCTAACTCACCTTCCTTAGCGATCTCGGGACTCCTCGTGCAGCAAATTGGTGTCGACGAGAAGCAATATGCGATTTGGGAAGAAATGGAACTAAGCCAGTTTTCAGTTCTCCTTCACTGCCGCAAGTGAGTGTGTCACTTGTGTTCCTGCAGCGTGTCGATCATGCTATTGTAGATGTCAGCGTACGGTGTCTGTAGACAAAGAAGAGCACGGCGAAGCTCGCATGCTGGTTTGTCCCCTACCCGAATGCGACCATATTTGGTGCAAAGCGTGCCAGCAATCTTTTACCCTTGGTGGTCCTACCCATTCTTGTGACGGAACCTCGGAATTGGACCATTTGATGAAGAAGAGCGGGTGGAAATATTGTCCAAGTATACGCTCTTCCTACTGGCTATTTGCTCTTACTTATGGTCATCGACAGACTGCAAAATACCTGTCCAGAGGGACGGGGGATGCAGCCATATGACTGTGCGTGATTTACTTCGAGACAAGCACGCCGTTCTAACGTATACGCTGTCGTAGTGCATCTCGCCGGGCTGCAACACTCACTTTTGCTATGTTTGTGGGCAAAATATCGTTCGCAGTGCCTTGCGAACGGACATTCAGAACGCGGTCGCTGCTCACTATCGCGTTTGCAAATTGTTTGATGATCCCGGGGAGTGAGACGCCCGACGGCGGTGGACAAGAGTGTTGTAAGTAGCATAGGCTTACAAGTAGGACTATATAAGTCTTTGTAGTAGATCATCATGATTGGAAACGCAACTTGAGAAACAATTTTGGATCGGAATAAATATCACGAGCTGGGGGGTGTTTGAACGGTCGCTAGTATTGTTATATACCGAGCTCACACTCAGGCTATAGTGAGCAATAGTAATCAGGCTTCGTACAAAGTCTACACAGGACTTGGTGAGTTACCAATTGCAAAGGAACGCGTGAAACTCTCGATTTAGGGTTTCGGCCGTAGTACTTTACCTTGGACCTCCAGCGTTGGTTCGGCATTCTCCGAGTCAGTCAGCCCGGATCATGCGACACAAGTTTATTTCCTACCACCATTCACCTCTAGCTGTACCTATCTTTTGCCAAGCCCGGTGCACTTTTGACAACTGCGTCCTCAGCAACCCATCTTCCAGCCCCATGCCTGTGCAGCCGCAGCGCGGCATTGCGCCTATAATTACCAGTGCCTTCCCTCTGCCTACCCCGCACCAAGCACAGAGACAGGAAAACCAACACCATTCATGTTCACAAATGTTGGTGCGCCAAATTCCTCGGCGTCAACATCGATATCAACTTGTAATTGATATTTGACGCACTAGTACGGCTGCTAGCACGAATTTCCAACCTATTGCTACATCATCTTCACTGTCTCTGCCACAACCGTTGATGATACCTCGGGACCAACTGGCCTATCCTTCTCACTCGTGTTTGATCAGCACGATCATGGCCGTTGTTGTATGAGATCTAAGAAGCGCATAAGAGCGGAGGAAGAGGCATCTAGCTACGTTTTCATTTTGGTCAGCCTTCTGATAGATCAATGTTTTTCCAGCGCTTCATCGGTAACGATTCGACGTCAAATTTGGCATTACCACCCAAAATATTTAATTTCTCCACTGCTGCGTCACGAGGTAATCTGACGAAGATCGCAACTTGTCACTTATTTGCAGGGATGGTCACCGGCCACAGGCGCATATGAACAGTGCCAATGGTCCTCCGAGACTCGACTCCGTAGATAGCGATCCTTCTGCACACTGGCCACTTTGCGCTGACACCTTTGGTCACTACTTGAACACTCGGCAGGTATGCGCCCTCCGAGCCAAGAATATTATGGCGCAGTATCTTGCCAGCAGCCAGTTTGTGTCTCCTGCTGCTTACTGTACAGTGTGTCGTAGTATGATAATATCTTGTTATCTTCTATGGTTAGTCTGATATGGTGCCAGCAGGATATTGGAAGTTCAGCTGGACCCAGATGTGACCAGCATTTGACGAGAAATCAGCAACATCACAGCCTTCAGGCGTCAAGTGAGCTTTTGGAGCTTAGAATATCTGGACGATGTCGTGGTGTTGCTACTTACATGGCCAGCATCATGGACCCGTTCCTCGGTGTTGTGACAGGTTGTGGCACGACTCGCGACCTTGGAATGTTGGGACTTCTGATGCCTAATGCTAAATTTGTCCATGCCTTTTCCTACCTTTTGGCGTTGGAATAGAAGTTTGTGCCTTCGTTGGCGCATTCGGTTATCATCTTGTTTGAGCTTCATCTGAGCAGCCAACTTTGGGACACGGAGTGCCGTCGACGGCTGGTGCGTGTCTATTACGGCAACTATTCGAAGTATCATATCCATATCTTGTGGATCGGCAAGATACAAACCTGAGCTAAATAGCATAGCACATGTTAGGATGGGACTCTGAAGACGTGGCAGGCTGCGGCCCTTCGCATCATTCATGATTGAAGGTCAGTCACGATAGGAAGTCAGACCGTCTTTAAAGTTCGCTAACAGTAGCAAAAACAGAAGTTCGGATTTCCTGTGGAGTTGGGATGGCTCATTTCGCGACTGCAGGACAACGAGCTTATCTGTGATCTGCCACCACCACTACGTTGAGAGGCTAAGCCGGTGCACCAGAAGAACTCCTGCCTGATAACACAATACCACTGTTAGCTGGCACAACCGGAAATGAGATTAGTATGCATGTAAGTAGTCGTACTACCTTGTCTTTGACAAATATAGCACGGCCCTGAGAACACATATTTGCAGCGGTGATTGGGGCATCGATTTTCCTGGCTCCGACATTAATTGGCAGGTGCACCGCTGATCAACTAACCTCTGGTCCATATCTTGGCGCTCATGTCTTCCAATTCATCTCCCATGCTAGCTCTGCTGACCTCGAGCTCGTGCTTTTTATCAGTTCATTGGGATTCAAACAGTCAAAATGAGTTCTAGTGTTCGCCACAAAAGTACTCCATCATGCCCGGACAGGAATGGTGGATCATTGTCAATTGATCATCTGAGTGCCATAATCTATTTTTGGCGGCGTAGCCCGTGCCCTCAATTGTTGAGTTCCTTTGTTACTTCATATCCGTGCAGAAAGAAACTCGATGCCTCTCAGATAATCAGGTGGAGTTCTCAATGCAGTCCGCAGTTCTCAGCATCAGGCAAAGCATCAGGCAAACGTTTTACCTGGCAGAATTAGATTTCCTGATGATTTTCCTACCTGCGAGCGAGGTGCCTTGTCGCCTTGGGTGGTGCCCGGCGCCCGATTTGAATGTCTATACATCACAACACCTAAGGTATGTGCGATTCTAATAGCTTTTGATGCCAGCCATCCCGGCTCACGGTTATGGCAGATCCATTTACAGAAGAACTGTGTTTCTTTGACTGATAGAAGACAAGCTGATGGTTTCAACAGGACTACCAAATTCTAGTGTTCGACGGAAAATTTGCTCCTCTAGACCTATTTAATCGACGCAGCCGCCGTTACAATAACTCCCTAAGTTCCACCGTCTCAAACCATACCTTTCCAACAATTTCTCTGACGTCCGTGCAGCGACGGGAACATGGACAGTATAACTCCTACCTTCCCAAGTGGCACCCCACATCCAAGAATCAAGTAAGAAATACATTATGTTATGTCGTTCCATTCCTCGTTCAATTACTGGAAAAGGTGCGTGGGTGTGTGGGATACAGTCGAGATGCGCTGATGGTCGAGGATACATATCTTCCTCCCACAATCGACATTGCACTTCATGCACTGTCGCTTCACAAAAACTGGCAACAATTTCTACCCACCTTATGGTCCATGCCCCAAGGTGGATTGCCCGCCAATCAGACTCTGAAAGAGGTAGATGCTTCAATCTGCAGTAACTCCTAATTTCTGAAAGTGCTGACGTTGTTGCAGGTATGGTTCCCGGGAGCCGACTCCGATATAGGTGATGGTTTTACGAACGGTTTAAATGCGCACGTGTCAGACGTTTATCAGACGCCCGACTTTGTCTGCTAAAATCAGCCGTGATTGAGGAGTCCTGGAGGCACGAGACCTCGCTTCTGGAAGCTGAAGATGCTCATGTGGTCTTCCTGTTATCTCCAGCGGAGTATTTATCTGTGGTCTTTTGTGTGACATGCTTGGAGCTTTTGCTGATATCCTACCATGGATTTCGACGTTGTCGTTCGCAATGGGACTGTCGTGACTGCCTCAGATATCTGGGAGTCTTGTGATATTGGAATCAAAGTATGAATCACACCTGCTGTCGTTTCCAAGTTTTCCCCACCTATGTTAGGATGGAACCATTGTTGCCGTCGGTCCTCGTCTTCCAACCATAGCTGGCGCGCAAGAGATCGACGCTGAAGGAGCTTTTATAACTCCCGGCGGAATCGACTCTCATGTTCATCTGAGTCAGGCTAGTAATTTTCTTCGTTCTCTGCTCCTAGATTCTTATTCTTATCATATTGTGCAGGTACACAACGCCAATATTGACGACGTAGATCATTCTGCCATTACGAATGGAGTCATCCCAGACCGTGAAAACTATGTCGCTGACACGTACGACACAGGTACGCGCAGTGCAGTAGCTGGAGGAACGACAACGGTAATTACGTTCGCTTCGCAAATGAAGAAGGACGAGAGTATCATCCCTGTCATCGAGAATTATCACAAGCTCGCCAAGGACCAGTCCTACTGTGACTACGCTTTCCATGTCATCATAACCAATCCGACGCCCCAAATCGTCGATGATGAATTTCCGCGGATGGTCGACGAGTACGGAATTACGAGCGTGAAGTTGTATATGACATATAAACCCATGAGGCTTCTAGACTACCAGATTCTCGATGTCATGTACTCCGCTCGGAAGCTTGGCATCACCACGATGGTGCACGCCGAGAATGCCGATATCATCGACTGGATGACACAACATCTGGAGCAGAAGCTCATGACACATCCTTACCACCATGGTACATCTCGACCTCCGATCGTGGAGGCTGAGGCGACGGTGAGCCAACTTTGCTTTGTTTGAAATGACATGCTTACACTGCGATAGAACCGTGTCATTTGTCTTGCGGAGCTCATGGATACGCCGATCCTGCTGGTGCACATATCCGGTGGACCTGCCACTAAGCACATCCGCGACGCACAAACGAGGCTGCTTCCGATCTACGGTGAAACGTGTCCCCAGTACATGTTCCTTCTTGCTGATTCAATGCGGAAGGGGGACTTCGAAGGTAATGACTCCTCTGCTATCCTATCCTTTGTCTTACGGGCCTCATTCAGGCGCGAAGTGCGTGTGCTCACCTCCGATCCGTGAGGACAAGTCCGACCAAGATGCCATATGGGCTGGAATCAAGAACGGAACATTCAATGTTGTTTCTTCAGACCACGCTCCTTGCAAGTTCAATCATCCAAACGGAAAGCAGCGTGGGCTCCAGCACGGGAACCTTCCATACGGCAAATTCCGTTTCATACCGAACGGCCTACCTGGTGTGGAAACCCGTGTTCCGCTTCTCTTCTCGGGCGGCGTCCTCTCTGGGCGCATCTCCCCACAGAAGTTTGTTGAGGTCACGTCCACAAACCCAGCTAAGCTGTACGGATTGAAGAAGAAGGGCAGCATCGCACCAGGCTTCGATGCTGATCTAGTGATCTGGTACCCGCAAACGAAGTTCCAGCCTTTCAAGCTCACAAACGAGATGCTGCACCATGCTATCGACTATACGCCGTTTGAGGGAATTGAGTTCAAGAACTGGCCGAGGTACACGATCATCAGGGGTAAGGTGGTGTTCAGCCATGGAGAGGTAATTGGGGAGATGGGGTATGGTCAGTTTATCCGGAGAGAAAAGAGTCTGCTTCCAGGACCAAGAGATGTTTGGTTGAGCGAATGGCGTCCCTAAAATTCATCGATCTGCGCACTCTAAAAATTTCAAATATCATGCCTCCATCAATGTCACTATCCTATCCTCATTATTTGATGTAACTGCAGCCCCTTCATATTTATTTCGTACGCACAATTGAGGTCGACAATCGCGAAAGCTGTCTCACATCGCCGGCGCATTAATGGGTGCATGATGGTAGTGGCAAACAGCAACTCCACACGGTCACGAGTACCGCTCTCTGATATTTGTTGGTATGTCTGAGCCTTCTTATTTTCTCCGTCATTGCACCGGCTATAGATGCAACCTTAGTATAGTTACGCAAACCTTCCTGCGCGCAGAATATAGGGTGAGCCAGAGCCGTCTACTCCACTGTCATTGTGGTTCAGCGCATCCATTACTAGCGACTTACTAGCGACTTGCGAGGAGTCCAAGCTGCTCTCTCTACCAGTGCCAGAAATGAAGGATCCCTCGTCCCCTTTCTCTTAACCAGTGATACTGCCCATTCTCCTCAGCTGCTTCAACTGAGAACGTTAGGGCTCTCGAGAGGAGCGGATTGATTAAGATCTTTGATATGGCATATTTACACCGACGGTAGCAGACAGAGCGACAGTGACAGGCTGACAGCTGAGGGTAGATAGACGACCCGAAAGACTGCTGAGGTTATTGGGAGATCTTGGTTGAATGCAGTCGTATATCAGAGAACTACCTGCGATGATGGATTGAAACATCTTCTCAACAACGGAGAGCCTGAGGACGAACCGAAAGGGTGATCAGAGACGATGCGAGAAGCGGTGTTAGTGAGTTGCATACATACTATAGGTCGGCCTTTTCGATACATCAACATGATTGAGCGCTTCTCCGGGTCTCCACTCATAAGCTGGCGAGCTATCATGGGCAGCGCATGCTACACAGGCACAGTTCCTGTGATGGTGATCAACGGTCACTTTGGTAGGGACCTACACGGTAGTCTAGTGGGGGACGATGCAATGAGGTATACTGATGCTCCAATGAATGACTTTGATAAGTGCGGAAGGTTGAACTCGATGGTGAAAAAACGGCCACTCTTGATACTGCTGTTATGATACAATCGGAGTTGAATGCATCATCCGCCATGAGCCATGCTGGGTGCATTGGGTTTGTTAGTGATGCTAATCAGCTGTCTCAGTGAGAAATACGTAGCGCACCTCGCCAAGAAACACTGAAGCTGGCCCTCAGGCCTCGGGATTGGGTCATTGGTCGAGCTTCCGGATGAAATCATCTACTTTGGAACCTGCAAGCTCGATGTCGTGATTCTTCCGGAGGTCAAGATGAGCGGCCAAGTCCTCCATATTCACCATGAGATACATATTACCCGAGCGACCCGAGGTGCGAGGCGCTTTGCTCGATGCGGATTTGAGGTGGAGGAAGGAGTTCGCCATCTGACTGCGACTGTCGTTGGATGAGTATTGATTCGGTTTTCAGCACAATGTGGTATTCAACCGCCTAGTGTCGGCATTACTATGATACGGTAGCTTGGCCCATGCCCATGGGTACACGAGAGTAGTATTCTTCGAACTTACGGAACATTGCAATTTGGAAAGTCGAACCAACATGTGGGCTTACTAAGCGAGACTTTCCATTGCATCCGCACTACAAAGTGCTTGTCCAGAGCTTCTACTACCTTCTCACCCTGAACTATTGATACTTTGTTTCAGGTGTGATACGCTGGGTGATAATCGCTCGAGTGTGGGTCGAGTATGTTCAAAACCCGAAAAGTATCGAAATGAAGACCCACGCTCGAGAAAATGTGTTACTTGTCAGTCTCATGAACGTGCTTTAGACTACGCCCACTTGCGACATTATGACTGTAAGTTTAACGTTAAACATTTCGATTGATGGCTGACTTGTCCGGAAAGTATCTGAATCAAGCCTCATATATCCTCTGTCTACGAAGTGTAGTACCTTCCTGCCGCCGCTCTTGGCGGCATTCCCACTCCTTGAGAACTTGAATTTCGCAATCACTGGAACCTCGGGTTCTCTGCTTCCGGAAGTCGATGCGTGTTTGATAGATCAAATACATCAGAAATCACAGCAGGGGACCGGTCAATGAATAACGGTAGCGTCTGGCTGAAGTTAGCCCAACCCAAGGGACGATCTGCATTGACAATTTGACATATCATGCCTTCAATGTGAGAGATCCGGAAATACTCTCTGCAAAATTTGAGGCTTAATTGAACCTCGGCCCCTCGCAATATACTTCTATGAACCTAGTGCATTAAAGCCTCGATGTCGCACCGTTGCAGCAAGTATTTTCTCGGATAAGTGTCGTGATCCTAGCTGACGGGATTTTTACTTGTTTCTAGAGTCTCGTCTTGCAAATGAATACAATCTGCATTGCTGTGCTAGGCGCCGAGAGTCTTCATTATGAATCGACCTGGTATCGCTGGACCTGTGCCAGAGGGAGAATCCTCTCCTGAGGTTCAAATAAGACGACTGAGTCATTCAACAGCGGGATGACAAACTTCACTACTAAGCACAAATCGCAAGAATGGCAAACAAGCAACCTCATTTTCTCTCGTCAAGTTAATCAACTCACGAACCAGACTGCTTCCGTTTGGCGAAGACTGAGAAGCAGTTTAAGAAGCTGGACTGTGAGTTGATGTATTCTTACTGCGTGTAAGCGTTGATTTCTTGGCAATGACTTTGGCAGCCTTTCATCGAGATACTACCCCTATGTTTCTGGTTGTTTGGCATTCTTGTCCAACCCATCAGCGCTGGCATCGGAATTGAATTCTGATTCTGCCGTCCGCATAGAATGGATGTCTTCTGTTGGGGCTCAGATGGCTACTGGGACGGACCTGAGGTGGCGACAAGTTATCAACGTTCCACATCGTGCTCAAGACATTAAGGACATTAATATTGGGGGGAGCACAAAAAGAAGAACTTCCTAAAGCGGAAGTGCCTCTGCGAACTACACCTGCACCTCGAGGTTTGGGCAACCATATCCGTAGACAAATTGGATCCGAATCGCTAGTGGTGAGTCCATGACCTATTGACGAAAGCTGTATCAAATGGCCGAGTTGATGATTTTTAGTCATTCTGTGGCATTTATCTCCTTGGCGTAGCTTATTGAGGCTTCGCACAACAGCCACCGTGATATCGAAAACTTTTCTGCGCCTTCCAAGCATTCCGTTCTAGTACGAGATCATAACTAGTGAACCAAGTGCCAGAAGTGAAGTGATTGTTTGTGGCATACCGCACGAGCATCGCATGGAAAGCCATTACTTGGCAAGATTCGCCATACACTTCCTTATCGGAGGCGTCAAGGACGTGATATAGCGGACATCCAGCGTGCAAAAACGCACCCCAAGAATCTGCGAAGCTGATTTTCGGCTCAGAAATAACCGATGCTTAATGGACACGTTCCGACCTGCATATTTAAACAGTTCCAAATTACCGTTCGTTGCCCTCATACTTCTCCGCATACTACTATGGTCCAGAACGATGAAGTCGATGATATTCCCGTCGTTGTCACGAAAGTGCAAGATGTCGAACGTCCTTACTCTATATTTACGACTTCCGAAAAATGGGTCATAGTTTCTCTTGCGTCCATAGCAGGTTTGTTCAGGTGAGAAAATGGTTGTTCTTTGATATTGAAACTCCTGTGAACAACCTTGTCAGCCCGTTGACAGCTTACATATACCTTCCTGCCCTGCCAATGATCGCGACTGCGTTCCACAAGACTGTCGAACTCACCAACCTCACGGTGACGGTTTATCTGGTGTTTCAGGGTGTATGTCAGTAAAGCCTGTTGCATGCTGTTTGTCATCTCCCAGGCTCATCATTATCGCTCGAAGCTCCCATGTTCTGGGGCACTCTCGCAGATCGCATGGGCAGGCGACCAACGTCGCTTGGATGTTTGTTTGTTCTTAGCATTGCTTGCATCGGTCTTGCGTTCGTACCGACATCATACTTCTGGCTGTTGATGGTTCTCCGATGTCTCCAAGCAATTGGTAGTGCTAGCACGCTCACGATCGGTACGTTACTGTATATCTTTTATTTTCGTGTTTTATCTTATTAGCTACAGGCGCTGGTATTATCGCAGACATCGCTACACCCGCGGAGCGAGGTGGTTTCTTTGGCATCTTCACAATGGGTCCACAGGTGAGCACAAGAGTACACCTGTTGACTAGTAACTGAGTTTCGAAGGTTGGACCCGCGTTAGGACCTGTTGTAGGAGGCGCTCTTGCGGATAAACTCGGATGGAGGTAAATCAGCTGCTCTCGAACATATAACAATGCTTTGCTTATGCAGTCCATTATTCAGATCTATTTTCTGGTTCCTGTGCATCTCAAGTTCAGCGTGTTTTATTGTCATGGTCGCGTAAGTCGCGATATATGTCGTTATTCTCTGTGACGTACCCCGCGTGTCAGGTTCCTCCCGGAGACCTTGCGTAGCCTCGTCGGAAATGGTAGTATCCTTCCGCCTATCCAATATCGTCCTCTGTTATCCTTAATGGGGCGTGGCCGTAAGGATCCTGAGGTGGAGTGTCCGCCTGCTCGTAAATCTCCCAACCCTTTTCATCTGTTCGCATGCGTCGACATCTTGAACCTTCTGGTTTTCAATGGCATTCAATACGCGGTGTTTACCGCCATCCTGGCTACCATATCTTCATTGTTCAATAAAAACTACCCTCAACTGTCGGAGACGGACATTGGGCTTTGTTACCTGGCCTCTGGAGGCGGGCTTGCGCTGGGCGCAATATTCAGTGGCAAGCTCATGGACTGGGACTTCAGGAAGACGAAGGAACATCTCACTCGTAATTTTACGCCAGAGAAGGGTATTTCAGATGGTATCATAGACGAGGATGATTTTCCGATCGAAGCCACGAGGCTGAAGAGATTGCCACTCTGGATGATCATGTTTTGCGCAGCCTGCGTTGGGTATGGCTGGTGTCTCCAAGCGCGAACGACCATTGCAGCACCTCTGGTCCTCCAATTCGTCAGTAAGTGTTTGTTTTCGATTCTTGCTCATAGACTAGATGCTCACTGATCGCACAGTTGGATTTTCAGAAATCGCTATGCTCACTACCATTCAAACGCTTTTAGTCGATCTTGTACCGTCACAAGGCTCTTCGGTGACTGCGTGTGTGAGTTCGTCAGATGTCTCTGATTCACAAGATCGTGACAATAACTACAGAATAACCTCATTCGATGCTCTATGGGAGCGCTTCTGGTTTCCGTGATCGACTTGATTCTTCAGCAGATTAACACTGGATGGACATTTGTTCTTCTAGGGGGAATTTGTTTCATCTCCGTGCCCATGGTTTGGCTGGCAGTGCGTATTGGACCTCGCTGCCGTGCTGGCAGACAGCAGCCTGAGATTGCGTCTTAAAAATAACGCTTCAATGCCTTTTGGCCAGGTGCCAGTTCGTATTGCAGAATTAGAATTACGGTCTTAATGTCTTTCTGTCTGAAAATCCCCTCACACAGATCTGTTATATGTTCACGCCCCAAATATTTGCTCCTTTACATTGCATTCACAGGAGCATCGGTTCCCCGCTGTCATGGTAGTGCACGTGGCAATTAGGTAAGGCATTACGGTAGAGATTGGACTAGCGGCTGTGAACGTTGTTTACTCACTACGGCATTACTCGATTTCAGCAGCCTTTCTGAGATCTGAGCCTTTCGCTGCTGGAACTTCTGTCCAACCCGCGCTTGCTAAGTAACGCTTTGTTGCAATGCCTCGTGATATCTTGGGTGGCTAACCCCCCTCCTCCTCCCGTCCTGAGATCTGCTTTTAATTTAAATTACACATTCACTTCCCTTGTGTTTCTGAGTCCACGCTTTAACCTCTCGGGCCTTATCAGGTTCATCCATAACCCTCGACAGTGCACCACGATCAGCCTCCCACTGGCACCTGGCCACCCTTTCAACCTCTCAGACCTTAAATTTAGCCCGAGTTACGTCACACTCCCGTTTGTGGTACGATTGGCTGGGAATCGGTACAACTCATGCAGAATTTCGCATTCCCCTGCTCCCATTGCCTGTTATACCTAATGTATCCGTTTTTAAATTGGCATCCCGCGATGTGTCCGAGGCAGCCTCGCGTTGCCACAGGTTGCCATTGTAAGTTTTGTCTGGTCATGATCCTGGACAAGTACTGGGGAAAATCCAAACGCCTCTAAACTCTCCCCGTCACCTATTCCTAATCCATCTGATCCACAGTCTCCGAGGTGGCCACTCACGGTTAGCCGAGGTGCGCGCTGTTTCTTTACACCCACCTCAGCGGCCAACTGCGGTGATGCTATTATGCACACATCGCAACCCGATTTCTGCGTTGACACACGCGCATAATTAATATTCGAAGCTGGCACAGTGCACCCTGACGGAAATCGATCCTTGCATAAATGGATGTAAGACCACATCTTCAGACCAGCCGGGAATTTTTAGACAATTACAACAAGAAAAATTCTCAAAGGCACCGCAACCTTAGGCTCGCTACACGAGGTATGTAATCGATGACGAATTGGTAGATAGCATGATATTACCAGTGCCCTAGTTGAAACGGAGTCCACCTCATAGTGTCAAAACTTCGGCGGACACGCTGCAACTGTAGTCCTTTCACGTCGGGAATCGCAGCTCACGTTCGCACTCAACTTTCGGATCTCATATGGTGACACTTTTGCTATCTTTCTTTAATTGTCATCGTTCGGGTTTATTCGACCTTGCAATTCACGGGAACAAGTTAACCTTCTGATCCTTCTTTTAGTCACCATCATTCGCTGCCTCGATCGCTCTGCCCTGTTTCACGTCCCTTGGAACTTACTCGGCTACTGGAGCCACGAAATTTTAGAATCACTCGAAGCCTCAGCGTTCAGGTTCTATCTGCCTTCTCACAGGAGGAGGCGGCGCAAAGATCATGTATCCAGGAGAAATATCTGGCCCTGGCATCTTGTCGATTCCTGATACACCGACAGATTGGATGTATACAACACGCCGCAGCTTCTGGTCCAGGGTTGATGCCGTCCATGGCCTTGGAGGATGGAATAAACGGTGGCCCGCGGAGTTATGAAGGCCACCCGGCCGTAATTTTTATTTTATCGCACGACTCAGACAATACCTTTTGGTTTGCAAAGAGCCATATCATATTGCGGCACAGCGCTTCTATAATATTCTACTTCCAGTCCTTGCGTTGAAGATAAACAGGAGAGGGATGGGATTGCTTGGTCCACACCAAAGTACCTATGTAGCAAGCTGATCTATCAGTTCAGAATCTCTGAAGCCTTTGTCTTCAGGCATCTTTGCCACACTTGCGTTTCTGCCCATGGTGGTACTTAGAATGGCAAGCACAAAAAGCGCGTAATGATTAAGGTTAGGGCTACAGTGACATAGATGTGACATCTGTGTCACAGGCATCCGTCAGGGAGACAGCATTTTGGGCTCGCTCTTGGCTCGCTCACTGTCTAGTGCGATCCTTAAACATTGATCAATCATGCAGGCGGGACAAACTCCAGTGTTCGTCATGAGTATGTACTGTCTGCGCTTTTCAAATGCATCACTGAATGCGATGTTCTGCAGACACTGCGCCAGAGAGGCAGTCAGGAAGGAAAGCTCAGATCTCCAACATCACGGCCGCAAAGGCAAGTTTAATCGTCAGCATATGCTTTATCCTCGTCTCATCCATACTTGCTTTTCAAATAGACCATCGCTGATGTTATTCGAACATGTCTTGGCCCGAAAGCCATGCTCAAGATGATTCTCGATCCAATGGGCGGCATACTGTGCGTCTCTAGACATCTCCTGCCGTTAGTGTGTTTGAGTAATGTATAACATAGGCTTACAAACGATGGAAACGCGATTCTCCGTGAAATTGACGTTGCACATCCTGCAGCAAAGAACATGATCGAACTCAGTCGTACTCAAGACGAAGAATGTGGTGACGGTACAACCAGCGTTATCATCCTTGGTGTGTTCTCAAGCTTCGAAATCAACTCATTTTCTCATTGTTCTATAGCGGGAGAAATCCTCGCTCAGTCCCTCTCTCAGCTCGAACGCGACATCCACCCTGTCGTTATCATCTCTGCCTACAATAAAGCTCTGAAGGAAGCTCTTGCGATCATAAATCGCATATCTATCCCGATCGACACGTCATCTGATGAAGAAATGCTGTCTCTTATTAAAACTTCCATCGGCACCAAATTCGTGGCACGCTGGAGTGATTTAATGTGCCATCTGGCCCTTCAAGCCGTGCGCACCGTTGCCTCGGATGACGCTGGTCACAAGAGTGTTGACATCAAACGTTATGCGCGCGTTGAAAAGATTCCAGGTGGCTCTATTGAGGAGTCGAGAGTCCTTGATGGCGTCCTTCTCAACAAGGATATCACCCACCCAAACATGCGCCGACGAATTAAAAACCCGCGTATTATCTTACTCGATTGTCCCCTTGAGTATAAAAAGGGTGAAAGTCAAACCAACATGGAGTTCTCCAAGGAGAGCGACTGGCAACGCGCCCAGGAGATCGAGGAGGAGCAAGTCATCGCGCAGTGCAGACGTTTACTCGAATTCAAACCCGATCTTATTATCACCGAGAAAGGCATATCCGGTAGGTATCGAAACTGAAATTTCCCCAAATTACTAATTTTTCTTCAGATACGGCACAATATGTCTTTGAGCGAGCGAACATATCTGCTATTCGACGCGTCCGCAAATCAGACAACAACCGTATTGCCCTGGCTATTGGTGCAACCATTGTCAACCGCGTGGAAGACCTCCGTGACTCTGATATCGGCACGGGATGTGGCCTATTCAATGTCGAGAAGATGGGGGATGAGTTCGTCATTTCTGCCCTGCCCTGCCCCCTCATTTACGCGATCCACTCAGATACTTCACATTCCTGACCGAGTGCAAAAACCCTAAAGCGTGCACCATTCTTCTCCGTGGCCCTTCCAAGGACATCCTCAATGAAATCGATCGTAATCTTGCAGATGCTCTCAGCGTTGCACGCAATGCATACTTTAACCCCCTCCTGGCGCCTGGAGGAGGTGCGACAGAGATGGCGATCAGTGTGGGGTTGCACGCTAAAGCACGCAGCGTGACTGGGGTTGAGGGGTGGCCGTTCAGAGCTGTTGCGGACGCTATGGAGGTGATCCCACGGACTCTGGTGCAAAACAGCGGCGGGAATGCTATCAGGGTACTGACAGAGCTCAGGGTCGGTGATCGTGTTTCTGTGGAGAAAATGTCCCTAATGACTTCCGATAGGCCAAGCACGTGAACGGAGAGCATTCATGGGGCGTGAATGGGGAAACGGGAAAGATAGTCGATATGAAGGAATACGGCTTGTACGAAAGTGCAAGCGTAAAGGTACGTCCATGTTCTTGTAGTCCGACGAGTCCCCTGAATATCTATCTACTGCACGTTTAGATCCAAATCCTGAAAACTGCTATTGAGGTATATCTATGCGAGCTCATCACGCATATGCCGTCTACTTACTATGCCCACAGGCCGCCCGCATGCTTCTACGTGTCGACGACGTCGTACAAGCCACACGAAAAGAGCGCGAACAGCAAGGCCCTCCACCAGAGGAGATGCAGGGCGATTAAAATTGATGCATAGATAATACGGGAAGCCGCATTTGATACACAGTGACTCCAAGTACCTTCAGAAAATACTAATTTACATGCTTTCGAAGCGTACCATCCGGCGTGCTGTTTGCCAGCAAGCAGATCTTTTAATCAAGACACGTTGTACGACTCGGAAAGATCTAGGTTGACCTGCTTCTAACGTTAGCACACACCCGAGTTTCGAGAATGCCGTATCAACATGCATGTTTCTACCTACTGTACATGTTAGATGTTAGAACGACAGTGTATAGATCTGAATGGCTAGTGGACTTAAGAGTTACAGATGGAGAAAATCGATGTATAGATATCGGGACTACCACAGACCCTGAGCGTGGACAGTATAATAATATGATGGTGAAGGGCGAAGGGTGTAGCGAACTCTAACGCGAGTAGCTTTCTTAGAAAAACCCTATGTATTACGTGTGCACCGTCCAAGGTTGCGGAAGCCACCGCCACTCCGGTTCACATGGCTAACTTGGAGAATATTCATGTACTGTGCATTTTTAAAAGTTACCCGCTTGCGCACAACGCACCAAAATGCCCATATGGAGCCAGTAAATCGGTTCAAGAATCAAGGGGGATCGAAAGCTGGGTTTTCCGCATTATTGTAGCCCTGACGTTTCCCTGAGGAATAATAGGCTGGACGCGTGAATCGCGAACCTGAGGGCTTGACTAACATGAATCTTGGGACACTCAGGAACCAAGGTTACTACTGAGCTCGTTCATGGAAGATCCCCGAAACCACTGGGGTGTTTGAGTGTTCGTGAGATCTGGCCTGCAAGCTAGGGGCGTCCAGAACTCTAATTGAGTCTAATTCCCTCGGGCCCTGATCAATCTCCCACAAGGGAAGGGTGTTGTTTGATGAGTCTGATACTGCACACGACATAAGTGCAAATGTGACAATCCGACAGAGGGCCGAGAGGGCGGATACTGCAAATAACGCCAAGCAACGTGCTGGGTGTAGACGCGTATATGGGGTGCCGTGTCAGCAAGAGTCGCAGCCTCGCAATGATTATAATCGATTCATTTTTCAACTCAATAGAAGGTCGGACGGTGATGACGCGCTACTCGTAATAGCGGCAGGGAGCGGACACACACTTCATTTGTCCTGTGGAAACCATGGACCTTGGCGTCTTTTGCCTTCACGACCCTGCAATGATAATTGTGTGTCTGGCATTGGCGGTCGAAACAACGCGGAGATAAAATTTTGTCCAGAGTTTGGGGTGTTGACCTTCCGACCCGCGGGTATACCCGTGCTATACCTACATAGCCCAGACGAGATTAATATTCACAAATAAGTCACAGGAAGAAAGATATAGAATTAACGTTAAAGCGGCGGGGAGAGGGAACATTACAAGGGTAGACAAGGATGCGTGGACTGGGGTAGCCATGCTCCTTATGGTACCCGGTGGAGCAGCTCAAGTCTGCTGCATGCGAAAGGAAGAAGGAACCTCGCCACCTTATTGGAGATAGGTTGGATGCGGGCAAGGTTTCCACAACTCGTCCGAGTTGTTTGTATCGCAACTATCGTAGCAACGAGGACGCAAGTTTAGCGGACAAGGCTCGTTTACCGTGTTGGTGAAAGTTAACAAAGTGGAAAATGTATGCGAGATAACCACTTGCTTGACTCGCGAAAGATGATGGTCTTGACAGCCCCCTTGATACACTAGAGGACGTTGCGTTTATCGCGGCTGCCTTGACCAGTGGTGGTGAACTCATCGATCTCGAGAAATTCATCAGCCAGGCCTAGAATCTAGATGGGGCACGCGGCACGGGAAAAGTGGCTGAAGCATGTACATGTGACACAAAACAATTTGGATATAGTTATGAAATTTGTTATCCACGACAACCCTTCATTTGCGTCATATATGTGCATATATTTTGTGATTTCGGATGTCTGCTGCACCGTCCATAGGTCGTTTCGGATGCGATATGCCCCTGCTGGTCAGAATACATGATGGTAATGCACAGTCCAAGACTTACTCGCACAGAGATTTATATAAATTCTAGGCTGTGTCACAAGTTACCAATTGCGCCCACGCACACGAAGGAAAAAGCGGCTAAGGCAAGGTTGTTTGGTGCTTTATCCTGCTTTTTAATATCTGTGTCGATTCTGTGGTGAGACGAGCAGTGGAATGCATATAGGTGCAAGGAGTGTTAATATTGACACCTACCAATGGGAATGTGTCAAAACCGCCTATGATGGAAAGTGAGTGACACATGGCTTCGAGAACCCTTCATACACCTTGAGGATCATACCAGTAGCTTACAGTGAACCCGACTCCACAACAAAAATGGGATCCAGACTTCCCGTGCAACACTCGAAAAAAAAAACGAATAGTTCGATAGACTGAAAGAAAAAGTATCGAAAACAGAGGCGACATAGCGATGGAATGTCCGAATAGTGAGGAAACAGACGCTTATCGTATGCCAGATGGCGGAAATGTCTGAGTGGGGGGAAGAACAAGATTTGTAGGAAGACGGAGATTGAGATCGCTAAATACCCTGTATAACACACCCGACGACACACCAGCCTCGACCAGATATTCAGGAGAGACGCCCCAGCCTAGGAGATCAAGCACAAGGTTCTTGGTGTGATCCAGGTCTTCGCGAGTCACTACGAGGGAAGTATGAGTCGCCATTTAGAGAAAAATAGAAGCCTTGGCATACTACTAGGTCCCGCATCCGAATATTGTGGTGCTGTTGATGCCACTATTGAGCCGCAGGCAGTGATTGAGGGAGAAGATAAACGGGAGCTCTGGGCAGATTCAGAGGGAAGATTTGTGCTACTTGATGTCTTCAACAGCTGGCCCGCGATTCGGGGAGGAGTTGAAGCAGTACTCGATCCGTCTTCCTCGGTGATCTCTCCTTCCTCTAGGTAATCTTGATCTGTTACCGCAGTAATTGACGATGGAGTCTGGAGCTCGTTAGTTGGTCCATTCTCCAAAACTGCGAGCGCTGGCTTCAAAGATATCTTGTCTGTCATATTGAACAAAGGGCGATGAATTAGAAGTTACAGGGCTGAAAACGTATCAGGTTATTGGACACGACGATGGCGAGAACTGAACAGCCTGGAGAATGTCTAGAAAGTCACGTGCTATTGAACAAGTTTCACTGTCAAGGTAACCTGGAAAAACCCTGGTCCCTTAGTTCTTTGACTCAGGACCTCTTAGGATCTCATGGGCTCAGGACCCATTCACAAAGTTTTGAAATCAACACGACTGAACCCGACGTCGCGGACCCTTGGCAATCCCGTCAGGCTTCCACGTTGATTGTCTCACCTCGTATCGCCCCTCATCGATCATCACTGACTCAACGCCTCGGCTTAGACGGCTTTCCTTCCATCCTGCATTTACACGGAAATTACGCTGCATTCAATCATTGTGTTTATTCGGCATCAGAACGGAGAACGGCTGGTAGCATTTTACTTGCATCCATTCTCGTTCTCTGTGACAATGTTCAGTTGTGTTCAGTTGACCACAAGTAAAATGATTTCAACCTGTGAAATTGACAAAAAAAACTTGGCGTGATTGCCATATTGACAGCACCACCCGCCGGTATTTGGAGTACTGTTCTGCATCCGAGTCAATGTGGCAGAAGATGATTAGTTGCTGGTCCAACAGAATTGTGCGTGTTGGCAGGCCTGACTGTTTCTTGATACAAGAATTAACAGTATCACACACAGCGAAAAATCATCAAGATCGGAATTAAATCTGGGTGGTGCCGACATGGCTCTCGACAGACCGCCACCCTGGTCTGTCGGGAGCTCCTTCTGGAATCTGTAGTCGTAGAGATGTGATCGACTTTTCCAGCGTATTTTCCCGATCATCGGAGTGATAGCCTTTACATTAGGTTTACTGGTGCCGGAAGTCCATGGTATCGCGCCTCCTACTACTTAACAGGATTGTTCACCCCCAGAATTATTAGTGCTTACCTGTGACACACTTTAAAATACAGATGTTGGGCCTCGCAGCAAGCACTTTGCGCAGCGGGATGCACCACCTCGAGACTGCTTGGCTTTTCACGAGATCCGACTTCAAGACAATCATTCTCCCAGTGGTATTCATTCCGGCGATAACTTTTGGTGCACGACGCTGAATTCCTGTGGCAGATGATATTTGCGAACATCGTATCACCGCGTCATGACCCGCTGGCCTTGTCCTGCTCTCTATGCTGGCTCTGGCTTCATCTCTTCCAAGGAAACGTCTCTAATCAATCGTACTCCGCGCCTGAAGATCTGCTGAATAAACCATGGCGTCCTGTGCCGTCTGGGCGTATTAGCATCAAGGATTCTCGCGCATTGCGCTGGGGATTGATGGTTTTTTGCTTGGGATTTTCATCCCTTTTCAGCTTAAACGTGGTTATGACCAGTGCAATCTTCACTGTGCTTGTAATCGTGCACGATGATTTTGGCCTCAGCGGCCATCCCATTGGCAAGAATGTGTTAAACGTAGGAGCCTATGTGTCATTCGAACTTGGTTCTACGTTGGTTCTGTGTAGGAAGTTCTGCCTATGAGAGTAATGCTTCACTGACCAGATCTATAATCTAGCGGGGGAACCTTCGCTCAATAGAACGAGCCTAACAGCACTCATCTGCAGTGCGGTTATCATACTCACGACAATTCACGTGCAGGATTTCCAGGACGTCAATGGTGACCGCATGTTGGGCCGACGAACTCTGCCCATTGTGGCACCTGAAGGATCCCGCATCTATATTCTTTGCGTACTTCCGTCAATTTCTTTCGTACTCGCCTCCTTCTGGAGTTTGGGGCCTCTCTGCAGCGCCATCTTCGTTTCGATGGGCTTTGGGGTCGGACTTCGCTGCTTTCTTGTCCGTGACGAAATTGGCGACCAGTTAAACTACTGGCTCTATAACGTTCGTATTTTCGACTCTCCTTTTTGTTACCTAACATCTTTCATTCCTGTAGATATGGCTCATGGCTGCTCATCTCTTGCCAGCTAATGCGCGTTTTCATGTGCTGGCGTGGTAGTCCCATGTTGCACCATAACCACGGACTCGGGCAATCCTGTGACATACACCAGCGGACCATCCAGATATAGAAAACATTTACCCTACAACTTATCTTTCTTGCCGCTGTTGTTCTATTCAATAGCTCTACATTCATTCGATTGTACAATATCGACATGTACCAAAATCTACTAGTCGAAGTACTCACGTATGATACACATACACTCTATAATAGATGCGCTTACTCACCGGTACAGGAGTCCGAAACGCAGATCAGTATGATATTGTGTTGTCTAGATGGCACCCTTACTCACAAAATTCCACGTTTGGGTATCACAGAAAGGTCATGCGAGGCAACATTCTTTAGCACAAATGAGTTTCCTTGCGACACAAGGAGTTTCGCACGTTACTCGCACAACTGTCTGCTGGTCTGCGCAACTTGAGGTGAGCAATCAAATACATGTCATAACTGCACCTTCATGGATATATTTTACGCTGGTACCACCACATGCCACATGGTACTAGTGAGTTGCTTGCAATACCGTGCGGAAGCTGCCTGTCATAATTATCGATATGAAAAGTTTGCGTCTTGGAATGTCCGGAGTTCCACGACCTCCCTTTGTACCTCGGTGACGAAAAGTTCAACGATATTCCGCACCGGAGGATGCTAATGCAGGGCTTCGGTGATTGAGAAGTATGCGAAGGCACATAAGAGTATTAAAAAATAAAGGATGTTCCACTCTCACCCCCGTATCTGGACAATTATGTCAATTGTGCACACCGGGGGGCCTGCATTTGCAGAAGTAGTGTTTCGTCGGCAGCATACAAATTTCATACAGGTTGTGCGTAATCTCGTCTCATGAGCTGCTACTCGATGCTGACCGTGCCAAGACCATGTCTTACTCTCAGAGACCGTGTGATGTCATCTTTGGAGTCTATCTGGCGCTGACGGCCATGTCCCGCTCTCAGGAAGTACTGCGTGCATGATCTCGTCTGAGATGCTTACCCGATGGCGGTGGTTGTAGCGGCAATGTCCCGCTCTTCCTATGATGTGCGTACTGAGGGTTAGTTAGGGTTAGATGTTGAAAGTTCCACTGTTATATCTCACTCTCAGAGAGTGCGTGATCTTATCTGTCGAACTATTTACCGTTCCCCGTCATGACCCACAGTAGGTCATGTCCTACCCACGCAATATGCATGTTTAAAACTCGGTCCGGACGCAGCCTAGTAGACTAGACTGTAATGGGCATAGCTATCTGTCATAAATATGACCCTCGGCAAGAACATTAAAGGTACACTCTTAAGCTTGTCTTCGAGTCGAAATTACGTCCTTTGGGTTAATGTACTCCATGAGTGCGCAGGAAGGGGATTCGCAGTTACGTGTGTAATTTGCATCATTGAATATTGCGGATTTTAAGATGTATGCGGCATAGCAAGTGGCTGTGGCAGAACGAACCTAAAAAAAATGGAAGCCTTCACGTACACGTAGTGCGAACCCCTCTCTGCGAATACGCACGATTCTGTTGGACCAGCAACCGATCTTCGGCCATTTTAGTGCTCTATATTTGCACCGGGCGGGTGCTGTCAATGTTAGACAATCAATTGAACATCGTCACAGAGAATGAATGTAGCAGGTCATTTTTGGTGGAGGCTTACCAGCCTAAGTCCCGAATAAATCGAGGGGAGCTGCGGCGCAGTTGTAAAAGATACAGGATGGATGAGTCTAAGCCGAGGCCTGATGAGGGGCGACGTAGCCCTGAGACGTCATGCGTCAGGATTTTGACACTTTGTATGGGTCTCAGTGAGAGCCTCACTTAAAATTAGCAAGCGACAAATTGGCGACTTGTCCTCCGAGCTCGCTGTCCTCGCCGTCGTCGTGTCCGATAACCTGGTACATTTACAACTCCATAGTCAATCACTGCGGTAACAGAACGAGAAGACCTAGTAGAGGAAGGGCGGCCCAAGGAGAGGTTACCAGCTGTTGATTCTTGAAATGTCACACTTTAATCGTCCCTCCAAATCTGCACAGGACTCCCGTTTATCTTCTCCTTTAATCGCTGCCTACGGCTTGACCGCGGCATCAACAATACCAGACGGATGTGGTTGTCCAGTCATTGACACTGCGGCACCATTAATGAAAGGTTGTCGGTCACCTGACCATGACGCTGAGTTCGACGACTACCTGGTCCCCATTGTAAGTATAAGACAACCAGCTTCAATCAAACGACAGCGAACAACGTTGTCTTAGCCGCTTTATCTTCGTGCGCACCGTGTGTTTGGGCGTGGTTTGCAACCTGTGACGCAGCTTAGGATTTCTGTGGATCCCCGTGTGCGAGTAAGCACAAGGCGCATATAGCGTCCGAAACGACCCAGAGACGCAGTGGACATCACATGTGTGTGGCGCAAAGGATAGGTTGTCATCGACAACAAATTTCATAACTACATGTGAATCCGCTTTGTGTGACGTATGCTTCTGGGGCTTTTCCGTGCCGCACGAGCCCCATCTAGGACTGGCTGATGAGTTTCTCGAGATCAATGAGTGTACCACCACTGGTCAAGGCAGCCTCGATAATGGCGACGTCCTTCAGTGCACCAAGGGGGCTGCCAAGACCATCATCTTTTCCTTCCAAGGCTGCAAAGAAGCTTGCCTGCTCCAATTCCACGCCTCTGATTGGCTCATCAACGACCTCTTCCTTTTCGGGGCCAAGGACCCCATTTGCATCACGGGCGGCGGACTTGATAGTGATGCGAAAAACTGGCTTCTCGACATTGTGGATAAGGTCACGAGCCAGGGTTTGCTGGACTTGAAGCCAGCCATCTGTACCGGTGACGACAAGGCCGCGATCAGCGTCGGAACGAGATGGGTTCGGTGCTGCGAAACTGAGCTCGTAAATGCCATGCGAGCCGTCCGCGTTTTTTATGATTGTGTTAATGGTATCGTGGGGCGCAAGCCACTCCTTGTTGAGCGATGCAAACCCGGATAAATGAGTCATCGGACTTGGGAGTACGACACGAAGGGCTGCAGTGGAGTGCTAGACGCAAATCAGTGGTGGTTCTCAAGCACTAGTATTCGCCGCGGGGACTCACCACACCACCATCAAGCTATTCTCAGCCATGTGTCAGCCATTTGAGCGTGATGTGGGCGCAACATGAATCTTACCAGGAAGCCTCCTTGATACTGATGCAATGGAAGCGAAGACACGGGTAAGTCTTGTCAGACCACGCAACAAAGCGAGGAAGTCAACGTACGTACGTCAGGAATAGTCCGCCATGGGGTCTTGTACCATTTTGAATCCTTGTCGATGAAGTTGACGGTACGAGAGCTGAAGAAGTTGACTTTTCCTATCTTGCCAGCGGCGATAGCACGGCCAGCGGCGATATAGCCTGGCTCAGCCTCGAAATTCTCGGCTACTCTCCACACGAGACCCTTGTGTTTATATTGCGCTTCATACTGAGCAATTAGTTTTGCACCAGACGCGGCGTCTGGTGCGACGGGCTTTTCACTTAGCACGTGTTTTCCAGCAGCGAGCGCTTTCAAGATGATGGACGGCTGTTGGGTAATTGGGAGGACGACGATGACGGATGAAATGTCTGATCTGGCGAGAAGTGCATCGAGATTTGAAGACGTATTTCCGTCAAAGTAGACATCAGGGGTGGTGTTGAGGAGGGTCGTTACTTCGGCGGCGAGTTCACGAGCGCTCTTTTCTGACCGCGAGTAAATGGCTTTGATCTTTGGCGCGAGAGGGCCAAGCGCTTGGAGTGCAGGAAGGTGTGCTGTTGAAATATCATTAGAAGGCGGAGGATGGGTTAGGTCAAACGGTCATACCTTCCTTAGCGAAGATACCCGCGCCAAGTATGGCAGTCCCGGCGGTGTTTGAAGTTGACATACTAGAGCGACGTGGACGTGGACGAAGGCTGTTAACACTTTTGTCCGCCGAGGGAGGACGTGTTATATGGTTCGCCCTCTGCGCCTTATTCCTATCATTTTCACTTGACACGGAGAAATATCGGTCAGCACATGATGCATTAAAATGAGCAATTGCAGCAAATATATGGCTCACATGTTGCACCACTCGGAATACACTTCCGTGTTCACCCCAAAGCATATCCTTAGCCATTGATCTTATCTCTGATTCTTGTCAGGTGCATTCAACGCCATGCAACTCGGCCCATTCAATGCCTTTCCCAGGACACCCCTTCCTCCATCCATCCATTTCATTTGTCACTAGACAGCGAAACGGCCAGGCAGCTTAACTGGAACCATGGAGCACACTAGATTGCGTCGTTCACTTTTCAAATTCCCAGTACCCCCACCCGGATAATTGTCGGTTGCTTTGCTCAGAATCCTCGCAGGAAAACTCCATGGTAGCAGCGTGTCCTGCTGGTTAAAGAGGGTTCAACATTCTGCAAATACCTGCCTCAACGAATTGACTCCCAATTCTAACGACAAACATGACCTCTGCAGAAGTCGCAAACAAGTTACCAAACGACTTCATATGGGGGTTCGCTACTGGTAAGTTGCTCTATTTTTAACGCTACCCTGATGCTCATCATGTCTTAACGTGTTTTGCATCTACAGCGAGTTTCCAGATCGAAGGATCCACCAATGTTGAGGGACGCGGAAAGTCTATTTGGGACGACTTCTCGAAGCAACCTGGAAAGACAATGGACGGTAAAGACGGTGATGTGGCTACCGATTCATATAGGCTCTGGAGGGAGGACATTGCCCTGCTTTCCAAGTACGGTGTCAAATCTTACCGCTTTTCCTTATCCTGGTCTCGCATCATCCCTCTCGGTGGCCGCAACGACCCCGTCAATCCCGAGGGCATAGCGTTCTACTCCAATTTCATCGATGCCCTGCTGGAAAATGGTATCATCCCATTTGTCGTATGTAGAACACGCATAACTACTTAACACGTTCTCACTACGCTTTCTCAGACCTTGTACCACTGGGACCTTCCCCAGGTCCTGCACGACAGATACGGCGGGTGGTTGAACAAGAACGAGGTCGTACAGGACTACGTCCGCTATGCCCAGGTGAGTTGTGGTGTAATTTTCATGCGTCTGTTCGAAGAGCAAAAACATGGCTGTTAGGTCTGCTTCCGGGCTTTCGGAGACAGAGTAAAACACTGGTACGTACTCTACGGTGATCGGGATTCGTTCTTTCCATTGACCGTGCTTCTTTAGGCTGACAATGAACGAGCCATGGTGCATCTCAATTCTGGGGTATGGAAGGGGCGTCTTCGCGCCAGGACGATCAAGTGATCGAGACAGATCACCCGAGGGCGACTCCTCCACTGAACCGTGGATGTACGTCTGCCACTTGTACCTGTCTGTATGCCAATTTGACTTGCTAATTGTACACTACCCCGCAGAGTTGGCCACAGCGTCATTTTATCGCACGCATACGCTGTCAAAATTTACCGCGAGGAGTTCAAGGCTGCACAGGGTGGCCAGATCGGAATCACCCTCAATGGTGACTGGGCCATGCCATACGATGACAATCCAAAGAGTGGGCGCAATTTTTAGCTTACTGACGAGGGATAGATGTTTGATCACACTCATCTTCTTTTTCAGATGTGGAAGCGGCCCAGCATGCCCTTGACGTAGCTATCGGTAGGTTCAGCCCTTGGTTTGTAACACCTGCTCCGCGCTGACGAACGGTTGATAGGATGGTTCGCTGTAAGCTTCAAGTCGTATACTCTGTTGAGTCGTTGACCAATCTGTGTTATTCGCCAGGACCCAATCTACCTCGGTCATTACCCGGACTACATGAAACAGATGCTCCGAGAACGTCTGCCGGAATTTACACCGGCAGAATTGGCAGTCGTCAAAGGATCCTCTGATTTCTATGGCATGAACACCTACACCACCAACTTGTGCAGTACGTTCATTTTATCTGTTTTGAGTTTCATGTGCCTGAACTGTCATTACAGGAGACGGTGGCGATGATGAATTCCAAGGGTTGGTCGAGTACACTTTCATCCGTCCCGACGGCACTCAGTTGGGTACCCAAGGTAGGCGTCTCATGCACCCCAGGTTTAGAACCATCAACTCAAGGAGATCTTGTAGCACATTGTGCCTGGTTGCAGGATTGTAAGTTACATGACTTTGAGACATTGTCAATATTTTACTGACATGGTTATTGCGCCCCAGATCCTCAAGGTTTTCGCCATGTGAGCATAACTATAATTAGCGCAGAGAAACCTAGCTGACGACCTCGATTCTCTTGTCAAAATAGCTGCTTAATTATATTTGGAAGGTTTGTTCTCTAGTTCATGCTGTGTATGTATTCCAGCTTCTGACGTGCGAGTAACAGAGATACATGCTACCTATCTAGTGGGTTGTTTCGAGGAAGCAGTTGTGGCGATCTATTGACCTTGGGCTTGACTTCAGCGTCACCGAAAATGGTTTTGCCGTCAAGGACGAGCATTTGAAGCCGATTGAGGAGGCGTTGCAGGATAAGGACCGTGTGAACTACTTCAAGGGTGTCACCGCTTCTCTCAAGGCCGCTGTGCTTGAGGATGGTGTAGACGTCAGGGCCTATTTCCCGTGGAGTACGTTTAATTATCGCTCGCAATCGGGGTTTCTGATCGTATTCCTTCCTAGGCTTCGTGGATAACTTCGAGTGGTGAGTCGGAAAAAATATGACGATAATCCCCTTTGCTGATGTCTCTCCAGGGCGGATGGATACATCACGCGGTTTGGCGTGACATATGTCGACTATGAGACCCAGCAGCGGTATCCCAAAAATTCTGCGAAATTCCTTGTCAAGGTCAGTTCTATTTGCCTGCCGTGAAGTGCGAAGAGCAAGGGTACTTACGCACCTCTGTGCAGTGGTTTGGAGAGAACATCGAGGCGGGGGATAAGAAACCGCAATAGAGTGACTGTTGTTCTCGACTGTTCTCGACCACCCGAGTCATTGGAGGACTGGGGGATCAATTGTTGCTCTTTGGAACCGATTGTGCCTATAAGTTAGTGAGGTTTCCCAGGGGGTTTTAGCTCACCGCTCCTATTTCATGTGCCTATCTGCCTGTATTTTACGTAGTATGACTGCTATTTGATGAATCGGTGAATGTGATTGTAAACCGTCCTCAGGCACTGGCAGCATCGTGTATTGTGCGAGGGAGGTGTTTGGGGTCCGGCGTGGCATCTTGTAGGTCCTTGTGAGCAGCCGATACGTTGCAATGTTGTACGCTTCCAAAATCGTGTGATCAGGCTCAGAAACCTAGAAATTTCGATCCACGACTCAACGACTAGAATAATCCTTGACTTTTTATTCGATCTTTCATCTATCTTGGATTTATTCCTTCCCCTACAATCCCAACAAGACACGCCATGACAAACTATGGCGTTGCTGCCCATCCATATGCCAGCCAAGCAGTGGATCCTGCTGGCCACCACGAAGAAGCGGCTGGACATACACCAGAGGCCGACGATCCTTCAAAGAAGAGAAAGACTACGAAGCGGAGAAAGGTCAACCACGCGTGCCTCTATTGTCGACGCAGTCATATGACTTGCGACGAAGGCAGACCCTGCCAACGCTGGTGAGCACTCATGAACATGCATGATACGTGCATGGTTATATGTAATGACGTCTGCAGTATCAAGCGCGAGATTGGCCATCTTTGCCATGATGAGCAGCGACCACCGAAGACTGGTGGGAAGCAGAGTTCTGATGTTGTTCCAAGTGCTTCATCGAACGGCGTTGATCCTGCAAGGTCGATAGCTCGTGCGTGTATCATGATTTTGTATTCCAATGCTGAGGGTGTTCCATGCAGAGCCTATCTATGGTTCAACAATGCCTCCTCCAGCGACTACCGCATGGCCAATGAGTGTTCCTTCAGGCGCATTTCTGTATCAGCCCGAAACGTTAGGCAATGAATTCTCAGTTCTCACGTATGTCTTTTTACAGTCACTCCCCTATGCGCCCCACTGAGTTATCCCAGGGACTTCTTGGAAACCCTAGACGAGGGGTCTTTCTTCACTACATCTCCAGCAGTGACCCCCGCCCTCATGTCTACTCCCGCATTCTCTCAGGCTACTCCCTATATCTCAAATTCTGCGTCTGCTGCTGAAGCAACGTCCAATCCTCCAGCACACCCCCCTGAGGCACCCGCTGAAGAGCCTGCCCCGCCTCTTCTTCCGTCTGCTACCAAGACAGAAAAGTTTTTGTTGACTGCTGCAGACCAGGAGTCGGGTACGCGCGATGAGCGGCTGAACCGCGTTATTCGGAGCAAATACGAGGCAGGTTTACTCAAACCGTATGACTATGTCAAGGGCTATGCACGATTGTCAAGGTGGATGGACCGCAAGTGCGTGAATATCTTTGTGTTGAGATAAATAATCTAATGCCTTTTCGTCTCAAGTGTTTCTCGGCAATCGAAGCAGCAAATTCTTCAGCCTTTATCTGTGCTACGACCCAAGTTCCGAGTGAGCGAGGAGCCTTTATGATATTTCACACAGTGACTAATTGCACTTAGGCTGTTGCACAATCCCTACGCGATATTGTGAGTTTGATGTCGCTGTTGATGTATTTATGCGATTGACTATGTCACAAGGACCTTGTATTCATAGAAGAGGCCTTTGAACGGTTACTTCTCGATTACGACCGTGTCTTCTCAGCCATGGGTGTCCCAGCGTGTCTCTGGCGCCGAACGGGTGAGATCTACAAAGGAAACCGCGAGTTTTCAGAACTTGTAGGCGTCGATGGATACATGATGCGAGACGTAAGTTGTCCCGATGTGATTATCAAGGGCGCAAGAGCTTATGACTTTTCGGTAGGGCCGCCTCTGTATCTACGAGCTTATGGCAGAGGAGTCGGCAGTCAATTACTGGGAGGTGAGCCTAGTCTTTCGTGATATGCTCCAATTTTTGACAACGTGTGTTAGAAATACGGCCATGTTGCATTTGACTCCTCTCAGAAGGCCGTGCTCACTTCTTGTGTGCTGCGTTTCAAGCCCCTCATAAACACGCAGTCGCAAACGCAGAAAAAGGAGGATATCCCTAACGAGGAGGGCTTCGTCAACTGCTGTTTCTCATTCACGATCAGGCGGGATAAGTGGGGTATACCGAGCATGATCGTTGGGAATTTCATCAAGTGCTGACAGGAATGCTGGACGCATGAGGTTTATTGTGTAGAGAAGTAACGAGCTTATATTGTAAGTTATGATATATCACGGGTTTCATTTAGAATGGGATTCTGGCATGCTGATCGAAAGTTATGAACTTCTCTTATGCTTTAAGCTCCAGAATTTGTCTCTTGTAGTGCGGCTTTGATATGCGCAGCAGGACACGAAAAGGTGCGGGGGAACTATAGTTGGTTTATTCTCCTATGCCAATGGTAAATTTCGTGCTTGTCAGTCGATTTCACGAAGTACCATTAGGCGGCGTATCCGTGCCCTCAATTGTTGAGTTCCCTTGTATCTTCATGTCCACGCAGCAAGAAACTTGATGCCTCTCAGATTATCAGGCGCAATTCTCAATGCAGTCCGCAGTTCGATCGCAGCATCAGTCAAATGTATTCTCTTGATTTCCTGACGTTGAACTATTTTGAACTAATAGAATTCGACGATACTGGTTCTACTGTACATGTCTACCCCATAGTTATTGGGAAGGTCAGGTGACCGACGCTTGTGCAAAGACTAAACTCTAGTTTTTCGCTCGTGCCCGTCCGCTCTCATGATCATCCTTCCCTATATGCATGGCACTGTCAACTCAATCGTACTCATATATAATCATCTGTGTGCCTCGTTTTCACCGGTTTGCATTACCTTACGAAATAAACTCGATTCACATGTGGCCTTACTTATGTCACGCACTCAGTCCAGGAGTAGCCAACCATCACAGAACGCTCAGAGTCTTGCATAATTAGTAACGTTGGCATGCCACTTTCGCTGATGTGTCTGACCTTGGCATTACCCACACACAGGTTCTCCCGCTAATTCTACTCTGTCATGTTTTGGCCTCAGCGCTTAGTCTAAATCGTACCAGCTGGCAGCGTCTACCGTGCTGAACAGCAAACACCTACAGTCCCCATATCCCTACCCCCGTCTTCTCCTACCGCTCATTCCACCAACCACCAAGCCCATCCTCGATCCTCATCGTTTGGCTCCATCGTACCATCATGCCCAGTAGCGCAGAAATTCGATCTATTAGACTTGAAAGTAAGTCACTCTGTATCACATTTGTATATATTTTGTGATCCTGACCCTCTATCTACAGTTATTGGTGGACAGAATCTTCAAGCCCCTTCCGGGCGCATACCCGCAGGGATTTACATATCCATCAATGTCGACTCGAGGAGACGCTGGAAATCAGCCATCAAAGTTTTATCCTCTGAGAAATCTGTTGCGTGGGGAGATACCCTGACCCTGTAAAGTCCCTCAAAATTTTTGGACGCGATTCGACAACTCATCCTCGGTTTATAGAACACAGGCATCACCTACATTATCAGTGGAAATCAGAGCGTCCTACGAGGCTGATCGAATTCTGGGTAGCGGAGAAGTCATTGGACAACTTGAAACATCGTGGGATGAGTTGCTTGATCATGGAGATGAGCCTTTCGGTAAGTAACCTACTTCTCATTCATGCGTATCTACTCACATCCCGTAGAACTGTCCTTCCCGCCCGTTCGTGGTGTTTACCCTTCTCTCAAGCTGAAGGCCACTGTTGTACATGCTTGCGACAATCGGGATGGCGCACTGTTTGATGTGGGTGACGCTGGCCTCTGCAGTTAGCTTTTGCTGACGGAATACCAACTGTAGTCCCTCGTAGACTGCGAGATTGCTCAAGAGACAGATGCGGGCCACGCACGATATGCCGAATATAGGACCACCAAGACAGTCTCTCACCTGAACGACGCTTTACAACATTTTCAGTTGGTTCTGGACCGCTGTCCGGTCGACCATCCTGACCATGCAGCGGCTCTCACCAACCTCGCGTGTGCCCGCCTTCTAGGCTACATTCAAAACGATCTCCAAGACATTGATACCACCACTTCCCTCTTCCGCGAAGCCCTTGCATTGCGTCCGCAGGGCCATCTCGATCACACATTATCTCTCCATCATCTCATTTTCGCATTGATCTGGCGCTACAGCAAGGAGCCCACTGCCGCCTATATTCATGAATCCCTGCAGCTGTGCTGCAAGCTACTGCCCCTCTGTCCAGAGGGCACCTACTTTCGAAGCATGGGCGTAGACAGTGTGGTCAATTATGTGATTAGTAATTGCAACAACCTTTCAATTGATGCATCCAATAAAGGCATCGACCTTCGACGAAACGTGCTCAAGATCTGTCCCCTGGGTCATCAACACCATATAGGAGTATTCACCATGCTTTCACGGTCACTCTTAACACGGTTTACACAACGGGGCAGCATTGATGATGTAGACGAGCTCATACAGCTTCTTCGTGAAGCCATTTCTCTGCACCCCAAGGGACATTCTGACCGTGGTATCTACCTGAACAACTTGGCCTTCTCACTTCAATCCCGCTTCAATCACCAGGGAAAATCACATGACCTGGACGAGGTTGTCTCCATGCACGAAGAAGTGCTGCGTCTGCGCCCTGTTGGGCACGAATCTCGTGATTGCTCATTGGACAACCTAGGGGGCGCCCTCTACACCCGTTTTATTACACGCGGTGATGTTGATGACATCAACCGAGCTGTTAGCCTCTATCGCGAGGCACTGACCTTGCGCCCACCTGGGCATCCACGTCGTGACGTCACGCTTAACAACCTTGCCCTCGCGCTCCAAAAGATATATGTCAAATCCCGCGTCATCGAGGATCTTAACGAGGCCGTCGATCTATATCGTGAATCCCTTCGGTCAAAGCGGGTTGATGATCCAGAGCGCCCTGCATATCTTTTCAATTCAAGCTCGGCGCTTTGCTCTCGTTTCACGCGAACTCAGAAGAATGTGGATATTGAGGAGGCCATTCAACTCTGTCAGGAATCATTGGTGGCATTGCCTTCACTGCATCCAGATAGATGGTTCAGCTACAGATGGCTGAAGGAAGGCTATTTGGCTCGTTACCTAGTGCAACACGAGCCGGCTGATTTGTCACTTGCAATAGAGAACTCCAGACTTGCGTCAATGCACCCCACCCAAGGTTTTCCAAATCGCATTCTAGCAGCCCAGCACTGGGTTTCTGATGCCGAGAATTCTTGTCATGAATCTGCGCTCGAGGCATATGCAATGTTTTTCGAGCTTCTCGACGCACATATCTCAACACGATCATCCATCACTTCGCGGCTTGAAGCTGCTCCCACCTTTCATAACGCCAGATCGCTGCCTGTAGATGCAGCATCATGTGCCATACGCAGGCACAACCTGCAAAAGGCCATCGAACTCGTAGAGCAGGGTCGTGGTCAGCGATGGTCATTCGCCTCTCGACTCAAAACTCCAGTTGAAGAGCTCGAAACGGGACATCCACATCTAGCTCACAAATTTTTGGAGCTGAGCAAGCGTGTTTCCAACGCAGCTCAGGGTTCTGCAACCATCGTGGACAGAGCTGCAGCTGAAGTAGCGGAAACGAAGTACAGGAGAATTATGACGCAATGGGAAGCTGCGGTAGCTGAGATACGTGATCTTCGAGGTTTCTCGCGGTTCCTGCTCCCACCTTCGTACGAAGACTTGCAAGCGGCAGCACGCCATGGCCCGGTCATCATCCTCATTGCCAGCAAATACTCGTGCAGCGCCATCATTGTCCCGACGTCAGGAGAGCCCCATAATGTTACCTTGCCATCTATCTCTCTCGCAGATCTCGAGGATCTCAAAGATCGGTTTGCCAGTGCGATATTGCAAGCATCGAAGATGGGCCTAAAGCAGCCGCGCAATGATCTGATTGTCCTCTTGCGGGCGGTATGGGACGATATCATGCTACCTGTCGTCGAGGTACTCGAGCATACCCTCAAATTAAAGCGCCAGTCTCGAATCTGGCTGTGTCCAACTGCGGTTTTCACATCCATTCCTCTTCACGCAGCCCACCCATTTCGAACAAAGGCAGATTGCTCTGGGAAGGAGCCATGCCTGGAGGATCTCTACATATGTTCTTACACGCCGACACTTTCGGCGCTGATCAGATCTAGGCAGATGATGAAGAAACGCAGTGTGCCTCCATCCTTTGTGGCGGTTGGGCAAGGTCAACCGGGCGGAGGGAATGGCAAGGCGCTCTTAGCTGTCGATAGCGAGCTCGAGCTTGTCCATAAGCTGGTCCCCGTGACGGCCAACCGTTCAACTCTTTCTGGCGACGCAGCCACGCGAGCAGGCGCACTTGAAGCCCTGGAACAGAACACTTGGGTGCACCTCGCTTGCCATGGCAAGCAGGACCACGATCAGCCTTACAATTCTCATTTCGTCATGAAGGATGCACCTCTCACGCTACTTGACATCATGGAGAAAGACATTCCGCATGCTGAGTTCGCGTTCTTATCAGCATGTCATACCGCCGTCGGTGATAAGGAGACGCCCGACGAAGTCATCCATCTTGCAGCTGGCCTTCAGTTTTCGGGGTTCAAGAGCGTCGTTGGCACGCTGTGGGAGGTTGACGACGCTGTCGCAAAACACGTTGTTGGAGCTTTCTACGAGAATATGGTCAAGCATGTGGAGGATGGCGGGTTCATGGACTGTACGAAGGCGGCTTGGGCACTGAACCGTGCTACACACGCCGTGAAGACGAAAGTGCCGCTCGAACAGAGGATGGTTTTCATACATATTGGTGTGTAGTTCTACTATATCGTATTGCTTTGCCTGGTACATATTCTTTATCTGCGATCCTCTTTCATTCTGTTTTTTTTTTTCGTAGAAATAACCCCGATACTTATAGGGTCAAAACAGAAATAGGTTTCAAACTTGTAAAAAAATATCTTTTGGTGGGCTGGTACATATCATGGAGGGTACTTCTGGGATGGATATGAGCCAACAATTAAGAAAATCGGCGGTTCGGTTGTGGAGATATGTCCAAAATACTGATATTTGAGCCTACCTCCCATATCACATGAATGCCGACCTCCGGAAGGTCTGGGACCATTCCCAATCGATTCAGAGGCCTCAAATACCCTAGGAGAGATGTTTTCGGTATCGGTATTGAGGCGGAATACCGGGATAGTGACATACAGGAGGTCAGGAGGAGGGGGAGGACCCTGTATATCTCAGGAACACGATTTTTCCAGGCAATTCTGGCATGACCATCGTGTTCAGAGGGCTCAATAACCCCCAGGAAAAATGCTTCTGAAGGACAGGCTAGTCATATGAAGTCTAGAAAAATCGATCTTTGGGTGGGGGAGCATGGCCTTGGTGGCCAACTTTGGAAGATGATTTTTAGAGCAAAATCCGGCTCGACCAACGTCTTCAGATGGTCGAATAACCTCAAGAACGAGTCCTAGCTAAAGCCAAGCAAGCCATATGAAGGCTGAAAAAATCGATCTTTGGGTGGGGGAAGGATGACAGGGGCAGCCAACTTTGGAACATGATTTTTAGAGGGAAATCTGGCTCGACCAACGTGTTTGTATGGTCGAATAACCTCTAGAACGAGTCCTACCTAAAGACAAGCAAGCCATATGGAGGCTGAAAAAATCGATCTTTGGGTGGGGGAGCATGGCCTTGGTGGTCAACTTTGGGATTTGATTTTCTCATGCAAATCTGGCTTGACCATCCTTTTCAGAGTGTTTAATAACCTCGGAAACAAGTCCTACATCAACCCTTGCAAGTCATATGAAGGCTGTAAAAATCAATATGTGGGGGAGGCCAGCATGCCCTAGGGGGTCAACTTCAGCATTTGATTTCTTCGTGCAATTCTGGCTCGACCATCGTTTTCGGAGTGTTCAATAACCTCGAAATCAAGTCCTACATGATGCCAGGCAAGTCACATGAAGGCTGTAAAAATCGATGTGTGGGGGGGCCAGCATGGCCTAGGGGGTCAACTTTGGAATTTGATTTTATTGTGCAATTATGGCTCGACAAATGTGTTCAGATGGTCCAATAACCTCTAGAAAGAGTCCTAGCTACAGCCAAGCAAGCCATATGAAGGCTGAAAAAATCGATCTTTGGGTGGGGGGGGGCATGACAGGGGTTGTAGTCAAATTTGGAATATGATTTTAAGAGGGAAATCTGGCATGACCAACATGTTTGTATGGTCCAATAACCTCTAAAATGAGTCATGCCTGAAGTCAAGCAGGTCACATGAAGGCTGTTAAAATCAATGTGTGGGGGGCCAGCATGACCTCGGTGGTCAACTTTGAGAATTGATTTCTTCGTGCAAATCTGGCATGACCATGGTCTTTGTATTGCTCAATAACCTCAAAATCAAGTCCTACCTTATCCTCCCCAAGTCATATGAAGGCTGTAAAAATCGATCTTAGGAGAGTGTGGTGCTGCTGCTGCTTACATAAGCAAGAATGCGGTCCTCTCAGAGGGGGCCTGCTCACCACTCAATGCCACTGTGATGCACCAGCAAATAAATCTTGCTGATTTGTTTCCGAGGTTCAGAGTGTTGGATTCTGCCTGCATTTGCCTTATAAAATGTGAAAATTGCGAATTGGGGAGGTGTTGTGCAGAAATGCACGGCAGGGACTAATCTGTGGCGCTCTGATAGAGGTGGCCATCTTGTACATGTATTTTTTCCTCTTTTTTTACAATCTTCTTGGCTTCTCCCCTCCATGGTGTATTTCACACAAACAAGACTTGTCCAATTCCTGATATTTATAGGGTCAAAACAGAAATAGGTTTCAAACTTGTAAAAAAATATCTTTTGGTGGGCTGGTACATATCATGGAGGGTACTTCTGGGATGGATATGAGCCAACAATTAAGAAAAACGGCGGTTCGGTTGTGGAGATATGTCCAAAATACTGATATTTGAGCCCACCTCCCATATCACATGAATGCCGACCTCCGGAAGGTCTGGGACCATTCCCAATCGATTCAGAGGGCTCAAATACCCTAGGAGAGATGTTTTCAGTATCGGTATTGAGGCGGAATACCGGGATAGTGACATACAGGAGGTCAGGAGGAGGGGGAGGACCTTGTATATCTCAGGAACACGATTTTTCCAGGCAATTCTGGCATGACCATCGTGTTCAGAGGGCTCAATAACCCCCAGGAAAAATGCTTCTGAAGGACAGGCTAGTCATATGAAGTCTAGAAAAATCGATCTTTGGGTGGGGGAGCATGGCCTTGGTGGCCAACTTTGGAAGATGATTTTTAGAGCAAAATCCGGCTCGACCAACGTCTTCAGATGGTCGAATAACCTCAAGAACGAGTCCTAGCTAAAGCCAAGCAAGCCATATGAAGGCTGAAAAAATCGATCTTTGGGTGGGGGGAGGATGTCAGGGGCAGCCAACTTTGGAACATGATTTTTAGAGGGAAATCTGGCTCGACCAACGTGTTTGTATGGTCCATTAACCTCTAAAATGAGTCATGCCTGAAGTCAAGCAGGTCATATGAAGGCTGTTAAAATCGATGTGTGGGGGGCCAGCATGACCTGGGTGGTCAACTTTGAGAATTGATTTCTTCGTGCAAATCTGGCATGACCATGGTCTTTGTATTGCTCAATAACCTCAAAATCAAGTCCTACCTTATCCTCCCCAAGTCATATGAAGGCTGTAAAAATCGATCTTAGGAGAGTGTGGTACTGCTGCTGCTTACATAAGCAAGAATGCGGTCCTCTCAGAGGGGGCCTGCTCACCACTCAATGCCACTGTGATGCACCAGCAAATAAATCTTGCTGATTTGTTTCCGAGGTTCAGAGTGTTAGATCCTGCCTGTATCTGCCTTATGAAACGCCAAAATTGTGAATTGCAGAGGTGTTATGCAGAAATGCACAGCAGGGACCAAGCTGTTCACCTCTGATAGAGGTGGCCATCTTGTACATGTATATTTTCGCTTTTTTACGATCTTCTTGGCTTTGGTGGATTTCACACAAACAAGACTTGTCCAAGTCCTGAGATTTGACTGACTTTTGCTTCTTGTCTGGTATTGACTATCTATATGCGGACGGCGCTTTGGCGCAAAGCGCCGGGACCACAACTTCGATTTTTTTCGTCCCTTTCCTTCCACATTTTATATAGACGTATCTATCTCATCTTATAGCCCTTGAAATTCTGCACTCCCCTAGCGAAAGTCCGGGTTCAAAACATTGAGTTAGTGTTGTGTAAATCCATCTGCGAAAAGTTCACTTTCTCACACCTTCCCGACGCCCTTCTTGCCTCGCCTATATTCACCATGACCTCCAGGCAACTTGACATCTTCTGGACCTATTAAGATGCATATAACGACGACCCCGCCGAAAAATCTAGCTGCCCGCGCCTTTCCTTCTCCCGTTATGCCCAAATCTTCCTCCTTGGCGCTCTAAAGGGAGGAGGAGGGAAAGGTTAGTCTGTATCTTTCCTCCACGTCGTTTTCTCATCCACCGCTGCTGGGATCCCACTCTAGGGACTTATATCTACTCCCCGCACCAGTTATTTCGCTGCCCGGAGCTCTGGGTCCCATGTTATGGCCCAATCTTCCTCCTTCGCGCTCTAGAGGGGGGAGGAGGGAAAGGTTCGCCCGTATCTTTTCTTCATGTCATTTTCTTACTTAGCGCTGTTGGGATCCCACTCTAGGGACTTATATCTACTCCCCGCACCAGTTAGTTCGCTGCCCGGAGCTCTTGCTCCAATGTTATGGCCGAAATTCCCCCCTGGGCGCTGTATAGGGAGGAGGGGGGGCGGGTGCGTCCATAACTTTTTCCCATTTGGTTTTCTCACTTAACGGTTATGGGATCCCACTCTAGGGATGCATACCTACTCCCCGCACCACTCAATTTGCTACCCGGAGCTCTTGCTCCAATGTTATGGCCGAAATTCCCCCCTGGGCGCTGTATAGGGAGGAGGGGGGGCAGGTGCGTCCATAACTTTTTCCCATTTGGTTTTCTCACTTAACGGTTATGGGATCCCACTCTAGGGATGCATACCTACTCCCCGCACCACTCAATTTGCTACCCGGAGCTCTGGGTACAATGTTATGGCCGAAATTCCCCCCTGGGCGCTGTATAGGGAGGAGGGGGGGCGGGTGCGTCCATATCTTTTCTTCACATGGTTTTCTCATCTAACGGTGTTGGGATCCCACTCTAGGGATGCATACCTACTCCCCATACCAGTTAGGTTGCTGCCCGGAGCTCTGGGTCCCATGTTATGGGACAATCTTCATGCTCGGGGGGTTAGGTTAGTTTAGTTAGGCTTAGGGTCAGCGATATCATTCAATACGACTTCGTTCCTCCTCCGCATTCTGTTAGGGTTAGTTAGTTAGGGTTCGCATCTTTTACTCACCTTAGAGCCTTATTCCCTACATCCTGCGTCCCTTCAATCACATGGCTAGTCCTTATGTTTCAGCCTGAGCTTATTTAAATTTCCTTACCAGCAACCTTAGGTCCGGTACGCTTGCTCCTCAATGAACCGCAAACGGTCTCAGGTCTAATGGTATCGAAAACCAGACATTCATTTTGCATTGCTAGATACGGACACGCCAATAATAACATGTTACGGGATTAACGGGCAGGATACCACTAAACAAATGTGCGAATGTGAACTGTATCAAGATCAAAACTCGAACTTACCCGAAAATCAAGTCCTTTAAAGTTCCTGACATACGTCTACCACACGTTTAGGTGCTACTCGATTCAACAACTCATGCATATGCACCTCCACAAGGTCTTTGCTCTCACGAGAATTGGGGCGTGAGCTATGACGGCGAGCTGAGAACGTCGAGGTGCGCGAGCACCCAAGGGTTCGCAGCGATGTAGGTCATGTATGAGGGCGCGAGGTCAGTTACCTGGTGAAAGATTGAGGATCAGCGTGAAATCATGCCCAACGTCTAGAAGGACAGACTCACCATCTCTAGGAAAACCTCGCCTATACCCGTGCCTCCTTCGATCACTTGAGATGGGCGGAGGAACTACGAAAAC